TTTTTTTTTTTTTGAAAAATGTAAGCTGAACAATAATTAATATTACTGATGAAAAATAATTTTATAAAACAATTTTATTGGTTAAAAACCATTTTTTTTGGTAAAATTAATATAATTAATTATGTAATTAAATTTGTGTTTTATTTTTTTTCAGACTGGAAAACAACGTTCGAGTGCCGCTCCAGGATGGAGATCGGGCATGGGCGAAGGGAGTCCACGGTGAGATTTTTTTTTTTTTTTTTTTTTGCTTTATTCTAAATAATTATTTTATTAGATTTTTGTATATTTATTATTTGTTTATAGTTTCTATTATATTATATTTTATTATTTATTTTATTATTTATTTTATTTTGTATTTTATTTTATATTTTATTTTATATTATTATACTGAATTATTAACATCAACTAGTTTGATGTACCTGATATAGAAACAAGAAAAAACAAGGCCGAATAAAAAATTCTGCCCACCATTTTATGCAATTTTTAACTATTTACTAATTTATAATTTTTTTTTAATTTATGTTACAGACTGAAGGACAGGAAGGAGGATGCAGAGAAAGCATGGCCCCTGCATAGTTCCCCGGTCTCCCCGCATAGAAGAGGGGCCACTGGGGGACTGGTCCAGAAGAGGCGATGCTGCCATCGCTCCGTCGAGGTGAATCCGCGATAGGCAAGTCGTTTTTTTTTTTTTAAAAAAAAAAACCTAGTGACACAACTGATATAAATATTAATTTTTTTTTGAAATTTTCACTTATTTCAAAAATTAGTATTAAAATTATAATTTTTTAAAATAGAATATTATTTTAAAAAATTATTAATATCAGTGTTTGTTTTTAAGAAACAAAGGTGGAGGGAACAAAATTTCTCAAATTATCTACAACTGAGAGATTGAGAAATATGTATGTGAGTTGATGAAAAAGAAGCGAAACGGTTTTTTTTAGATATAGCTAGGGAGGTACTCGTTTTTTTTGATGCGAATGAATATTTTTAAATATAGCTATAGGTAGGGAAATTATTTTATTTGAATGAATGATTGCAATGAGTGTCACTATGGTTTTAAAAAGGTATAATTTTTCCCATTACAAGTTTTATTTTACATTCTATTTTCGAAAATATTTTATTTCATCAAAGGAATGATTAAATTATTTTTCAAAATAGAATGAAAACGAACTTGATTACCTTTCCCATATTGTGCTTTTATTTGTTTCAGTAAGACATATCGTGGTGAGAAAATTTTTTATTTTATTTATAACACTAATTATTTGCTTTTTTCCAGATATTTTCTTCTTTTGAGGTAAATGTTTAAAATGTTTTTGTTGCAACAAAGTTTTTCTCAAACGAATATTGCATGTCTTAATCGCAATAGTCTCACTGAAAAAGACTCTGATGTATTATATTTTCTTTTATAATTATCATGTGAATATATATGTATTTTTTTAAATTAATATGATTTTTTAAAAATTATTTTCCCCAAAAACAGTTTTTTTTCTATAATAAATCTATGCCCACCCTCGACAATTTATTTACGCGACTTCCCTATTTTTTAATTCAAAAAATCCCCCTCCCCCCTGTTAACATTTTTTAAAATCACACCCAAATAAAATTTTTCCAAGTTTTTTTCCCGCAAAATGCTCGAATTTAAATCGCTTCCGTTTAATAAAAATTCAAATAAATTTTAAACACATGGGCTAATTAATATATATTTTTGTCCCGCACCTGTAAAAAATTCGATTTAATCTTATTTGGGCGCGACTTCCCTTTTTTCAATTTTAAGAAAAATCTACCCCCCTTTTTAAATCTCATCACCTGAAAAAAAATAAATGGACGATTTTTTCAAGTCCAAAAAAAATGATTCGCGGAGTCCATTTTTTTAATTAATATGCCGATTAAAAAAATTAATGCCTAGCATTAATTTACGCGGATTCACCTTTTTTGTGAATAATCAAATAGCGTTTTTAAATGTGTTTTGTTTTTGTGATTTTAATAAGTGATGGAAATAATTAAGTGAGAAGTGAATCTGTTTTGAAATAGGAAAGTCGCTGAATATATTATCTCAAAGGTAAAAAAAATTGTAATTATTTTTTTTTGTTTCAGGTATATGTAAATAAATTTTGTTTATAATTATGACTTATTTTCTCAGAATAACTTGTGCTTTAAAAATTTTTTCTGTTTAAGGTATAAAAATATCAGGTACATGTGATTTCGTTAATAATAATCATATGTTTTTATAAAATTTATTATTTTATAAGGTTTTTTTATTTTTATGTGTATTAATATTTTATGATGTTTAATATTTTTCTGTTTTTTAGGTATAAAAAAGGTACATGTTATTTTGTTAATAATAATCATATGTTTTTATAAAATTTGTTATTTTATAAGGTTCTTTCTATTTTTATGTGCATTAATATTTTGTGTGTTTAATATTTTTCTACTTTTCAGATATAAAAATAGGTATATGTAATTTTGTTAATAATTATTGTTTGTTTTTATAAAATTTGTTATTTTATAAGGTTTTATTTTTTTATTTATATGTGTATTAATATTTTATGTGTTTAATATTTTTCTACTTTTCAGATATAAAAATATCAGGTACATGTGATTTTGTTAATAATAATTATATGTTTTTATAAAATTTATTATTTTATAAGGTTTTTTTATTTTTATGTGTATTAATATTTTATGATGTTTAATATTTTTCTGTTTTTTAGGTATAAAAAAGGTACATGTTATTTTGTTAATAATAAGCATATGTTTTTATAAAATTTGTTATTTTATTTTTTTTATTTTTATGTGCATTAATCTTTTATGTGTTTAATATTTTTCTACTTTTCAGATATAAAAATAGGTATATGTGATTTTGTTAATAATTATTGTTTGTTTTTGTAAAATTTGTTATTTTATAAGGTTTTTATTTTTATGTGTATTTTTTATGTATTATGTATTATAATAATTTTTTTATGTATATTATAAATAATTTTAATGTTTTTCTTCTTTTCAGGTATAAAAATATCAGGTACATGTTATTTTGTAAATAATAATCATATGTTTTTATAAAATTTGTTATTTTATAAGGTTTTTTCTATTTTTGTGTGCATTAATATTTTATGTGTTTAATATTTTTCTACTTTTCAGATATAAAAATAGGTATATGTAATTTTGTTAATAATTATTGTTTGTTTTTGTAAAATTTGTTATTTTATAAGGATTTATTTATTTATTTGTATATTAATATTTTATGTGTTTAATATTTTTCTACTTTTCAGATATAAAAATAGGTATATGTGATTTTGTTAATAATTATCGTTTGTTTTTATAAAATTTGTTATTTTATAAAGGGTTTTTTCTATTTTTATGTGTAATAATAATAACTTTTTACATTTCAGGTATAAAAAATCAGGTATTGACTTTAATTTGCCCTTTAATTTTAATTTAATTAATAATCGCATTTAATGATTTTTACTAATTTATACTAATTTTTGATTCTTCTCGTTTATAGAAATTTAATTTAATTTCTTTTCTCTTTCAGGAAAAAAAATTTTAGTTGATAAGATATTTTGTGTGTGTAATAATTATTATATGTATATATTTCAGCTTCTTATTGTTTAAATAATTTATCGAACATTATAATCTACAACTTTTGTTACAGATTTTTGAGATGCATGATTGGTTACCTCCACGTGGTGCATCTTGGAAACAATGTCATTGAAATTTTTAGTTTCAATGTCATTGGCTAAATACCAATCGCAAGAATGAGAAATGAATATTGAAGAATATAAGAAAATTGAGATTAAAATTTTTATGAAATTACATTGAATGCCGACAACGAAAACATCATTGGATATATTCAAAAAGAAAATTCGTCCTGATATTTTACCAAAAAATATTTTAAAAATCACAGAGGAATAATAATATTACAAGCGAGCGAGCCATCGTGCGAAGAGCGGACAAGCTTTCCATATAGAAAGGATGTTTGATGTGCCGCACCTAAACCGCGCCTCGAAAGGTTCTCTTATTTCTTTGGCACCTTCGATTGACAATTCTCAAGCTTACCGCGCGAGCGTGTTTGCCTATACCGATTTTATTTCCAGTATATATATATATATAGAGAAGATATTAAATTTTTCTACTGGGTGTTCTCGAAAGATAACTTTTTATCTTTAAATCCGAATCAATAGAACTTGAATCGCTAATTGAATACTATTTATATTTTATTGTTAAAATTAAAATTAATTCTAGTATATCCTACGTTGTTATACTTTAGAAATTAGTAAATAATAAATTTTTAAACTTTCAAAATTTAATCACTTTGGTTTTTTAATTATTACCAATAAACGAAATTAAAAAATATTAATTTATTAAATTTTCATTGTAGCAGGTATTTTTTTTTGTCTTTACGGACTAGAAAATAACTTGACTTTTTAGAAAGAAGAAAAAAGAGTGAAATCAACAGAATGTGTCATTTTTTTTTTCTATATAATTTCTGAACATCCTATATTATAAGTAAACATCAATAGTGCCCACAACGATTATATTATGAACACCTCTCTTGTATAGTACGGGCGTTTCACCCAACGCGTGTATTACCTGCGCCATCTTGTCGGCGATGATTAAATATTGATATAGGTACGATACACCGGAACCTGTCTTAAAAAAAACGACTAAATCGAAAATTTCCCTGAATTAATCCCTGTTCGTTCTTCGAGAATATTTTACTGTCTTGATAATTTTTTTTTAATAATCCAAATTTTTCCTTTTAATAAAATATTTTTTTCTGTAAATCTTGTAAATTTTTTTTTGTATATACACAAAAGTTCTGTGAAATATATATAAAAAAAAAGATTTACAAAAAAAAATACTATTCTTTTTTAGTTCTTTTTTAGAAATACGGATATAAAAATACTTCATCGATATATTTTCTAATTTGTCGATAAATGTTTGGGAGGAAAAATCATATTTCTCCCTATTTTGGGGGGATTAGAAATTGTAAAACATACCTGGAGTTTAAGCGGCGATTTACAATCCTGTGAAGTTGTTATATCCTTTAAATAGCCTCCTTGAATCCAAAAATATATCCTTTAAATAGCCTCATTGAATCCAAAAATGTGAAACACTTTAAAGATAGTAATCTCTGCATATTTCTTAATATATAAGCTCTCTGTTGTTGTCCACTTCCTTAAATATATTGTTTAAATTCAAAATGCTTTAGATCCCACGTTGATTGAGAAAATCCACTTTCCTTTCATGATGTGATGCGACAAGAAAAATCAGGAAATCTTAAATATTGTTTAAATCCAAAAATGCTTTAGATCCCACGCAGATTGCGAAAAATCCACTTTTCTTTTTATGCTGCGATGCGACAGGAAAAATCAGGAACTCGTTGTTAGCTGAAACGCGTACAAATTGAATAAGTAAAAGTGTAACTCAATTATTTTTTTTCAATCATTAACAATTATTTTTTTGTTAACATATTGAAAAAAAAACAAAATTTAATACAAATTATAAAGGTAAATAAAACGTTTTTCTTCTTTCGGTCATCATCTGTAACAGAGAATAATTACAAGAAAAAAGAAATTTTAGAAAAACAAATTTTTTGCACATTACCTTACCACTTTTTTTGAAATACATACGCTCCATAAATAGTACAACCAATGTTTCCTTCAGTCAGAAAATATTAAAGATATAATAATCCCACGTTGATTGCGAAATTACAATTTCTTTTCCTAATTCAATGAAATGACATAAAATTTTGAAGATAGTAATCCGCATATTTATGAATAGCAGCTCTCTGTTGTCCACTTCATTAAATATTGTTTAAATCCAAAGATCCCACGTTGATTATGAAAATCCATTTTCTTTTCAGGATATGCGATGAAATCCTCTTTATTTTCAGGATGCGAGATGCGACAGGAAAAATCAGGAAATCGTTGTTAGCTGAAACGCGTACAAATAGAATAAGTAAAATAGTAACAAAAATATTTTTTTAATCATAACAAATTTTTTTTTTGACATTGAAATAAATTAAAATCAAAACAAAATATATTTAAATAAAACGTTTTTCTTCTTTCAGTCATCACCTGTAACAGAATAATTGCGAGAAAAAAGAAATTTCAGAAAAAGAATTTTTTGTACATTACCTTACCACTTTTTTTTGTAATACATACTCTCCTTAAGAAGTTCATCCTATATTTTCTGAACTCACAACATTTTGAAGATCTGTATATTTTTCGATATATTCCTTAAATATTGTTAACATCCAAAATGCTTCAGATTCCACGTTGATTGCGAAAATCAAATTTCTTTTCTTAATTCCATGAACTCACATAATTCTAAACATATAGTAATCCACATATTTCAGAATATCAGCTATATCTGTTATCCTCTTTCTTTAATATTGTTTAAATCCAAATATCCCACGTTGATTCAGAAAGTCCTCTTTCTTTACAGAATACGATGCAGCGGCAGCAAAAAACAGCAAATCGTTGCGTTAGCTGAAACGCGTACAAATGGAATAAATTAAATTGTAACTAAAATTTTTTTTCAATCATTAACAATTTTTTTTGTTTGTTAACACATTGAAAAAAAAATTTGAAATTAAAACAAAATAATTTAAATAAAACATTTTTCTTCTATTCGGTCATCTCCTATAAAACAGAAAAATTACAAAACAAAATTTTACAAAAATTATTATTAATAAAAATAATTTTTTTGTATCAAATACATATATATAAATATTCCTAAAAATTTTTTCTTGGAATATATATACGATCCATAAATGGTTCATCCAACGGTTTCTGCACTAATTTGTCCTTAAGTCGTGCGTGCATCCATTATTGTGTAAATTGTGTAAAAAAAAAAAAAAAGAAGAGAAGGGAACAATGAAAAATGCGATATATATATATTGGGGTTCGACATCGTCTCCCCAATAATGTGGATGTAAATCGCGTGAAAATCACCCCTTCGTTAGTGCGCCGAATCAACCGGAAATTCCAGCTTTCGTAGTCGCTTCCTTATTCATCTCGGGGCGAGAGATAAAACTTTCGGACGAATTGCCCGTATATAATGAAGCAAATACGAAATATTGTGCAGAAATCTCCCTTTTGTCACATCTCGCCGAGTCCAAAAACGATTGTCATGAAAATATATTTTTGTTTAGTATTTATCCGACTAACGCACTTTTCCATAGTAATTAGAGATTACGCAAATCATTCCTTCAAGTGGGGTCTCTCTCCTCAAATATTCATCTCCATATTTTTCATTATGTTTTTTTTTTTTAAACAATCTTTATTGGCGTGTGATCGTTGCTCCTTGTACTTAAAAAATACATTCTATTGATTCATTAATATTCCAATCATACAAGAAAGGATTTAAACCGGAATTTTAAAAGCTTTTGTTTAAATTTTTTTTTAAACTATAAAAAATATTTCAACTAGTTTTCTTTTAAAATAAAATTTCATCATATTTATTTCTATTTTGTTCCTGTTTCATTATAAAGGTTTTAATTAACTGAAAATGATAAAATATAAATCGAATTAATTTATTTGTTGACAAGTGAATAGAGTAGAATATTTAAAACGAAAATGAGAAAAAAGAATTGAATAAAATGTTAAAATTCTTAAACATTAATTATGTGAAATTTGTTATTACAAAAAAAAAAAAAAAAAAGTAAATAAGAGCACGCTTTACTTTTAAAAAAGAGGTGGAGATGGAGATGGAAAAGTCGAGATAGACGAAGAGAGATTACCCTAAAATTAGACACCATTGAGTAGTAGATCGCTTTGGGGATCATTAATTATCCCGCGGTTGTGCGAGAGAACAACTCTCAGGAGAGAGAGAGAAGGAGAGAAAGGAAGGAAAGGAAGGCAAAAGTGAGACAGATAAAAGTAGATGAAGCTTGATGCTGAAAGAGCAAACGAGAGAGAGAGAGAGAGAGAGAGATGGTAAATGTCGCCTTCATGGACCGAAATTGCAGGCTGAAGATTAATGATCTCTCTCTGTATTACAGATATTTACACCTGTATATAGATACAAATATATACAAAACTGATGTTATAATGATAGTTTTTCGGTTAACAAGCAATGTTTTTTTTTTAAACTCTTTTCATAAATTTTCATATTTCAAAGGCCAAATTCTCAATGAAAACTTTTTTTTTTTAAATGAACTGTTTTTAAATGAAAAAAAATTTGTTTAAAAATATTTTTGAATTTAATAACAAACAAAAAAATTCGTTTACTTTAGTAGATTTCATTTATTCACGTGTCTCACTAAATTAAATTCAGAGAGTGAAAAGATTAATGGTTGTTTTTGCTCTTAAATCGATTTCAAGAAGAAGGCGTGTATGGCGTTTCAATCATGGGATGTACACTAATCATTTACACTTTTACAAAACAATTTTAACACTAAAAATAAATTGTAAAACAAATAAAATTTGTAAAAAGAAAAAAGAAGTATTTTCTTAAAATTGATTTTATTCTTACCAAAATTAAGGAAAAAATTTGATCCAAGGGAAATTATTTCTAAAAGTATTTTTGGATTTTATTTAAATGGAGATATTTATGTACATTGTAGAGTGTGTGAAATTAAACAAATTCCAACTAGAAGTGCAGGAGCAATATTCTCGAAGGCGGGCGTATATATATATATATGGGGATGAAAAAGTCAACCACCGTTTGCTTTCGCAGTGAGTGACAGGTTTACTAATACCAACTCTTATTCCAACGCGCCCCTTCACCTTGACAACACTATCTACAAATAACCCTTTTTGTCACGATGTTTTTGCATGTAAATGTTTTTTCTTTAAATCATATGTAATTTTAAGGGTTTTTTTTTTCAATAAATGAAAACACAAAGAAGCTATATAATCATTTTGAATTAATAACTAGTGAATTTTTAATAATAATCAAATTAATTGAAATTAATACTCGGGATTTTCATTTAGTGGAATTTTTAGAGCTTTTCTTTACAGAAACAAAAGCGGTGATAAAAAAAATTTTCTTTTAGAACGATGCTGAAGTACGCAACGTTTATATAAACGATTTTTAAAGAAATAATTTTTTACAATGAAAAATTCTATAAATTTTTGCCTAAAAAATATTTCTTGTAGTTTTCATTAATCAACAAATTATACAAAAAATATTTTTTAGGCAAAAAATTATAGAATTTTTCATTTTAAAAAATTATTTCTTTAAAAATCGTTTATATAAACGTTGCGTATACTTCAGCTTCGTCTTTTAGACAGATATAATTATAAAAAAAAATATATTTTTTTTCCTAGTCTCTCAATCGGATTATATTTTTGAAAAGAAACTTAATTGACTTGAAAGTTCTTAGTCTGGAAAATCTATAGTATTTGTGTTAAATGAGGAATTGAAAAATTAGTATATAAGGGGAAAAAAGGAGAAAACTAAAAGTGCGTCGAGTAATACAGAATATATAGAAACAAAATATGCACTCGCTTGGTTTATCCCTAAGGTAATACCACTTTGGGATCGTTAATCTTGCAAAGTTGTCTATCCAGGATCGAAGTAAATATTTTTGGGGCGTGGAATTTACAAGTGATGAACTATAAGTCGAGGAAAGGAAGGTCTTTTTTTTCACGTTGTTTTAACCCTGGGAGTTTGAGATACATTTAAATATATACATAAACTTTCTGAATTTTAAGATTTTTGTGTTGGAGAACAAAATTTCTATTATATAAATAAAAAAGAAATATGAAAAATAAATATATATATATTTTTAATAATAAATATAAATTTACTTTATAGGTAATTTAAATTGACGAAATTTCAATTTCTTTTGATAAATTTAATATTGTTGTATTTTGAAATTTAGAGAGTAAATTATATACAGTTTGCGCAAACTCTGTGTCAAATTGTTTTAATGTATGTGATCGTTCTACTTACATATTTTTTTATTTTTGCCACACCCTGACCAATGATTAGATGGTTGCAACCCTTTCTTTGAATATGCAAATGTTTACTTCAAATACTGATAAGATCGTTGAACTAAATCCTATGCGTTTGTAAATTGTGAAACCTTCCACTTTCTTCCATTTTAATTGTACCTAGAATTTAATTAAATTTTTACAATAAAATCAAAATTATAAATAATAAAAATAAGTAAATTAATAATAAAAAATATAATAATAACAATAACAACAATAATATCCCACACTAATGTGCGTAAATTTTTTCCTCTCCTAAACTTGTTTTAGAAAAGAAAATAAATAATAAAATAATAGTACAATAATTAATTAAATAAGAAAAATGTTTAAAAATGTAATAAAAAAATAGTATTATTACAATTTTTATAATTTAGATTAGAATTTGTTTAATTTAAAACAATTTTCTCTATAAAAAGAATTAATTATTATTATTAATTATTTATTTTTTATTTTCCTATTGTTTATTAAATTATGATTAGTAAGAAATCATTATCATCCACTGTCGATAAAAATAAAATTTCCATTTTAAAATCATAAGAAATTAAAAACAAAGTCAAAAATAGTTTAAATATTCAAATTTTAAAACAAATTCGAAAAAAATATAATAATAAAATAATTGAAAAATTAAAAAAAGACACCATCAGTCGGAACAATTTATCCGTCGAGTGAAACTCGAGAGCTTTGAAAAATTTCCGAAAGCAACGCAAGTGTCGCTGAATTTTTGTTACTAGAGTAAAATCGTCTATAAACGAGAAAAACAAGAAATTTATTAAGAATGTTGTTGTTGTGTTGTTGAGAGAACCAATACAACTGTTCATTGTGAACTCTGTCACAGTAATATCAATAATCCGATACGAGTGTAGAAGTTGAATTTTTTTTTTTTTACTCTATAATGAAAATTATAATAATCTACCGGCTTTAGTAGAATAAATAAAAAAAAAAAAAAAGAACATGTCCTCCTGTAGTGATTTATCTCGATCTCACGAATATTTAAGTTTTCGAAGTTCTGTACCACTTCGAAAAATTGTTGTTGATATTGATGGTTCTAAGGTAAATTGTTTAAATATTTAATTTTTTTTAAATTCAAAATCTTTTTTTTTTTACTTTTAAATAATTTTTTAAAATAATTTTTTCAAATTTGAAAATAATTTATTAAAATTTATATTTCTATTTTGTTCCTGTCTCATTATAAAGGTTTTAATTAACTGAAAATGATAAAAGATAAATCGAATTAATTTATTTGTTGACAAGTGAATAGAGTAGAAGCGTAAAAAAATTTTTTTATCATTTCCCGAAGAAAATCACACGTGATTTTTGTACGTATTTTACAAAAACGATATCAATTTCTATTATTTCTACTAGAATATTTAGTTTATAAATTAAAAAAGTATTATAAATACGTCAATAGTACTTTATCTTTTTATTAATGATAATAATGAGTAAAATATATTTTTTTAAAACAAAGAACTAGTTAGAAAAAAAAAACTAAAAATATGAATAAATTATTTGTAAATAAAAAAAACTATTTTAAATTATTTAAAAGCAATTTTTTTTTGTTAATAAATAAAAAATTTAAAATATTTGGAATAATGTTTAATAAAAAAAAAAAAATAATATTCGTAATATGAAACTTCTACAAGTATATCAAATATTTTTTCCTTTCACTCATATTGCGCGTATCAATACAAAAGATCTGTGATATATATTATTAAACAATATTCCTTAAAGAAATTTAGACGTATTATTATGTTTTCTTATCACCTGTGAAATTGTTTTCAATTTTTTTTTTTCAGCAAATTTTTTAGACTTTAAAATCTCGCGAATTTTTCCTCTAAAAATTGATAATTAAAAAAAGAATTGTTAATAAATGAAAATAAATTATTTTTAGGGATGGAAAGTATATGATTCAAATCCAAAGACTGTTAAGTGCCCTCTCATTTGTCTTCCTCCTGCCAGTGGAACGGCGGATATTTTTTTTAAACAAATTCTTGGATTAGCGGCAAAAGGATATCGAGTAATATCGGTAAAAAAAAATAAAAGCATAAATAAATAAAAATATAACTGAAGTGTTCTTTTTTTAAATTTTTTAAATTATTTTTCAGGCTGAAGCACCTGTTTATTGGAATGTTAAAGAATGGTGTGAAGGATTCAAAAAATTACTGGATTACATGGAATTAGATAAGGTTCACCTTTTCGGTGCTTCTCTAGGTAAAAATTTATAAAAAAAAAAAAAAACAAAAATTGCAAAAAAGCAAACAAAAAAAAAATTTATAGGACATAAATTGAATTTCACTTCTTTATTATTATTTAAACCGATATTGACTCTTGTGATAAAAATTTAAATCTAGATCATTAACAATATATGATATTGATTGCAATACTCACTTTTGTATATTTATTTTCGATGATAAGAGCACAGTTGATTTAATTTTTGTTTGAATATACCAAAGGAGTAGATTTAAAATTGGATCCAATTTTTTTCTGAATTTTAATCACATGAATCTGAAAAATTAATTACACAGAAGAAATTAAAAAAAATAAAAGTAAGTAAATATAAGTAAAAATATAAAAAGTAAGAAAAAATTGAAATTTTAGGAGGATTTTTGGCGCAAAAATTTGCAGAAGTAAATGCACATTGTCCAAGGGTACTTTCTTTAATTTTATGTAATACATTTACGGATACTTCAGTCTTCAGCTATAATGATTCCGCGGCTGTGTGAGTTTTTTTAATCGAAATCTTTTTAAATATAAATTAAAATTGAATTTTCTTTAATGAAATAAAAAAAAATTTTTTATTCAGGTTCTGGATACTTCCATCATTAGTGTTGAAAAAAATGGTAATGGGAAATTTTGAATCGGATAAAGTTGATGGAGAAATAATAGAAGCCATCGATTTTATGGTTGAAAGGGTAAAATTAAATGAAATAATTTCTAAATTAATTAAAAATTAACTAAATTTAAAATGAACTAAAAATTACAAAATTCTATATTTTTTTTTTTTTTTTTTGAAGCTGGAGAGTTTAACACAACCGGAATTGGCATCGAGATTAACAATGAATTGTGTAAATTGTTATGTGCAACCGCAAAAAATTAGTCATTTACAAATTACGATAATGGACGTTTTTGATGAATACGCTTTATCAAATGTTGTCAGAGAAGAAATGTACAAATGCTATCCAAATGCCAAATTAGCCCATTTAAAAAGTGGCGGTAATTTTCCTTACTTAAGTAGATCAGCAGAAGTTAATCTACATTTACAGGTAAGCATTTTTTTTTCTTTTTTATCAAAAATAAACAAATTTTATTTTTAAATTATTCCTGAGGGAAAATGTAAAAAATAAAATTAGTTAATGTAAAAAAAAATAAATTTTTTTTTAGTTTAAATAAATTAATATTTATTTTCTTGAGTATTTTTATATGAAATTAAATTGAAATTTGCAGATTCACTTGCGACAATTTGAAGGTACGGAATATTCGGCTTCAAGTCGAAAGAAAATTTAAATGAAAAAAAAAAAAAAAGAAATATTGTATATATATATAAAATTATTGACGACTCAGTTACCGAAATATATGAGAAAAAGACAGTAATATAAAATATGGAATAGAAAAAAAGAAATGAAAGGAATAAATGAAAATGGGATATGCTAAGACAACTCAACGAATTCCTATGATATTTCTTTTATTTTTTGCAAGTTGCAAAAATCTAATTTGGTTCTAAAATAATCTATGCCTAAATAATTTTCTATTTGAATTTTTTAAATAGAAAAAAAATTTTCTCTATTCATTGTTTTTTCCATTATAGATACATAAATATCGTCTCTACCTCCTTTTTGAGGATTTTGTCATCTATCCTACATTTGTTAATTTTTCTTTTTATTTTTTAAAAAATTTTTAAATATGAAATTACAAAATAGAAATATTAATTTTAAAAGCTTAAAAAATGCTGGTCAAAGAAAATATTTTCAAATAAGTTATATATTATTATTATATATTGAAAAATACTCTATGTTAATTTTCCTTGTTGATTCTTATTGTACTTTTGTTATTTATAGAAGATCATTTTTTTTTATATTCACGTAATTATTTTAAGCAGATTTATACAAGTTTCCGACTGAATATAAAAAACAAATATTAGAAAAAAAAAGATTTATATAAAATGCTAAATATAATGGAAACACTTATATTGAAAAGTGTTTTTGTTTTATAGATTATTTCGTGGGGGAAATAAATAATTTTTATAAGCAAATTTTAAACGCGTGTTTTTTTAATCACCAACTGAATTTTTTTTTATAAATCTATGTAATTAAAACAAATTAAAATTTGTTGTATAATTTTTCCTTTTAATTTTTTTTTGGAAATTAAATTACTTGAAAAAAAAGTAAATTCTTATAATAGATGAAAATTACAAATAGAAAATTGTCCTATTTTATATATTATAATTAACTTTTCTTGAGTGGAAAAGAGACCGTACAAGAACAAACGTGATATCGATTTCGCGTTTCTCTTGAGAATCTCATGTTTCATGGAGGGCAAAACTTAAAGTAAAGGTAGATAAAAAAAAAAAATGTTCATTCCTGTATGACTTTTACTCAGTTACATTTCATCCAACTTTGAGTTCACTTATATATATAGTCATCATATTCTGAATTCCAATCTATTTTCGATTGTTATATTTTTTTAAAAGTAAAAAAACACTATACCGGAAAAAAAATAATAATCTGACAATTTTAATTAAACAGTTGTTAATTAATTTTGTTGTTTTCTTAAAACAAAATCCAATTAATTTAAATACCTCTCGGTATTGTAATAATGACGCATAACGAAGTACCAGTTTTCTTTTTTTTTAATTACAAACTGATTAGAATCATCAAACAAAAATGAAAATTAATTATTGCATTTACTATTAAATATTTAATTTAATTTTATGTAATTTATAAATTTGCTAATTTAAAACAAACAATTTTCTATTAGGAATTTTTTGTTTAGTAGAATTTTATTTTTCGTTTTTTTAAAAGTTAAATAAATATTTTAAATGTATTTTTAAATTTATTGCATCGTGATCAATATTAAAATATAATTTGTCAAAGTTAGTGAAATGAAATTAAAGGAAATGTGACTGTGTGCGATATAGTTGAGGATAAAACATGATATCGTTGGCCGTGCAGTGATTCGCTTGCACATCGCGCGCCGCCTACGAACATTAAACACTTTTTTTTTTTTTTTTTTTTTGTATTGTCATATTAAGTTATCACAGGTGTTAAGTGGATTTCCTCTTTTTATAAATTGGAATAACGCGTGACGCGTGTGTTTTAAGTTTTGATAATAAGTCAATAATTATATTTGAAAAACCAAGGGGAAACAAAAAAGTAAACTCTGTGAAATATGAGGAAACATTTTTTTACAAAGTTTATCAACAAAGTGTAACTGACAAAAAAAAAAAATAATAATTTGAAAGGTAATTCTTTTTTGAAATTTAATAAATTGTGTAAAAATTAGATTAGACAAGAAAATTTTTTTTTTTTTTAAAGAAAAACTATATTTGAAGCAGTGGAAATTAAAAAAATTACTTTTTCAATATTTTATAATTCGTAATTTATAGAAAAAGAGGAAATAATTGCGGTTAATAGGAAAAGTGAATTTTTTCACTTTGTAATCTTTCCTTATGAGGAAGTAGAGTATGTGACATGACAAAGTGAAAGGAAGCATCTAACAATTCTGAAGTACTCTTTAAAGAAGTGTTGATTTATATTATATTTAATAAAATTTTCATTAAGTATTTTTCCATTGATAATTGTTTTAATTATGTCAAAAATTTAAGAAATTGGCTGTATGAATTTTTGAATTCTCTTATTTTTGAAATATTTTTGTTTTCTATTTGTATTTGGTTTTTTGTATTTTTCTGTATTAGGTTTTTATTTGCATTTATTAATTTTATTTATTTTATTTGTATTTTTATTTAAAATTTTATTTATTTCAATTTATTTTTGTAAGTCTTCATATGAAAGACGATTAGTGTTTATTTTTATGTTCAATTTTAATTTATTTTGAATATCCGATTTTCCTTTCTTTTCTTTTTATTACTTTTGTATTTAATTAATTTATTTTAATTAATATTATTTTCAAGAACAAAATAAACAAATTGAAAAACAATAATTTGGAATCTATTTTTTTACCTTGTACGTGGATTAATTTTTTCGGTAGCTCATAGTTAAAATTTCGATTTTACGTTTTGATCTTTTCTCTGCATTTTTTTTTTTTTTTTATATCCGTTTTCTTTTGGCGCCAGAATTTCGAAACCTGAAATAGAAAATAACTAATATGAATAAATGCACTAAGAATTTTTTTTTTTAATTCAATAATAGTAATTTAAGTTTATAAAATAAAGAAAAAAATGAAATAGAATTTGGTGATTTTCTAAAAAATCGAATTTTCTCGTTTCAGATAATAAAATAAAAAACAATGTCTGGGTTAACATTTATCAATTTGATTTTATAATTAAGAAAGAAGTTTCCATTTTTAAATCGGATTCTTTAAGAAAAAAAAAAAAAAAATGGATGAAGCAGGGGAACGAGTTCCTCTTGTCGATGGTAAAGTTGCAATTGCAACAAGATATGCTTATGCTTTAGGACATATTTTCAATGATTTAGCAGCTGCCATGTGGTTTTCTTACACATTATTGTTTCTACAAAGAATTTCTCTTATTCAACCTGTAGTTGCTGGTTCTCTATTACTATTAGGTTTGTACCAAAAAAACGAATTAATTTAATTTTTTTTAATCTTAATTATTTTTTGCTTTATTTGTTATTAAAGAATTTAATTAAATTCTAATTTTTAAAAATTCTTCTCCTACAGGACAAGTTATTGACGCTTTAATGACACCAGTTTTTGGATTTCTCATTGATAATTATGCGAAAAAAAAAATTTGGCACATTGTTGGATCGGTTATGGTGACACTTTCGTTTCCCGTGATTTTTGGAAGTTTTGTAACATCAGAAAATCCAAAAACAATGATGACAATTTATATAATTAGTATAACACTTTTTCAAACTGGTTGGGCAGCTGTTCAAATTTCACATTTATCTATGATTCCAGCATTAACAATTTCTCCACTTGTACGAGCAGATTTAACTGCGATTCGGTAAAAAATATCAATTGAATTTCATAAATAATTAAATTTTTGTTTAAATAATTTTTTTTTAATTAAATCTAAAAATGTAAATATATAAATTTTTAAAAAGGAGAAATTCATAAAAAATTCTAGATATTCTGCACAAGTTGGTGCTGCTGTGATAGTATTCATAGTCACCTGGATAGTTTTACCGACTAGTGAAGATTTTGTTGTGAGATTAGGAACGCAAGACGATTACAAATTTAGAGTAAATGGAAAATTCTTTAGTCTTTCAATATAAAATATTTCAAATTAATAAAATTAATTTCCATAAAAAATTCAAAATAGAAAATTTTCAAAAATTATGTTCTTTTACAGAATATTGTGTTGATTTTAACAGTACTTGGAATAACAGCAACGATTCTATTTCATATTTTTCTCAAAGCTCATTTACTAGAAGATACATCATTGAAATCAAATGTTGAAAATGTTTCTCGATTTCATGCAAATCGTAGAATGTCAGGAACAAGTATATTATTGAGAGTTGCTCTTTTATACGTTGCAAGTAGATTATTTCTAACATTAGCAACTGTCTATTTACCTTTATATATTGAAGAAACGTATGAAGGGGGAAAAGCAGCTTTAGCCACTGTGCCTTTGGTTTCATATCTCGCATCTTTTGTATCCTCAATATTTTTAAAATACATCAATCGTTCCTGTGGTTCCAAGGTATTCCTCTTTTTTTTCCATTTCAGTTCTGTAAAAATAAAATTAAAAAAAAAAAAAATTTTTTTAATTTAAACGTAATTGTAATTAAATATTTTTTTTTTGAGAAATTAATCTACTTTGCAGGCTTGCTATTTAATTGGGGCAATTACAGGAACTTTGGCTGCAATTGTAACTGAATTTGCAGGAAGTAGCACTGCTGTTATATATTCAGTTGCAATTTTAATTGGAGCTGGAAGTTCAATAACAATGGTTACAGCTTTGAGTGTAACGGCAGAACTTATTGGATCGAGAACCGATAGAAGTGCTTTTATCTATTCGGTGGTTACATTTCTTGATAAAGTTGTAACCGGTCTTGTTGTAATTTTCATAGAGCAATGGTAAAATGAAAATAATTTTTTTTACCATATAGAATTAATTTTGAAAATATAATTATTTTTTTTTTCAGGAGATGCCAAGAAAAGGAACTCTGTCCAAATTATAATCGAGACACATTATCGGTAGTTTGTGCCTCATCAATGCTTTTAGGAATGATGACACTCGCAACACTTACTCGATGTTATTCATAAAAAAAAAATAATTACTTAACCTTAAAAATAATTAAAATCACAAAAAAAATTGTGTAATATTTCCTTTTTGAGAAATATTCAATTGTAATGTAAATATATTTTCCACTGTGTACATTTTATACAAAAATTTTGATAAATTATAAAAAAGAGAAAAATTTCATATAACGATTATAATAAATTCAATTCTTATATTTTTTGAATATTTTTAATTTTTCTAATCGATTTAAATTTAATTTATATAAGTATTTATTAATTTATTCACAATAGAAAATATCTTACCGAATTTGAACCTTCAATTAATTCAAGAGACAGGCAACAAAAATGGCGAATGTATAAAAAAAACGTAAAAAATTTACTTTTTTTTTTTTTTTTGCAAATTTAGACGAATTATTATCGATAAAAAGTGTAAATTTAACTCACCTCTTTTTAGAAGGTATTGAACAATACTCTCGTTGATTGAAAACTAATTAATTTCCACTTTTGAATGCCGATTAATTGTGATTAATTAATGACGCCAATTAACAATACTTGAGACGAGTAAAAAAGCACAAAAAGTGAAATGTCCGTTACATTTAGTTTTTTCGGGGGGAAGATAGAGGGAACGACCTAGTCATTTGAGAAACTTTTCTAAATTAAAGGAGTATATTTAAATCAACTATAATCTATGAGAATAATTAATTTGTTAATTTTTTCAATATTTAATTTACTAATTACAAATTTAATATAAATAATGCTATTAAAAATTAGTGAATTATCTTAATAAAAAGTAGTGATTTTGACAAGTGTGGTTGAAATGCGCAGTAACCAGTGCGCAATAAGAAGCCAACGGCCAGTAATTTAAAATTGAGAACTGTATTTATTAATTTCTTATAGAAAATATTAAAAATATACTAATAAATTATAGATATTATGATTCTATATAAACTCAAATTATTATTACTATATTAACATTTAATGATTTTATAGTATTTTACTTCAAATAATAAGTTTTTCTTAATATTTTTCAAAACGTTACTGTTTCGTCACTTCCGGTATAGTAAAAATCAGTTGGTAACACTGCGCATGATTTTTTTTTGTACGCTACAATTGGCAGTCATTTATCATTCACTTCACACTTATAACATCGGGTTTTGAAATGACTTTTTATGTATTGTATGCAAAATAAAACTTAGTTTATATGGTTTGTGAAACGTTACAAAATTATATTATCGTGATAATTATTACTCAAAGTACACGCTAAATTATAATATCATTTTGATATTGTATCTTTAGAGTTTGACTAGTGAAAATTGCTGTAAGTTGATACAAACATAACCTCTAGAGTATTGTTCAAACGGTTTTTAAAACACAGTTTTTTACGTCAATGGGGTTGAAAACCTTATATTAAATCATGAAGGAGCTGGAGGATACAAACTGCGAAGTAAGTAAATTATTTTATTTCTATTTTTATCTATTTTTTCAATCTTAAAATTACTGATTCCAAAGAAACGCGTGGTTGGAATTATGTTGTACGCATTTCCCGCTCGTTTACAAAAATTTCTTTACTATTTGTTAAAATTTCCATTTTTTTTCATTATTTTTACATTATATTTGTAGATTTATTATTATTCTACTTGTGTGTTTATTTAGAATGTGTTTTTGAAATTAATTTTAAAGTTTTAATGTCACGATGAGAATTAAATTTCACTGTGTCAAATGTTTTATATTATTAATTGTTTTTTTTTTCTTTTTTTTTTTAATTATAATATTGATTTAAATTGTTGATTTTATTTTTGTCTCTAGAATCGCAGAATTATCGAACTTCAATCGTCTATTTGGGATCGACTTAGTGCAACATCAGAAGATGAACAATCACCGGGTAATGGAGCAAATGATGCATTTGAATCCATAAAACCGTTGGGTGGCTTTTTAGATGGAACAAATCATGCTTGGTTAAGTTTTGGTAATCGTTTAATTGTTCTAAATGCAAGAACAGGAGAAAGCGTTAGTTCGTGGAATTTTAGATATCGAATAACAGCTGTTTCTCCATTTCCAACACAAGCAGGACAACTTCCTTTGCTATTAATAGGTCTCGATAATGACGCTCAAAAAATTAAAGACTCTATTGGTATGATTTGTGTCTTCAATTGCACAACTTCACGTATTTTAAGAGTCATACGAGTAAGTAAACATTTTTATTATTTCCGTTTTTTGAAATTATTTCACAATTTTTTTTATTTATTAGTTTCTTATTATATATTTTTTTTATATTATATACATATTTTTTGTATTTATATTTATTTTGTCTTTTTTTTTTTTGTTTTTATAAACAAATTGTTGACATGAATTTAATTTTAGGTTCCATGTGGTGTAGAACAAATTTGTGTGATAAGCGGAGGTTCCGAGTGGGAAGAATTATGTGATGAAAAAGTAGCAACAATTTTTGGAAGTAATTCAGGTGTGGCGTGTGTTGCTTTACGCAATTTTGATTATCTTATTATTGATCTTCAACGATCATCATGGGACAATGTGAATCCTTATCTTGTAACGGATGAATTATCTCCTTATGAGATTGAACTTCCTAATTCTAAAGGATCTTCCTCTTCATCGAGACGTTCTTGTATTAAAGAGAAACATTCAGCTTACAGTTTAATTAATAGTCGTGAGTATTCACTTTTTTTTATTAATTAATAAGTATAAGTATTTAAATTAAAATTTCGAAGATAATTTAGCTTATTGGAATAAATATTTGATGATAATATCAATTATTTTATTGATTATTTGAAGATTATTTCAATTATTTTTTTTTAACACAATGTAATTTCAATAATTTGATTTAATATTTAAAAATATTTTCAATTATTTTATTTATTATTTAACAAAGTAATTTTAATAATTTGATGAAATATTTAAAGCTAATTTAAATTATCTGAGTTATTTGAAAATATTTTCAATTATTTATTTTTTCACATAAGAAGGTAATTTCGATAATTGTATTTTATATTAAAAGATAATTTCACTTATTTGATTTAATATTTCAAAATATTTTCAAAAATTTGATTAAATTCTATTTAAATATTTTAGGATATTTTCAATTATTTTATTTAATATAAGAAAGTTATTCAATTATTTCATTTATTATTTACAGATAATTTCAATTATTTAATGTAATAATTAAATATATTTTCAATGATTTTATTTAATATTTGAAAAAAGTTTCAATTAGATTAAAAAAATTTTTAAATTGATATTTAAGGATATTTTCAGTTATTTATTTTAATATTTGATGATGTTAACTTAAATGAAAATAATTTGATTCAATATTAAAAGATTTTAAAAACTTATTCGATTAATTAATAATAAAATATTTATTTCAATTAAAAATATCAAAAAAATTTTTTTTGCAGGAATTGATAAATATATAGGTTTCAATCGGGAGACGTTTGAGTTGATGAACCTCCCAGAGGAGAAATTGACAACGTCGCTAATAAATTCAAAGAAAATAGGATGCCTAATAGCAGGTTGCCTTGGACGTGTTATATTATGGCAAAGTGATGGTTCAATTGGTTGGATAAGTCCAAAATTTGATGATAATATGTCAGTGAGTCATTTGGCATTAATAGAACCAGTTGATGATCCAAGACCATTTTATTATCTCTGGATAACATGTGAAGATGATTCAGGTGTTGCAGCTCCAGTTCTTCGAATGTATGCGATGCTATTTGATAAAAAATCATCATCATCATCATCAGATAATGATGAAATGAATTTTAAACTTGAAGGTGATCCAAGTTTAAAATTTGAAATTGAATTAGATGAAGGCGATACAATTAGTTGTTTATTACCAATTGAGAGGGAGAATATTATTGATCAAAGTGATATGTCGTCACGTCGTGGTGAAGAAAGTTTATTATTAATTGGCACAAATAATCGTATGTTATTATTTGATTTAAATCAATGGTATCGTGAACAAATGCCATTAACAGCATCGGAATGTTCTAATCAAAATAGTATATTGGCAAGTTATAGAACTGGTAATTTGATGCCAACATCGGTAAAAGATTTAATTGTCAGTACAATTTATGTTCCATCATCAATTAAGGAATTTGTTAATTGTGGTCCAAATGTAATGGAGGAATTATTTTTTCCAAATTCGTTATCATTTGAATGGATTGAATTAAGTGTGAGTAAAATAACATTTTGGTTGACGAGAGGTGTACAAGCGGATTTATTGAGAAAAATTGTGATTATGGGACCTGTTTCATTAATTCAACCGATTGATTTATATCATCGTTGCATTGCAGCTGGACTTGTACCATTTAATGTTGAATGTTCGTTTAATAGCGATCATAATAAACAAAGGGAAATGTTACTCTCTTTGTGTTTAGAGCAAGGTTGGTCGCATTTTTTGGTTAAATGCGCTAAAGAATGGTCTGATGGTAGTGCATCGTATTTGTTTCCTGCATTTATCCGCTGGAGTATTCAACGTGGTACGTCGATTAAAATTTATGCTGATCAATTAAGTGCATCGCTTTTTGATCAATCGGGCACAAAAATTGGTGAGGCGGAGGCAAAAATTTTACGATTTTGTTGTCAACAACTTGAGTGTTTATCAATTGTTGTTAATGAATTGAATGGAGATTCGATTGATTTTATAAGACAACAAAGAGCATTGAAGAGAGTTGCAAATTATTTTCAAGTTCTTCTTTGGTTTCATGATATGGGATTACTTCCGGAATTATTGGAGAGTGATGATAGAATTTGTTATCCTTATCAAAGACTCATGGGAATGTATAGAGAAAGAAGGGAGAAATTAAACGCAAAGAGAAATAAAGAAGAGGATTGTCTTTTTATTGATAATTTGATAAATCGAGAATGTTCATTATTAAAATCACAATGGGAAAAGGAAGGTGTTGACGTTGGTTCTGTGGGTGAATATCCAGCGCCTTCTTTACAATCTCTTATTCGTTGTTATTTGGCCGATTGTCATGAGGATGAATACATTGATTTAGAGAATAAACATCAAATTATTTATTATTTTCTCTTGGATTTATCAATGTTTTTAAAAGATTCATGTGCAATTAAAAATCAACTTATTAAATATCCAGCGGCTTTTAAATTGAGTCCAAGTCTTATAAAACTTGTTCAAGCATTTTGGCTACTTGATCATGAGGATTATCAAGGTTTTCTCGATGTTATCACAATGGAACTAATATTGGAATCTGATATCAAAGATTGGCATCATCAATTGGTGATTAAAAATTTAGTTCATGAGAATCAGCATAAAATGGCTTTGATCTATTTGAGAGTGAGGAAACCACCTTTAATGTCAGTTGAGGAACAAGAGACGGTAATTAGTCTTTCCGTTGAATATGGTTTGGTACAATCAGCATTTCATTGTCGGCCATCGTCACATTATTCACAACTTCTTATGAGATTTTTCCGTGCTTGTAAAATTTATGGAAAATTAGCGGAAATTTTACATTTATCTTTAAATAAAGAGGAGGAGGATGCGTTTATTAAATTTCTCGAGGAGGACAAATGCGAGGAGACAAAATTAATTTATTATCTTCAACGTTCACGTCATTTGGAAGCGAGTCAAATTTCATCAAGTTCACGTTTTGCTCTTCAATTAAATGAACCAATATCATTAAATATGTTTAAAGCGTACAATAACACATTACCCGATATTACGAGACGTTTTACTAATAGTCAAATGAAAAAAAATTCCGATATTGATGATACACGATATCCAAGGCCAATGTCACACGCTAGAAGTTATAATAGAGTTCAGGGAATTTATGACACTGTGATTAGAAAGGCAAAGGAGACATTTAATCGTGGTGAAAGAATTCAGGTACCTTTTGTGAGTGCACCTTGTATGTCATTGAAAATTCATCCACCAAGCAGTGTTGTCAATTGTGTTCAATTTATGGAGAAAAAGAAACGTCCAATGGAGAGAAAAGAAGAGGAAGATGAGGATGACGATGAAGAAATTGAATTGACCGAGACAAAAAGAATTAAACTTTCTCAGGAACAATGTAGAAGTTCAAATAATCAGAAAAGAGATCAAATAAAATTCAATAAAAGTTTAGATAAATCTACATTGGGTATTGATGCATTATTCAACACACCATTGGTTAAATGTAAAACAAAATTCACAAATCCAATAGGTACATCACTTGAAACACCGCATTCAATTCTCAAAATTCGTCAATTAATCCGACTTTCTGATTCGTCGAGTCTTAATAATACTCTTAATGTTGATTTACCATCTGAGGCAATTAGTGAGAAAAAACCAAGACAAATTCGTTTCAGTGTGAGTCAATTAAATGACGATAGTTTTGATACAAGTGGCGTTAAGGCAATTAATGATTCTAAAGAAATAATTGACGAAGAACCATCGGAAATAAGTGAGGAACATTTCTTTAGTCCAAGTGTCAGTGTACGATCAGAAGAGAGTTCAATATTATCCGATACGAGTATTACTTATCCTGGACCAAGACCAAGACCAGGATTACAAAGACGTAGTGCTAATTTATCATTAGCTAATTTATCCTCTTTACCTGGAACACCAACATCACATTCAATATCCAGTAAAGATGTTTCAAATTCAAATGATAGTTGTAAAAGTTATCGAACAAAAGAACCACAATCAATTTATTCATCGCCAATATTGTCAGATTCAAGTTATGATGAAAATTTCAAAACGACACGTATCACAAAATCAATGTCATTTACATGTGTCGTGAAAACTGTCGTTGAAGAAATGGAAATTGTCAATGAGAACAATGAAGAATTAAATGACACTGTTGTTGAAGATGTGAGCATTGAAGAACTTGATATTCCTGTTAGAGAAGAATCTAACATTAGTCATAAAATGAGTAAAGAAAATGATAGAACGATTGAAATTAATTCAGACGACGAAGTTGAAATTAATAATGAAAAATCGACAAAAGAAGGTGAAATAATTAACGGTGAGAATGTTCATGATGATAGTAAAGTTCATGAAGATACAAATAGAAATATTCTTCCTGAAGGAACAATAATGGATCATTCTCTTGATAATGATGGAAAAGAATTGGAAGGTGAGAGTTCAGATGAATTGGAAATGTTACCATTGAAAGATTATGAAGACGATGTTTTTGAAAGTTTATCAAACAGTACTGCTGTTGAGAAATCAGTTTCTAAGGATATTTCTCAGAAAATTGATTTCTCAAAATTAGATAATGAATCGACAATGATTCTCAATCAAAGTTTATCAGATAGTGAAAAAATTGATGAATTTGAAAAAATAAATCCACTGGAAGTTGAATTAAAATCAGATGTTTCGAAATCCGATTCTGCTTATTTAAGTAATTATAATACAACATCCCTTATTGAGAATCCATCGGAAGAAATAATAAATCAAGAAATTGAAAAAATTTCAAAACGAAGAGTTTCACTTCGTAATACGCCAGTTAGAGAAATTCGAACAAGAAGAGCATCTTCGATTGTTAAAGAAAATCTAATAACTGATGATTCTTCTAAAATTGAGGAAATTAAAAAGAAACGAGAGACAAGATCACAAAAAACTCCAGAAAATATTGATGAAAGCACACGAGAAACAAGAGCACAAAAAGTAATTTCATTATCGAATAGTAAAATAATTACAACTGATGAGAAAATTTCCAAAGGTAGGGAAATAATACAAAAAACATTATTGGCTAGTCAGGAGAATTTAGAGGAGAGTTCAACATCAACGCCAAGAAGATCAAGAAGAGCTTCTTCGGTTACGAAAATAATTGACTCCGATGAATTGGAAAAGAAAGCCGTTCGATGTAAAACACCTTTGAGAGAAACTAAACGAAAGAATGAAGAATCACAAGTGGAAGAAGTTCGAACAAGACGTGGAAGTTCGTTAGCTAAAGAAATTTTATCATCAACCTTAGATCAGGGAAATAAATCAGGAGGTCGAAAAATCTCAATTGAATCGGAAGTTACACAAGTTACACCAAAACGTGGTCGTCCAAAAAAAATACAAGAAATTTCCTCTCAAGAAATTGAAAAGGAAGTGGAAGAAACATCACGAGCTGTGAGAAGAAATACGAGACGAGCGGCATCAGTGCAAAAGGATTTGACATGCATCGAGGAAATTGCATCCAAAACACAAGAGTCAACAATTTTGGAACCAGTCGAAATTGACACCACTGAAACAATTAAAAGAAGTAAGTCTATTATAATTTAAAAAAAAAAAATAATTAATATTTTAATAATTTTCATTTATTTTCAGCAACGAGATCTAGACGAGGAAATTCCGTCACGAAGGAAGTTCCACTGCCACGATTAACAAGAGGAGCTTCTCTAACAAAAGAAATTGTAAATCCCGAACCAGTGGAAACAGTGAGACAAACAAGAAGACGAGGAAATTCTGTGCCAAAAGAAATTTCACTAGTAAAAACGAAACGATCGTCAGAAAAAATAAACGAAGAAGCATCAAATGAAAATGAAGAATCAGAAATAAAAATTAAAAATACAACAGAAGAAATAAATATTCCTCCAACTAGAAAACGAACTCGTTGTCCATCGGTTCAATCGATACCTGAAGAAGTTGAAGAAATTTTAAATCTACCAACAAAAAGTAAATCAACGAGAGCAACAGCTGTTGAGAAGAAAAAAAAGGAAATTTTACCAAGATCGAGACGCGCTGCAAGTGTTGATTTACCAAGTGAAACTAAACGTTATACACGTAGTACACGATTAAAAGAATCTGATGTGATTTTAGAGGAGAGTCGAGAGGAGGAAGAAATGAGATCGAATTCACGTGTTGTTAGACAACATTCCAGAAGGAAAAGAGCAGCTTCTGAAACAAGTGCCGTTGAGGAGAAAAAAGAAGAAGAATCGAAAGTGGAAAAACCAAGAAGAGGAAGAAAAGCATCGCAAAAAGATGATGCTAGCTCTGAATTTGCTTTTTCGCCGCCTGAACAAACATCACCGCCAAAAGATAAAAAAGGTAATTTAAGAAATTTAATATTAAAATTTATATTAAAAAAAAATTAAAATTAAAAATAATTATAATTTTTCTATTTTTAATTATTTCAGGATTAAGTCAAGTACACAATTTTGTTTTTTCACCACCGCATACCAGATCGAAACAAACAAGCCTCCCTCCTAGGTAATTAATTTATTTAAAAAAAAAAGAAATAAAAAAAAAATTCATTACTTTTTCTATTTTACTTTGGAGAAAAAAAAATGGTGATGACATTAATAAAATTATTGTTCGTAAAATGCACTAACTTTTCATTAACCATTTCCCAAAGTTTACTTAATTTACTATTTAAGGCAAATTATATTTAACTTAATTTTTTTTTTTTTTTTATTTAGAAATTTTTAGCACGTAAATTTTTTTAATTTACACACACGTCTTTTCTTTCAACTTCTTTTTTCTAGGTAATATTTGAGTTTAAAGCTATTTAAATTTTTGTTTTTTTTTAAATTCAAAGATTTAGCTTTATTTGTATTTTTTTGCTCTGATCACAGCAGATATAAAAGTTTCAAACCAATCTTAACTGAAGTGGAAATGGAAGAAGATGCTGATGATGAATTATCAAGAGCTGTTGTGGAGGAAAAAAAAGAATTCCATGAAGATTGTAAGGAATCGAGAAATCCTATTGTCTGGTTTGTTCCCACAAAATTAAACTCAAGAAATAGTTTTACTTTGGGTAAATCAAATAAGCGGTAAAAATAATATTCATTTTTTTTTATAAAAAATTAATTTTTCTATAATTTTTAGAAATATAATATAAAAGAAAAGTCTACATCAACTGAGTTTTGTTAATTGAAAATAAGTATAAAACATTAAATTTACAGAAAAAATATTTTCTTTTTTTGGTATTAATTTTCTTTTTTACATTTTAGTTTTGTTTAATTAGAGAAAATTTATTTAGTTTACTATTTTCTTTTTTTTTAAATTTTTTTCTTTTCGGAACAAGAAAAAATAAATACTTATTTAATATACATATGTAAATAATTTATTTTCTATGTTGATGTACAGCTATATTAGTACAATAAATGTGTAAGAAAATTGATAATAAATCACCAAGTCTCCAATCACCGTAGAGTAATACATTTTTAAGCTCAATTTTTTTTTTTAATGTTTGTAAATCAAACATTATTTTAGGAGAAGGCTGGCACGCAAAAATTTGCGCAAGGCACAATTATAAATCGGTGCAGTCATTCTTATTTTTTTGTTTGATAAAAAAAAGCATTACAATAGTAAAACTTTTTTAAGATCTATATAATACCGGTACGTTTGTAAATTATGAATTTCGATTTGAAGGTCTAAAATTAATTTATGATAAACAAATTTTCTGTAAATAATTTGGTTTAGAAATCGCATTTTTTTTGTCTTTAAAAAAAAATTGTAGACCTTCAGAAGGAAATTTTTTTGAAGTCTAAGCGAATACTGTGTTATACATTGTACAATAAGTAATATATTGTTACATATACAATAAAATTGGAAAGGCATTCAAGTCGTTAACGGCGACAATAATTATGGCGCTAATTATATAGCGCATTTTTTTTTTTTTTGTTTTATTTGGTACAAACAATATTCTAATAAATCAAAGTGATCTCGTTTAAAAGCCAGCCAGATAAAAATTTTTAAATCTTTGGCAGTTTCAATTTTATCGCCGCTTTTTTTTTTAATAAAATCGAGTCACAAATACTTGTTCCTATTTTAAATACACAGAGAGGCTTTCTTAAGATTCAGTTTTTGAGATTCACATGATAATTTAAAAAAAAACAGATCTAAATATTGAAAGTACATTTTAAATAATTGCGAAATCAATATAAAAAATATAAATTTATCGAAACAATTTTGTAGAGAAAATTGTTAATCTAAAAATACACATGTACCTTGTGATGAAAGGCACTTACTTTGTATTCTACAAAGTATTTTTTTAAAATTTCTGAACACTATGGCAACAATCTCTTTTATAACTTTTGTTCTATATAAACATTCCGAGTTCATTAATTTCTTTATTTTTCTTATATTTATAAGTGTGATGAAAAAAAGTGTGAGTATTTCTCTTTAACTATACAAAAATAGAAAACTTATCAAAAAAAAAAAATTAAAATATAAAAATTCCAATATTAACAAAATAGTGGGAAATTAATGAACAACACTCATTCGAAGGAAAAAATCAATCTTATTTACCCTCTGATAAATCAAAATTTAGATTTTGATTTTAAAAGCCTCTTTTCTTTTTTTCTTTACTGTTGCTTACAACCGTCTTTAACTCTTCGTTTATTGTTTTTCTCTTCGTTTGTTTGTGGCGATTGATTTTGATTACGCCTTTGACCTTGAATTGGCATGTAACATGGAATATCGTCAACCATAATTTCCTGTGGTGATGGCGTTGGCAGTGTATAAACAGGACTCACAGTATTACTTGAATTTGTTGATGAATTACGATAAGCATTTCCATTGTAAGTTGGATCAATCATTGCTGCAACATTTGGAACTTCACGAATCTCTTCCTCTGGATCGTCTTCCAGTACTTGAATCTCCTCGGGATCAGTATCAGGATATTGGGGATAAGGTTTTTTTTTACCTTTTTCCGAATAGACCTTCAAGTCCAGCTTATCGGGTCTTTGTACTTTTTCAAGACTATTGTTACGTTCCTCAATTTGTGGTTGTTGTTGTTCTTGTAGTAGTTGTTGTTGTCGTTCGAGTTTTTTTTGTTTAGCACGTTCACGAGCACGTCTTGCTTTCGCTCGTTCCTTATCCTGTAACATTCGAGCAAGTTCCGCATCCTGAGCCTCTATTGCCATTTTTTGATCAAGAAGATATTGACTATTAATTGGTCCATCCTGAGAATCAATTGCTCGTTCCTCTTCTTCAAGTTGTAGCTTTCTGGCTAATTCCTAATTTGAAAATGTAATTTAAAATATTTATTCAAGAGTTGAAGAAAGAAATCTACTTACCTGATCTTTTTCTTCCTGAACACGACGTTGAATTTCCCGTTCGGCTTCCATTTGTGCGACCTCGTCATCCATTCGAAGCTGTAACCTCATTTTTTCACGAAGTTCACGATCCTTTTGTTGTTCTTCTCGTTCTAATGTCAGGGCTATTTGCCTTGCAACAACAGCATCTTTTTCCTCTCTACAATTATTAATTTGCTAATTTATTTCAAATCAGTAAAAATAATTCATAGTTTAAAAAAATATATATCTACTAACTGTTGTTGAACATGTGAATGATAACGCATTGCTTCCAATTCCTGTTCGACTCGAGCTTTTGGCAAATCTTCACGAACTTGTGCATTTCGACTTTTGTTACCAGTATAATGTTCTTTGACTAAAATTATCAATGAAATATATTTTCAAAATTATATATAAAAAAAAATATTCTGAAATAATTACAGAGAGAGAAAGGATCATTAAACTTTTTTTTTATTTCTGATTGTATACATATAAAGAGAACCGAGACCTCTATAATTTATTCCTCTCTTTTTTTCTCACGATTTCAAGCTGACGTTAGTCGATCGGAATTTCGTTCTTTATGTCTCGTAAAAAAATGACTCAATTTATGTATAAACAATATGTGTTTGTATATAATAAAATAAATAAAAACTTACTTTCTTCATCTTGTAGCCGATAGGCAAGAGCACCATCTTCATGTACCAACCATTCACGACAAACTGGAAAAGATTTTTTTTTTTTTGAGAAAATATGAAAGGATTTGAGTGACAGATATATAACAATAGAGAAAAAAAAAGGATTGACATACCTTCATTAACTCTGCCAGCTTTTGGTAATGTATCCGAACCAAGAACTGACTTTGCCATTTTTTTATTCACTCGCAATATTTATTTATATATAATTATACAAATTAAACCGAGGAATTGAACTTTTATTTTTTATTAATTCATTTATCCTTATGGAATGTTATGATTTCCGCGGATCCTTGCCTCTCTTGTTGTTTCTCTCAGACGCCATCTTAAATACCAATGTAACTTTTTTTATCTCCTGTCGGTAAATTATTTACTTTATCGATGGATTCTAACCTCAAAATTCTTTTTCAAAATCAAGTAAAGAAAAGTTTTGTTTAATATAAAGACGAATTTATTTAACAATATAAAAAAGAACAATTTTTTGTTTTAATTAATCTGATTGTGGTTCTTCTTCGGGATTCAAAAGTTTCTTGGTGATATTGGAGAATTTCTTTAATTTTGCAACAAAAAATCCATCCATATTATGTGTATGAGGATAAAATCTTCTTGTTAATTTCATCGATGGATGAAATCTATACTGTCTATAACTTGTAAATCCCTCAGTACCAAATTCCAATCCAGTTGGTACTAATTTTACATCTCGCTTTTGTAGTGCATAATCAATAATTCTTTCATTTTCATCGGGTAAAATTGAACACGTTGAATAGACAATAATACCACCAGTTGCCGATTTATGATTAACAGAATCAATTGCAGCAAGAAGAAGTTCACGTTGTAATGTACAACAACGTTGTATATCTAATTCGTCTTTATTTATTTTTACACTTTGATCCTTGGCAATAACACCTGTTCCCGTGCAAGGTGCATCAAGTAAAACTCTATCAAAATCTTTTAAAACACTGGGAATTTTTCTACCATCATATTTACAAATAACAGAATTTGTAATTCCAAGACGATGAAAATTACCAATAACCGCCTTTAATCTATCCTCATTAAGATCATTTGAAAATAGAACGCCAGTATTTTTCATTAGCGCCGCAATATGAGATGATTTACCACCTGGTGCAGCGCTCATATCAAGAATTCTCTCTTTTTCTTTTGGATCCAATGCCATTACTGGTAATAAACTCGATGCACCTTGAATCATATAGTGACCGGCTAAATATTCAGGTGTTGCTCCCAATGGCACTGATGATGAATAAACAACAAGTCCAATTTTAGACCATTTACCAATTGGATCGACATTCATTCCACGATTAATTAAAGCCTAGAATGAGGATCGAAATTAAAGTTAAAAAAAAAAACAAAAAATGCATTTTTTGCCTTACCTGTGCCAAATCTCGTCGTCGGGTTTTTAATGTATTTGTTCTAATTGTCACAGGTCGTGGTACATCGCTAGCTTCTAAATATTCCATCAATTCATGTAGAGGGAAAATTTGCATCAATTTTTCCATTAAAAATAAATTATATGAGAAATTTGTGCAAAGATCCGCGCACAAAAGATCTGTATAATCGGATCTTGATCTATCAAAATTAAATTAAATTTATAAATTTGAAATTTTTTTGCAAATTTAAAAAAAAAAATTAAAACTTACCTTCCATCTTCGCGGAGCTTTTTGAAATCTGATAGAACCATTAAAACATCTTTTATTCGATTTTGAACGTCTGTTAAATCTGTTGGATTTGCTATTTCTTCCTCAGTTGGAAATTGAAAAACTTGCTGTCGTGATGTCATATCTTGCATTTCTTCATCAGCCATTTTTCTGCAATTTAAATAAATAATTTTGTTAATTTGTTAATTTGTTAATTATGAATTATATTATAAATTTTATTATAAATTTTTTCATTACCGAGTTTTTGCTTGCAATTTTTCGAGTTTTTTACTCGCTTTTTCAATTGGAAGCATATCGTCATCATCTTGTTCTTCATCATCGTCTTGTTCTTCTGATTCGTCATCGGAATCTTCATCACTGTCGCCTACAGGATCTTGAATATAGTTATCGGTCTCTTCATTTTTCATTTCTTCGTCACTTTCTTCATTTTCTATTTCTTCCTCACTTTCTTCATTTTCTACTTCTTCGTCACTTTCGTCATTTTCATTCTCATCTTCATCATCGTTCTCTTCAGAGGATTCTACTGTTTCTAATTTTCTTTTTTTATTCACTTTACCATTATGGGAATCCTAAAAAACGAAATATTTCAAATATAATTAAAAGTTGTAGAAATTAAAAAAAAAACTACTAAAAACTCACAGCTTTGCGTCTTTTTGAATCGTTAAGTTCTTTTTTGACCTCTGTTTTCGACTTTGTAACTTTTTTATTTTTATCCATTTGTTTCTTTGTTTTCAAAATTGTATTTTCTTCTGGTTCATCTAAATCACTCGTTTCCTTAAAAAAAAGTAGAAGAAAATAAATAAATAGAAAATAAAAAGATACAAAATTACAAAATTAAAAAAAATTAATACTTACGTCTTCACATCTTTTCGAATTCTGAAGCGCTTTTTTCGATTTTTTTGACTTTGTAACATTTTGATTATTTTCCATTTGTTTCTTTACTTTATTCTTTGCCTTTAAAGTTACATTTTCTTCAGGTTCATCCAAATCACTAGTTTCCTAAATAAAAAAAATTAACATAGAACAAATTTTTTTTTTTTGGTTAAAAAGAAAAACTTACCGGTTTCAATCTCATGGAAAATGGTTTTACTATCTCTTTCTCTGATGTTCCATTTTCCTGAACAAAGAAAAGTTTATATACTTTCGTTTTAATAATTATATAATTTTTATTCTTTTTTTTTTGTCCAGAATAAGAAATTTATATTTTAACAAATAATTTATTTGAAATAGAAAAAAAAACTTACTGAAATTTTTGCCTTCTTAGCTTGCAATTTTTCTTGTTTTTCTATTTTCTTCGCGAGACGTTTCCTTGCTCTTTGTTTCTGATGACGACTGAGGGTTCCCTCTTTTTTCTCTATATTATTTTATTAATTAGTAATAACAATAATAGTACTAAAAATAATAATATTTCTATTATAATAAATACCTATTAATCCTGAGGGAAAACTAGGTTCGCCTTGTTTTTTAGATTTTCTTCCAGGACCACTTAGTCTTGTTTTTCCTTCGAATTTCGCTTTTCGTCCCATTCTACAATAATCCAATAAATTAAAACAAAAAATTAATTAAAAAAAAAAAAAAAAAACAGCACTTAAATTTAAATTAAACGAAATTTTGACTGTTTTTCAAATTTTTTGGAGGTTATGTTGACATTTTCTTTGTTTTTAAACAATTCTTTACAATTACCTTCAATATTAATTGCACATTTAGTTAAAATAACGAAAAAATAAAAAATTAATTTGTCTACTATCAATAATATAATCAATATTAATTAATAATTAATAATTAATAAATTTATAAATTAGAAGTAAAATTTACTAACTATTAAAATATGTTTAATTAATTCTCACCTGTATTAATAATATTACTTAAGACTAGATGTACACTAGACAAATTAATTAGTACTTTTTAAATACTTATTATAAATAAAATAAGTAAAATTGTTTATTTATGAGCATTAATAACGTCAACACGTGGTTTTAAAAGGTTAGAACATGTCTGACATTTGTAATACCAGTTGATAAAATAGAAATCTGTAATTAAATTTTTTCATAAGATAATTATAAAACACCTTGAAAATAACAGTAACTAAAAATTAAATATTCCCAAATGAATTCCCTTACGTATTAAAAGAATTTCATTGTAAATATAAATAATTTTTAATTTTTATTTTTAAATTTACATATGTGTCCTGACGCGGTGAAAGGGACCTTACGGTTCCAAAGCAAATTTTACAGGAGAGGCGCTCGAAGTGTAGCACGAAAATAGACATTTGAGTAGTGGGGACGTACAACTGCAAATCAGCACCACTGCTCACCACTACAACGCTACACTCATATGTCTGTGAGCATGCTACCTTCGTGCATCTTCGGCTCTACCATATCTTGTACCTCCCTACTCTTTCTAAGCTCTGATGTAAACATTGCCCTGGGCCCGGCAAATGGATTCAGTTTATATTAAAGTTAATTGATTAATTTTTATTGACAAAATAATACGTAAATAACTTGAAATATCTTGTTCGGATTTGTCGGATTAATTAGATGAGGGCGAGCTGATTAAGAAGCATCTCCATTTTTAAAAGTAATTTTGTGGTTATAAAAGTTGGATTTTTGACAGAAGTGGGGACAGACATTGAATCTATGTGGCGCCAATTCTAGCTAGTGGCCGCTGCTGAACTAACTAACCCCAAATTACTCCACTTTAAATCTTTAATAAAATAATTTCCTCACAATATTATTGCAAAAATAATATTCCTCTATTATTCCTCCAAATTCCAACTCGAAATACTTTATCCTTTAAAGATGAGAAGAAATTTACGAAACCCCTTTTTGACAATGTTTAAACATTTTTTTAATAATTATTTATTAATTCTCTGAAAAGCGTTGTTATCAAATAAAATTAATTTTTATTATTTATTTTATCAACAGAGAAATTTTCAATTTTTACTTTTCTTACAACAGTAAAAATAACATTACTTTTGCTGTATAAATAAGTTATATGTCTTGAATTTAAAATATTTATTATTATTATTATTATACATTATTAAAATAATGAAAATCTAATAAATTGTTTATTGCAATTTTACTGGCTTTAATATGAGATAAATCCATTTTCCGGGCCCAGCGCAATGTATACATCAGAGCTTAGAACTAGTGGGGAGAGACAAGAAATGGTAGAGCCGAAGATGCACGAAGGAAACACGCTCACCGATATACGAGGGTAGCGTCGTAGTGGTGAGCAGTGGTAGTGGTTTTGCAGTAGCCACGAGGCGCCCGAGAATACGCGGAAAAGTACTTATGTTTAAAACTATATAACACAATAAGTATTTGAACGAGACAAATTTTAATTGTTGGAAATGAAAAAGCAACTCAAAAACTATCGATTGGTATAAAAAAATAAAAATCGATTTATTTAATCATAAGGTCCCTTTCACCGCGTCAGGACACATATAAAAAAAAAAGACCGGAAACTGTTAGCGCCACATTTTGTAATGTGGTGGGATTTAAAAATAAAGCTGAAAATAGTGTTTTTGCGGGAGGGGGGGTAATAAACACGAATGGTCGAAATGTTTCATCGAAAATGTGGTGATCGTGTTAGTTTAATTAATAATAATTGTACGGCAGTGAGAAATTTTTCTGAATACAATTATGGTCTTGTACTTAGTGCTGAGCCACTTAAAGATGATGAACTTTTTGAAGTTCGTATCGATAAAAAGGTAACACAAGTATAAATTTGGTACAATCAACTCAGGCACACATACACACTAACGCATACTATATTTTCTTATATTAAAAACATCTGTCAAATTACATTAATTATTCAATGATTATTTAATGATATTAATTTCTTTGGTATTTAATTATTTATTTACAATTTAAGCCAAAAAAGGGAAATAATTATTTGTCTATTTTTTATATTAACTTTCTTATTGTGATCAACCTAATTAATTGCTCCTTGTAGTGATAAAAAAAAGGTATAATTAGCTTATTTATTGAAAAACAAGATGAAATAAAAATTAATTTATGGATAATAATCTAATTTGTATAACCGTCAGTTTCTTTTTTTTAGATTCTTTTCACTTTATAAAAAAAAGTTACAATATTTTAATATGGTTTTTGTTTTTAAAATACTATTAAATATTTTAGTAATCAAAGTAAATATGAATATTTTTTTTTTTTTGGTTTTTTTTTAAGAATATTTTTACTGAAATATTTATTTGCAAAGTAAAAAAAAAATAATTCATTTTTTTTTTTAGATGATGTCATGGAGTGGAAGTATCGAAATTGGAATTACAGCATGTGATCCAGATTCCGTTGAGTTGCCTGCATGTGCAACGAATCTTCGTCATGGATCATGGATAATGACAAGCTCTAGTATTATGCACGATGGAGAACCAATTGTTGAACTCTATGGTGTTGATCTCGATACTTTGGAAGAAGGAAATACTCTTGGTGTTATGCGAACATCCAAAGTACGTTTTTGATTATTTAATATTAATTAATTAATTATTCAATTCGGTACTAATTTTCTAAAATTTAATTTATTTACAGGGTGAATTAATTTTTTACGTTAATGGCACATCACAAGGTGTTGCGGCTATTAATATTCCTTTAAAAGTATTTGCCGTTATTGATATGTATGGTAATTGTGTACAAGTTACAATAACACAACCAAATTTATGTATTGCTGAACCAAAAGAAGAAATTGAAATTGATAATGATTTGGCTATGGAGGAGGCTTCAAATTCATTAACAACAAATTTGGTGGCTAATTTAAATGTTAATATGAATGTTAATGTAAATGTGAATTTACCAAAAAATCCAACGGCCGCATCTGTTAGGGAGGATCGATTAAAATTTCACGAGAGAGTTGGAACTTTAGTGAAATTGTCGAATAATGCAAGAACCGCTGAGCGTAGGAGACCACTTGATGAATTTAATAATGGAGTTGTTATGACACATAGACATTTACGTGAAAATGAATTATTTGAGGTAATATTATTATTAAAAAAAAAAAAGAATAACGGAACAAAATGTAAAAGTTTTCACAATTTTTTAGATTCGAATTGATAGACTAGTGGATAAATGGTCGGGAAGTATTGAAGTTGGTGTAACAACACACAGTCCAACTGCTTTAGAATTTCCTGCAACAATGACGAATATGCGTTCGGGAACAACAATGATGTCTGGTTGTGGAATTTTAACTAATGGCAAAGGGACACAGAGAGAATATGGTGAATTCAATCTCGATGAGCTGAGAGTAGGTATTAATTTATTTTTTTTTTTAAATAAATTTCAATTTGGTTTTTAAATTTTAATTTTTTCAGGAAGGCGATCGTGTTGGAATGATAAGAAAAAGTAATGGAAATTTACATTATTTTATAAATGGTCTTGATCAAGGTATCGCAGCGAAAGTTCCAACTGTAGTGTGGGGTGTTATTGATCTTTATGGAATGACTGTGAAAGTGACAATTGTTGATCGCGACGAGAGAGAGGAACAAAATCTTATAACGAGACGAAACACACTTCATTTACAAGCTCTTAATGGTTTGTTTAAAAAAATTTATTTTCTTCATTTTAGAAAGGAATTAACATTTATTAATTAATAAAATCGATTTTGTCGTATTCAAAAAATATTAAATTTTTTGAAATTTAGAAATAGGAGAAGAGGAGCCACTGGAGAGATTGATGTTTCATCCATGCTGTGGAACGCGAGCAGATGTTATCAATAATGGTCGAACTGCACACAGGCCTAAGTAATTTAGAAATGAAATAATTTTTAAATAATAGTTTAAAATTTTTAATTAAAAAAAATTATTTTACAGTGCCATTGACGATTTTAATAATGGCGTTGTACTGACATCAAGGCCCTTAAAACCAAACGAGCTCTTTGAAGTTCGTTTGGATAAAATAGTCACAAAATGGGCTGGATCCATTGAAATTGGCGTTACAACACATTTACCAACGGAATTGGAATTTCCTTTTACAATGACGAATGTTAGGTGAGAGAATAAAATTGATCGGAATATAGAATAATTAAATTACAATTATAAATGGTGTTTTTTTTTAAATTCTTTAGTTATATTAATTTTAAACAAAAATTATTTTTCAGATCTGGTACTTGGATGATGACTGGTAATGGTGTAATGCATAATGGAATAACAATAATAGATCACTATGGTCAAAATTTGGATAGATTACAAGTTGGCGATCGTGTGGGAGTGATGAGAAAAGATAATTCAACTTTACATTTTTATGTAAATGGAGCTGATCAGGGAGCAGCTGCAATGAGTGTACCAGAAAAAATTTACGGCGTTATAGATTTATATGGACAGGCAGCTCAAGCTACAATTGTTGACAATACAGATTTTTACAGTCCCACTACAAACAATTCTAGTTTTAGTAATACAACACTGTACAGGTAATTTTTATTTTTCACGATTTTATAACTATTAATTTAGTATTTATATTTTATATTTTACATAAAAATAGAAAAAGAAAACTTAATTATTTTCAGTGATTTGCGTTTTCATCATATTCATGGTAAAAATGCGAGAATTACAAATAATGGTTTAACAGCATCGAGACCACGGGCTTTGGGGGAATTTAACGATGCTATTGTTATTGCCAATAGAGCATTGCGCGATGGAGAAATGTTTGAAGTTTTAATTGATAAAATGGTTGATCGATGGTCGGGCGCAATTGAAGCAGGTAAGAATTTATTAAAAAAAAAAAAATTTAAAGAACTTTAGATTTATTTAATTTTTAAAGGTGTAACGGCAATAAGACCCGATGAATTGGAATTTCCATCGACAATGACTGATATTGATCATGATACATGGATGTTGTCTGGTTCGACAGTTATGCGTGACGGTGTGAATCTCAGGAATAATTATAGTTGTGATTTAGATAAACTTACCGAGGGTAATCGAATTGGAATGATGCGATGTTCTGATACGACACTACATTATTATTTAGACGGTGTTGATCAGGGTGTTGCTTGTACTGGACTTCCTGCACATGTTTATCCTGTTATCGATTTATACGGCCAATGTGCTCAGGTATTTAAAAATACATTTTTTCTAATTTGAATTTTTCTAAAATAAAATTTTGTTTAAAAAAAAAAAAAATAGGTAACGATTGTTTTGCCCGAGAGGAGAGATACAATGACTCAACAATATTTACCATCGGAAAATAGTACAAGCCAACAGCCAACTTCTGTAATTCAACCTCAGGGTCAGACTGAAATTATGCACAAATTTCATGAGTCCGTTGGTTTAAATATTCAATTAAATAGTGAAAGGGGCATTGCGACTCGATGTCGTGAATACAGTAATGCTGTATTATTAAGTGATTCACCACTTGAAAATAATGAACTTTTTGAAATTTCCATACAAGAAGTTGCACGCGAATGGAGTGGTTCATTGAGAATAGGCGTTTTAAGTCATGAAAATGGCAATTGGTTAACGTCAATGAATCTTGTACCAGGAATGACGTGTATTCCATCGGACTCTTGGTTTTTAACTGGTAAATATAAAAATAATTTTCTTTTTTTTTAGTTGATTTTTTTAAAATTTGTAATTTTACAGGCAATGAAATACGTCACAAGGGTTATGTACTTTGCATGAACTATTGTCCAAGTTTGGATTGGATAAGAGTGGGTGATAAAATTGGATTGAAACGTACTCAGGAGGGGAATTTAAAATTTTATATTAATGGAGAAGATATGGGAGTTGCGGCATCAAATTTACCTGAAATGGTATTTGCGGTTGTTGAACTTTTTGGTAGTACTGTTGCCGTTAGTATCACGAGTAGTAAACAACAGCATCCTGTAATTTCACCGAATGCCAGTTTACGAATGCAAGATTCTTTGGAATTACTTTTAGATCCCATGCCACCAACAATTCGAAAGTAAGTTTTATTTTATTTACAATTTATTTATTTTTTGAATAAATGAATTTATTTTTGATAAAAAAATTCTAGTGATATAGGAATGGAATCATCGATTGAAAATTCAGAGGCAAAATTATTAAATGAAATTGTTCTTACGCCAACGCAACCAATTAACGCTTCGGTGGGTGACGTTGATTATTGTTACGAATTTCATGAAAATCATGGAAGAAATGTGCAATTAGAAAAGCGAATAACAGCTAGAAGAGTAGCTAGTTACAATCAAGGTAACAAATAGATTTAGAAAAATAATTTTATTTCATTTTTAAATTAAACAAATTTATTTTTTAAAAAAACAGGTGTAGTTATGTCTAGTCGTCCTTTGATAAGAGGTAAAATGTTCCAAGTAAAAATAGAAAAAATAAATGAACGATGGGTTTCTGGAATGCTTTGCGGTGTTACTTGTGTATCACCGGAAAAAGCGACTTTTCCTGTTACTGCACTTGGATTTAAAAAACATTCGTGGATTATATGTGGGGATTGGATCTCACATAATGGAACAAAAGTAAGAATAACAATAAAAAAAAAGTTAATAATATATTTTTTTCTAATTATATAAATTTACGCAGGTGAAAACAAATTATGGATCAAATTTAGAAAATTTACAATGTGGATCAACGGTGGGTTTATTAATTGACGAAGATTCGAGATTACATCTTTATATAAATGGCACTGATCAAGGAATAGCGGCAACAGATTTACCATTGTATGTTTATGCAATAATCGATTTATACGGTCAGTGTGAACAAATTTCAATATTTGGATTTACATTCGAAACATGTACAAATAATAGTACAATATTAGAACGTGCAACAGTTGAAATTGAGGATATTGAAAATTCACGTGAAAAAGCCGATTTAGAATGTCACGAGAAGGAAAATATTGTCCCTGAAATTGCCACTAATCTCACATTAAATATACCAATTCAAAGTACTGCTAATTTAAATCTAGTCGACAATATGCCCCATACGTCCAATAATAATTCACATCAAAATAATGTAATGGCAAGTAGTATTCATTCTGATAGTAATAATTCTGATTCATATTCGGATATAAATAATGATCAAATTGAACAACATTTAAAAAATAAACATCGTAATGATGATGATAATAATGTATTGTGTGGCAATGATGATTCAAATAATCATGATATTGATAATAGTCAAGTGAATAATGATACAGATTTAAATCACATAACACGGAATGAATGTACAAATGTAGAAATAAATAATGCAACGAATATTAATATTAAAAATGGCTCAGCATTGAATACAAGTAATATGAGCAATTTAAATACAGCGATAAATTCAACAAATGCTAATAATGCAATTAATGAAAGTATTGCATCTAATAGTCAAAATAATCAGGAGAATAATTCACCGTGCCTCATGAATGAAACAGGAACAAATAATCAATTTTCTTGTCTTAATTCATCAACAATGATGCAAAATAATATGTGTGTTGTTTCAAATGGACAGGATTTACAAGAATTAAGATTGAATTTAAATGGACATTATCAAATTTTCAATAATTGCTTTACAAACAGTATTTCAAATCAAAATATATTAATGACACAAAACGTCCTACATAATGCACCATTGGTCGCTTCGCTGCCGTCCACTCCAATTGGGAGTTTTGTATCAGCTTCAAAAAAATGTGAATATCTTAAAGCATGTACTAGATTGAAAAAATCACTTGTTTTACCCGATGAATTTTTTTCACTCGATGAAATACTTTGCTATTGTCATTCATGTTATAAAATTGATGGCGAGAGTGTTATTTGTAAAAAAGGTGAACCATTGGCGGAATTTGCTGTTCCAATTGGTTGGACGAGATTTCCATTAAAACAAAGTATTAACGCTAATCAAATTCCTCAATGTACGACTGATAAATGGCATGTGGCTTTTTATGGCACAAGATTGGACGCAGTCAGGTAATTTTTATTTCTATTTTCAATTTTTATATATATCTATTTTTATATTTCAATAAAGAAAATGTTTATTTTCTTTTTGTTTTGTAGGCGAATTTTAGATAGAGGTGAATTATTAACAAAGGAACAATTAGACATGAGTAATTTAACAACGAGTGTAAATAGTGAAGATCAAAATCCACAAGTGGTTTTTTCACCAAATATAAAACACGCAGGCACGGAAGATTTTACAAAACAGTATCCGTAAGTTTTATAATTTCAAATTTTTTAAAATTTATAATTATTGTCAACTATTTTAATATTATTTATTTTTAATATAAATTAGGAATTTTAAAAATAGTAATAAATTATTTTAGATACATAGATACGCAATCGGACAAGAAGCTCAATGCATCGACTGCATTCCAGTTATTAGTAAGACCCGGTTCATATACGACAAATTCGAAAAAAGATGACGTCGATTCACAGCAAGAAATTACCGAATGGTCCACAAAAGAAGCTGGCGCAACAACAATTGTTGCTCTTCTCATTCATCTGGATGGTTTTTAAATTTAAGAAGTCCAATTTTAAATAATTATTCAATATCCAAAGATGGTGAGTGTTTTTTTTTTTTTTTAATTTAACAAACATTTTTTAAATTAAGTACCTAATTAATAATTAAAAAATTAACAATTTTTGAGTAATTAAATAATTAAAATTTATTATTAGTAGTAGAGAATAAAAATTCGCTAATAACAATCGGCTTAATTGAAGATAAAAATCATCTTCCATTTTTCAGAATGCGTCGATCTTTCACCAAAATAAATCGACGACGCGTTAATTTTAATTTTAAAAAATTATTCTCTTGGAATAATTTGATTTTAAAATTTCTTTTTCTATTAAATGAAACCCTCCCAATATTTTTACGTTTATTGTAAATAAGTCTTCTTCGCTGAAAGAACTGTAACTGTATTAAATTTAGGCACTTTCTGTGATATATATTAATTACAATTTATCTAATATCGTCACTTAATGTAATTGTAATCACTTATAAGTATATATGAATGATTCATTTAAAAGAAAAAATCAGTTACAAATAAATCAAACGGAAAATACTAAATAAGTAAACAAAAGCCAATAATCATTTACAGAAGCTAATTTTATTATTGATTTTTGTTTTTTATTTTAAAAGTCACGTCATGATATGTCATTCATATATTTTGCAAGAAATTTATTTTTTTGTTTAAAAAAAAAAAAAAATTTTATTTTCCCCGACTTAAAGAATCATTCATATATAATTGTTCGTCAAATTTTTTCCTTTTATATAATATACATATATATATATAGATATATTTAGTCAATCATAAAAAAAAATTTCATCTTTAGAATTTTTAGTGCAATCCCCCTCTTTCTTTTTATCAATTTTGTTCTAATGCAAGAAAAAGAAACATGATTTCTTCTAGTCATTAAAAATATCGACGAACAAAATATTGTCAACGTGTCCATGTTACTAACGTACGAGTCAATTTAAATAATGAAACAATTTAAGAAGCAATATAAAGAAAAAAAAAATGCAATTTTTGCCGAATTTTTTTCGGGATTTTGAATTATTGAGACTTATAATTGACTCCTTAAGAATTTTGTTTTCACAATAAGCCTATTTGTTATATTCTTATTACAATCCAAGTTTGTACAATGAACTCATGCGCGATCTACAGAAAAGTCTATTTTTCATGAGTAAATCAATGATTGATAATTTAAAAAAAAAAAAAGAGTCGAAGAGGTTACGAAATTATTTTAAAAACTATAATTCTTGTTCCATCCTATATGATAGAAAGAAAAATTCAGTGTAATTGCGTAGATTTTAAATATAAAGAAAAAAGTTCATTCGCGCTTTATAGTGTAATTAAAAAAAAATAAAAATTTCTAAACCCTCCGCATAAGATTGTCTCAAGTAAAAAAAATAAACAATATTCAATTAAAAGATAATGTTTTGATTACTAAATTATAGTTTTAAAAATGTGGTCAAAAGAAAAACAATTTATTAAATTATATTTTACTTTTTAAAAAGAATTTTACTTTGAAAAAATTAATTCAGAAATTTTTTTCGCTTGAGACTATTTTTCTATGAGGTTTAAAAATTCCAAGTAGGTGAAAAAAAAAATTGTAAAAATCTTTAACAACGTATTTTTAATTACTAGCACTTTTTAATTTGGGAAATTTTATTGATTGCATTAAAGATTTATGGTGCGGTGAATTTTTTTTAAAAATAAATTTAAAAAATTGATAATTTCCTTGATCAAAATGTGCTTGTAAGACATTCCCACCTACACAGTAATTATTAGCTAATTAGAGAGTTCACGTACATTAACGGAAGATAGTATTAGATTAGAGATGGCACTCGAATTCTTTTTATTATTTATGTCTTTTTAAAAAAATAAAAAAAACCTTGTAACACGTACGCGTTACAATAAGAAAATTATAATAATCCACCTACTAGCAGGTTGCATGGAACGTCCTTACAATTTTATTTATAAAAAAAAAAAAAATGAATGATCGTATGGATGAGAAAATAATGCGAATTCTGTAATATACGTGAGAGCTAATGGGATGCAAAAAAAAAAATCTTTAAATTAAAGAAAATATATATTCAATGGAAAAAAAAATAGTTTTTCTTCTCTGCCTGATGCCAAATTTTTAAGTTATGGCAGCCTTTTATAATTTCGTTTTAAAAATTACTGTACTTAAATTTTATTTCGATATTTTTAAAAAGAGCAGAATTTACAATTTTTAAGATTTTTTTTTTCTTGAAACCTTATTTTCGTTTTAAAAAAGAAAATTGTTGTACACTTCGTTAACGTTTTTATTTTCGTTTTAGAAAGATTTATTTATATAGTTTACGATTTTAATTTTTAATTTTTAATTTTACAATGATTTTGTTTTAAAGAAAAAAAAAATGGAATGACAAAACAAACTAAGTATAAATCACACAATTCGTATTTTTATTTTTCTCAAAAGTATACAATAAATTGATAAACATAAATGTTTTTGTTCGTCAAGATATTACAGGGGATGTGTGTGTATGTGTGTGAAAAAAAAAAAATTTATCTAGACCCAAATTCTAACATGTTGATCCCAGGAGCAGCTTGCCAATGCCATACCATTTGGAGCCATGCAAATGGAAGTCACTCGATTCTCATGTCCAGAAAGTATACCTTTTTGATATAAACAATTTTTTTAAAATGGTAAAAAATTATTTTCAATCATTTTGAATTTTAAAAAATTAAAATTTTTTTTAATTTAAATCTTTTGAATTTGAAATTATTTTCTGTTTTTTCTTACCATTATGCTGATTTTTCAAGGTATCCCAGATGTGAATTGAATTGTCATCGCTACCACAGAACAAAAATCTACCGCTGAGAGAAAGAGAACATGATGTGAATCCTGGATTTGAATTTGGTGGCTTGAATGTTGCTAGCTGTTGATCCGATCGTAAATCCCACAACCGAGCTGTTTTATCTTCGGAGGCTGTTACAAAACCATTACTCGAGGGATGATACTGTAAGAGATTTTTTTTTTGTTTTTTAATATTATTTTTATAAAAGTATTTTTCTTCATTAATTTTTTTCTCTTTTTGTTTTATCTAAAAGTAGAGAGAGACCGATTATATATTTTTATTTCATTATTTCTCTATTCCTCTTTTTTTAAATTTAAAAAATTTTTACTATTTGATAATAAAGTAACAGCTTCTTAAACATTTACAATATTTTCACGTTTCCGATAACGATGTCCGATATTTTTTTTATAATAAATCAACAGCACTTAAACGTTTACAATATTTTACGTTTTCGATAACGATTTTGTTGTCCGATATTTTTCTTTTTTTTTTTTCTAAAAATAGAATCGGTTTCTAATTTATATTAAAAAAAAAAATTTTCGTTCTAATTTTTAAAAATTCTTTTCTTAAAAAATAACTTACACAAACGGAATTAACATCCGATTCGTGTCCAAAGAATGTCTGTTTTGCGTTTTCTTCTCTCATATCCCAAAGTTTGCAAGTTCTATCAACTGAGCCAGTTACATAGGTACTAAAATCCGGTCCCAAACTCATGGTGCAAACATCTCCAGCGTGCGCACAAAAATCTGTTGTCTTTTTATTTGCCTCCAAATCCCATATACATCTAAATTTTTGGCAAAAATAATTTTTTTTTTTTTTATTGAAAAATTAATTTTTATTAATTTTTTTTTTTAGAAAATAAAACAAAAATTCACTTTTTTTTTTAGAAAATAATTTGGTTTACCTACACTTTCATATCACCGGAACCGGTAATTAATTTCTTATCGTCGAGGAATCGACACGATGAAAGAAATCCTTCATAGCCAAGTAATTCGCGCACCATTTTAGCCGATCCAGTGGAATCGCGATTATTAACATCGTAAACGGTGCACATGTTATCCATTCCACCACAAGCCACAAAATTTCCCGAGGGAGAAAATGCAACAGACATTACCCACGCTGATCGTAATGGAATAACTTGAACCTTATTTCCTGTCCATGAATCCCAAATAATTAATTTTCCATCCAATGATCCTGTCACGCAATGTCTGAAAAAATTACAATTTTTTTTTTAAATTAACAAATACAAAATATTAATTAAAAATAAGTTAATAATTTTTTTTTAAATAACTATTTGAATATTTTATTTATTGTGGAAAAATATTTTTTCAAAATTTTTTTTTATTAGAAGTAAAATAACGAGAAGAGATTTTTTTCTAATTTGAATAACTGACCTACTATCTCCACTGTAATGAACTGAATTCACTTTGTTAATATGTCCTTTCAGCATTTTTTTTGTTGACATTTTCACTTTTGGAGCATCACCTACACTTCCGCATGCTTCTTCCAATGTGGTGTCTTGTTGCTTTTTCTGATCTTCCTAAATTTTCAAAATTGAATCTTAATTTAAATACACCTCAATTTTAAATATTAAAAATTCACCTATTTTATTTTCTATTTTTTTACTTTTAAAAGAGTGAATAAAATTGTATTTTAAAAAATATGAATTATTATCTACCTTGCACTTGTTGATTAAATCTTCGAGTTCTTTTTTCAGGGCAGTCGTCTCTGGATCCTCCTTCCCCATTTTTTGAACGTTTCTTTTTTTTTCTTTTTTTTTTTTAAATACAAGAAGTGACTAGTTCAGAATCGAGCGTAAACTAACAATAAATTGATGAAAACGAACCAAGAGAACTAGTTTCCGTCAAAATGCAAAAGAAGCCTCAGTAGCGACTACTGCCCCAGTAATCATATTAAATCAATGTTTAATCCCATTTGTTGGACATTACCTCAGCTCTATCGCGTAATTTAATTACACAATTTTTTTTCTCTTTTTTTTATTATTATTAAAAAAAATAAATAAATAATAGAATACATTGAATAATTTTGATTTGAATATTATTGTTTCGTTGTTAATTTTTTGTCTTTCCTCATAATAATACAACTTTCGATTATTTTTATTTTTTTTTTTTTTTTGATGGGGAAAAAATTAATTTCTTTTTAATTTTCCAACGAAATTGTTTAATAATTTAAAAATGTTTTTTTTTTGTAGCTATGTTCTAAGTGAAAAAAAAGGAAATTTTTGAATTCTTGATTTCCTGTATAAAATTAAAATGCATTGATTTTGATGAATAGATTATTAAAGCGTGAATAAAATTCAGGCAAGCGTAACCACTTCAGACAGTGCTATTGACGAAATATTCATTGATCTAGATTAATTTTTTTTCTTTTGGAAAAAAAAACGATTCGTAGGCATCTACTTTCTCATATAAGTCGCAAATTTCGAACGGTTCATTTCATTTTAGTGAAAATATTTCAAATGGAAAGTTGTTTAAGGAAGTTTGTCTTTTGTTTACTATTAAATCACGTTCAATTCAAATAATTTCTGAGATAATTGTAAAAATCACCGTAATTCTGGTAAATGTTTAAAAAAAATTAATAACACTACATATTAAATTATTTATTTTATTTTTTTTTTTGAATTTTAGTAACAGTAGAGAGTATATAAACAAAAGTCACACATTTTCTTATCGATCTCGATAAGAATGAATAATCGTGACAAGTGAAAGAAAAAATTTTTTTTTTTTAAAAACTATTATTCTTTTTTATTAGTTACTTCTCGATAGTTGAACGAACATATTGTCTCTTTACTTTTCAGGTAACAATAATAATTAAAAAATTTTTTTTGCAGTTTTTACAAAATATTCGATCTAAAAAAATTTTCTTTTTCAGGTAAAAATGAAGAGGATGGGGAAAATTTTGCAATTCTTTAAATTTTTAATTATTTTCTTGCATTCTGTGGAGAGTGATTTTTCTATAAAATGCAATGATACATCGAGGATAAATAATCGTTACGTGAGCAAAAATAATTTCAATTCTTTTTGTGATAATGAAGAAATGAGAGGAGATCCAAGAATTGAACATTGTCAAATAAAGAGGAGAACGTGTTCCTTGATGACTGTGGACACTGATGGTAATTTACATTTTTTTTTATTTTATTTTTTAAAAAACATGGTAAAAGAAAATTAACGATGTTTGCATTTTTAGCTTTTAAGAAATGTTACTTTAAAGAAAAAAATTGAGTAATTAATTATTTTTTTTTAAGTTTAAATGCACAGGAAACTTAAAATAATCCATGATGACTATTATTATGTCATTAATATAAGAGGAAGCTAAAATCTTAATAATTATTAGGCCTCTCGCCGTGTAATTTTATCATATTTTATTATAAAATCTGTTTTATGACTTTTCTTTGTTCAATTTTTTACGTCTGCGAACCATAAGAAAGAACCGGTTTAAATATGACAATTATTTCTCTATAGCCGTTAAGAGATTTTTTTTTTAATTGTAAATTTTTTGTCTAAATGGATTATTTTTGTTAAATTTGAATTTAAACAATTTTTTTTTTATTACAATCTTAATTTTATCTTAATAATTTATTATTTAAAAAAGCAAATTTTTTTTATCTCTATTCAAATTTTTTTGTTAAATCTTTAATAATTTATTATTTTTGTTTTAATTTAAAGAAACTTTTTTTTTGTTGAAAATAATTGCCAAAAACAAAATGAAATTAATTTAAATACTAATTTTATTTTATGTTAAATTAATTTAAATTAGTTTTTTATTTTAATTTTGAAAAAGAGATGCAAATAATTTAAATTAAAAATTATCTTTTTGTAATATTTAATTGCAAAAAAAAAAAAAATGAATAATTTTCATTTTGTGGATTTTTTTTCTAGGTTTTTGTATATTATAAACAATTTTGGAAAAAAAATTATTTTTTTTTAGGGGTATTTTTTGGAGTAGTCAATGTTTTTATGGTGGTTCGTACGTTTATATAGTTTTCGTTCGAATCAAGAATGTGTGTGTGAGCGCGGTTGTCATCGCGTAAACTTCTCATTTCCGTGCGTGGTACATTCAGTAGAAGTTGCATGTCTCTCACGAGATTTTGTCATTTTCCTCCAGTTTTTTAAAAACTGCCCCAGAAAAATGATGACAAGGCATTTAATTATTTTGTGTATATTAATATTTATATCGGCAGCCTGCGAAGTTAAATCCTCATCAAGGGATGGTAAATAAATTTTGTTTATAACCCTCAATTTATTCTTTTTTTTTTGTATAAACAATATTCTTTTCACTTGGGGAAAATTTGATCATTAATTATTAATTTTTTAAATGATAAACACTCGTGTCAGAGGTCGGTGAACATTTAGATGTTTTTTTTATCATTTATTTTAAGCCCCTTTAAAATATAAACAATTCTTATTGACATTTTTTGTAAAAATAATTTAAAAAATATTTTCATATTTTTTTGTACGATTTTTCTGTTAATTTGTTATTTATTAATTCTATCAATTGATATTTTTTTAATTAACTCTTAATTATTCCATTTAGAGTAGATTGATTTAAATGCTTCATGTGTTTTGTATCATTTTAATTAAAATTTAAATTGATTAAAGAAAATTGGATATTTTTTATTTAAAATAAATAATAGAGAATAACATTTAAATTGTTAATTATAAAATACAGTTAAAAGTTATTACAATAATAAATAAATAATATGAAAATTAATGTCAGGAAAAGTAATCTGTTATGTTTTTTCCATTATTTTTACGAGTCTGAAAGATTCATTATTGACTAACATTCTGAAAAAGTAATTAAATCTGCTTTTTATGTTTAATAAGAATTATTTATTTATAAGGAAAGAATTGTAAAAATAGACAATTTACAAATTATCTACAAATTATTTATTGATGATTTTTTTTTTACTAATTAACCAAATTTCTCTATATCTACTAATTTTATCTTTTTTTTTATCATATCCGGTTAAATGATTTTCTATAGCCTACGTGACAATTTACATTTAGGGAAAATGATTTTTTTCACCCTTCTCGAGAAAGAAAGAGAGAGAAAAAAAAGTTCTAAATTAGAATTCTAAAAATAGAAACTGATATTCTTAAGCAAGACTTTTTAATAGAGAAAGAGATTTTTTCTCCTTTTTTTTTTTGTTTCTTTTTAAATTTTTCATTGATTCATGTTCAGGACATACAAACTTTTATTTTTATGACTAAAGGATGATAGTATTTTATGATTAGAAAATTAAATAAATAACAAATACTAATTACAATTGCTAATAATAATAATAATAATAATAATAATAAATAAATAACTATGTATAATATTGTGATATCAGCGATCATTTGAAATTGAATCAGAAAATTTTTGCATAATGATACAAGTTAGCCACGTCGAATAAATAAATGTTTCAGCGAAAGAGTTGAAACATGCACTGAACGTAACGCGGTTCGTTGGCGCTACTTTTTTTTAAGATGACATAATTCAACATGTAGTATTCCGCGCCTATAAGATTAAGACGCGATTTGATCAGCGTCCTCTAAACTTCTTCATGCATTATTTTCAGAAGGAAAATGATGTAATTTTAGAATTTCTAAAATAAAAATTGATTGAAAAAAAATATTTAACTATAAAACAGAAATCAATTTTTATATTTCTTAAAAATGATAATTTAATGGATTTTTTTTTTTTTTAACAAAAATTCTTATTTTTAGATGTCATTGTTTTTACCGTTGCAACAAATGATACGGATGGTTACAAGAGATTTATTAGATCAACAAAAGTTTATGGATTTAATGATAAAGTAAATGTTCTTGGATTTGGAGAAAAATGGACAGGTGGAGATGTTCAAAGATTTGCTGGAGGTGGACAAAAATTGAATCTTCTGAAAAATGCTCTCGAAAAATATAAAGAGGATACAAATAAAATTATGATCTTCACCGATGGGTAAGAAACTCGTTTTTTTTTTTTTTTTTTTATAATAAATTTTAATTTTAATTTTTTTTTTCAGTTACGATGTAATATTCCTGACAGATTTGGATAAAATTTTGGAAAAATTCAAAGAATTTAAAGCACGAATTCTCTTTGCCGCTGAGGGAAGTTGTTGGCCAGTTGCATCACTTGCTTCTGAATATCCTTCAATATCAAGAGGAGTACGTTATTTAAATTCAGGAGGTTATATCGGTTATGTTTCTGATATTTATTCATTATTAGCTGATACAAATATCAAAAATGACGATGATGATCAATATTTTTATACAAAAATTTACTTGGACTCTGAATTACGAAATAAACATAAAATCAAATTGGATCATAAGTCGGAAATTTTTCAAAATCTCTACGGAGCTTTAGGTAAATAAATCATTTTGAAATTATAAAGTTAAAATATATATATATATATATATATATATATATATATATAAAAAAAAATTTGATATTTCAGGTGATGTTGAATTAATGTTCAAGGGAAATGAAGCTTATCTTCAAAATAAAGAATTCAATACTGCTCCAATGATTCTTCATGGTAATGGACAAAGTAAAATAGCATTTAATTATTTAGCAAATTATCTTGCTAACGCCTGGAGTCCACAGGATGGTTGCATAAATTGTTGGGACAATACAATTAATTTAGAGGAAGATAAACCTAAATCTTATCCAATAATATTAATAGCTGTATTTATTGTAAAGCCAATGCCATTTTTAGAAGAATTTTTGATAAAAATTCATCAACAAGTTTATCCAAAGGGAAAATTACATTTGTTTATTTATAATAATGTTCCTTATCATAAACAAATGGTTGAAAACTTCATCAATGATTATGGAAATGATTATAAAAGTGTGAAACAAATTTCACCTGATGATAATATTAATGAGGTCAATGCACGCGATTTATCAATGTAGGATATTATTTTCATTTTTACTATTTTATTTCTTTAGTTCATTTTGTTTTTTGAGATTTTTTAAATTTTCTTTGTTTTTTTCAGGGATCGTTGTTTGGCTAAAAAATGTTCTGGATATTTTTCAGTAGATGCCGAAGCACATTTGGATAATAAAGAAACATTGAAATTATTGGTTGAACAACAAAGAGGAATTGTTGCTCCATTATTGGTAAGACCATTCAAGGCTTGGAGTAATTTCTGGGGAGCACTTACTGATGATGGATTTTATGCCCGCAGTTCCGATTACATGCAAATCATTCACAATGAACGAAGGTATGTGAAAATAAATATGAGTAATATATTCGATATTAATTATTATTATTCATTGCTTCTATTAAATGTAAAATCTTAAATATTAACAAATTCTTAAGATCATAATATAATTATTATTTATTTTCATTTTTGATTTTACAAAAAAATTATAATGAAAATTTTTTCTAACAGTTTTAAAAACTAAATACTAAAAATAATAACAAAATTTAAATTAAATTAAAAATTTTCCTCTTTAGAAAAAAAAGGAATAGAATTCTTTTTCTAATATAACTAATTATTAAACTTTAATTTTTAATAAAAACAAAACTTAAAAAGAATTTTAAATAAATTTATAAAGTTTGGGGCGAAAATTGTTTTTCTTTTGTATGCTGTTCTAATTTTGTTTCTTATGAATATAATTTGAAAAAAAAAAACAAATTGTAAATATTTTAATCGAAAACAATAGAGAAATCAGTCTTGAATGATCTACGATCAATACTATACATATTATCAGCCGTGCATTCATAAACTCCAGCATCCATTTGAGTTGTGGGATCAATTTCTAATTTTGATTTTATTTTGTCTTCTCCAATTTGCCACTCGTGAACCTTCAAATATTTTTAATTTTAAACATAAATTAAATTATTTTTCCAAATTAAAAACTATAAATAGTTTATAAATTTTTTTTACTAGAATGTTAAAAAAAATATTTGAAATCACTCTACACTAATATAATATAAATTGCTTTTTTTTATTCACGAAATTCAATGAATAAAAATAAAAAAGAAAATTATTATTAGACTCACGTGTAAATAGAGATGAGTGTAAATTTCATTTCCATCTTTATACCATGTTATGTGAGGTCGTGGAGTTCCACGAGCCGTACAAAGAAAAGCAATTTTGTGCCCAAGAACGTATTCCAAATCAAAATGTGAAGCAAGTATAATTTTCGCTCCCTAAGAGAGGAATAATTTTTTTTATTTTAATTTTTGAATTGCACTTTTTAATTAGATTTTTTATTTCTAATTTTATTTTTTAACTGCTATTCTAATAAAATCAGGAATATTTAATTTTCTTTTTAAATTTAAAATTCACTTTTAGTATTTATTTATTAATTAAATTATGCATAATTAATTTTTTTTTAATTTTCAGAAACAATTGTATTTAAAAAATTTTCATATTCAAACTCACGTGTTTGTTATTGTAGTAGTTATCACTTTCTGAATCGCGATATTTTCCTGTTATTGGCAATCCAATTTGAACACGAGACCTGCTTTTACCTCTGGCGCGTCCTCTTCTTGCCGAGATTTCTTGACAGATTAAAAGAAATACTGCCAGAAATAGAATAAATGATGTACGGGACATGACTTTTTGGATAATCCTGAAAAATTTATAAATTTCTCTTTTTCTTCTTTCTCTTATTATTGAGAATTTGGAGAAAAATTCTTATGAAAAGAGATTTTTCAATTAATTTTGTCAAATTCGGATAAATTTTCAATTTTTATTTCTAATTTTTCATTCTCTTTTTGAAAGTGATTGACCTTTTTTTTATTTAAAAGGAACAATTACATTTTTTGAGTTTAAAATTTTCAATTACTTACACTTGTAGAGACGGCGTTTGTCAACGATACAGAACTCCGATGTAACTGACTAGCCTCTGGTCTATTACTTCGTATCCTCTCCTATTCTATCTATTACACTGTTATAGTTGATATCTCTAATATGCGTTTATATTAAATCCAAATTTAGGTCCCGATTTAATATCTTTAGATTCAAATTTTATTCGACTATAGAGAAATTATAGAAAAAGAGAAAAAAAAATTATTCAACGTTTTGTTAACTTTCTTTTGAAAAAATTTGTTTCTTTTTTTTTATTATTACAACTGTTTTACTGATCCTGTTCCTCTTTTCAAATCAAAAGTGGTACAGGAAAGAAGATTAATTGTAAAATTGCGCCCAGTGATTCGAAAGATCTCATTCTTCTTTTTTTTTCTTTCTAATATTATGAGTTTGACTTTCAGTAATAAACCGACATATATAAGTGAAAATTAAATATGTCCCGGCTGTTTGAAGTAACAGATACATTACCCCACTCAGATCCAATTATTTCCTAATAAAAAGGATCTAGGGGAACCTTTGTTGTTATACTGTCTACGCAGTAAACCCGCGCAAGAGTAAAGAAAACCGAAAATACATTTTGATTCAATTTTTGGAAAAACTTTGGTTAATATTAAAAAAAAATAAAAATTTAATTTCTATGAATTTATAGAAAACTGATTACAATATTTTTTATTTTACTATTTTTAGATCAAATTATTTCCTTTTTTTTGATAATTGCAAAATTTGCATTTTTATTAATTTACTAATTATTTTTTCTTTTTTTTTTTTAATTAGATATTGAAGTAAAACTCGTTTAATTGTTAAAAATAATTTATTTCTCATTTCAAAATTTTATTTATAAACTATAGCTAACAAAGTAAATAACGATTCAAAATCAATTTAGAATATTTTTTTTTTATTTTGATTCCTAATTATTAGTTGAAATAAAAATAAAAGTTAAAATTTTCTATACTATCCTAATTTATTTTTTGTTTTCTGCTCTTAAAATTTTTTTACAATAATGATGGAATTAGAAGAATTTAGAGAAAAGTTAAGACAGTTTTATTTTTATAATATAAATCCTAGAAAATTGGATAAACAAATTTAATCGATACAAAAAAAAAAAAAAAAAAAAAAAAAAAAAAAAAAAAAAAAAACTCTGCCTTCGTTGTTAAATTAATGTAATTTAAGCTAAATTAAATTTAATAGGAGAACATAACATAATCGGTTTTAAAACCACGTCGATCCACTGCATACTGATTATCAGCTTGACATTCATAATATCCCGCATCTTTTTGTGTTGCAGGATCTATTTCCATTTTTGATTTTACTGTATCATTTCCAATTGGCCACTCGTGTACCTGTAATTAATTTTTCAATTTAAAATTCTCCTAGTGGAATTTATTTTAATGCTCAATTATTCTTTAGAAATTATTTCCATTTATTTGGGAAAATTTAATTTTTCAATATTAGATAATGAAATTTTTTTTTTTTTGTTCTCTCCTACCTGAAAAAAGTTGTGATGATACAATTCGATACCGTCTTTGAACCAAGTGATTTCAGGTCTTGGAAGACCAATAGCCATGCAGAAAAATGTAATTTTTCTACCCAACATATAATCTAACTCAAAATGAGAAGATTTTACGATTTTTGCTCCCTGAAAACGTTTTTTTTTTTAATTTTCAAAAATAAATTTTTCATTTCTTTTTTTTTTTGAACTTACATCCTTGTTTTCATAATAATTAACGCTGGCAGGATTGCGATTGAGATTTGGCATATTATGGATTCCAAATCGATTAATATTCCCTATTCTACCTCGTCGACCACCACCTCTACCACCGCCCTTCGCAGCATCCACATAAATAGCGGCAATTGTCAGCATTAGCAAACAAACCCACCATTTCATCATTTGCCCTTTTTTTTGGAGAAAAAATTTTTTTTTACTAATTAGACAAAATCGATTATTCTTTTTTTTTAAATTGAAAAAAAGGTTTTCTTACCCGTTTTTTTTTAAATTGAAAAAAAGGTTTTCTTACCCGTTTTTTTTCTTTTTTTTAACGAAAACCTCTGCGATCTCCGCTGACAATGTGTGCACTGAATGGAAAAACGTTTGTCCCTTAGAGCCTAAAATATGAATGGACCAAACTAGATGGAAACGCAAGCACTGGTGTGGTGAGAGAGTTATGAATCTCAATTGGATAATTATGCATAACCCATTGCCAGCGAGCTCATCACCAATCACGACGATATAAAATGATGGCTTGCCAAAACATTAAAAATCTTTTTTTTTTTTTCAGAGAAAAATTGAATCGAAAATCATTTGTGAAATAAATTTTTCTAATATTGTTTTTTTTTTCTTTTCTTTTACAGGGGACTGTGGAACGTGCCATTTATTAACAGCTGCTATTTAATTAATTCAACCATCATTAGCAATAAAAAAACGCGTCCATCGTATCATCACACATTAAAACATACAAAAGAGGAACTTGATCCGGATATGGCTTTTGCTTTGAATAATAGACTGAATGATGTATTTATGTACATCAGCAATAGATTAGATTTTGGACATTTAATTAATCCTGAGACATTTAATATATTGCGCACCAATCCTGATATGTATCAAATTATTGATAACAAAATTGATTGGGAAATGAGATATATACACGAGAATTATTTTGAAAATTTTGAAACTGATGTAAAACCCATGCAGGTAAGATTTATTATAATTATTTTCAAATTAGTACTGAATTAAAATTTTCACTAATGAATATTATAATTTTTATTTAATAATTAAGACATTTATTTCGTTTATGTTTAATTAATTTAATTTTTCAGCCCTGTCCTGATGTTTTTTGGTTTCCTATTGTCAATACCAGAATGACGAAAGAACTGATTGAAATAATGGAGAATTATGGAAAATGGTCCGATGGTTCGAATCAGGTAGAAAATTCTGTAAAATTTTTTACAAACCGAATATGAAAATTCAAATCACAGAATTTTTTTTTTAAACTATTTTAACTAATTTAATAATTTTTCTAATTTCTATAATTTAGATTATAGTTTAATTCAGAAAAGAATTTAATTAATTTTTTAAATCTAGGATTAAAATTCATTTTTTTTTTTTTTAAATATTTAGTGGGAAATAATAATGTACGTATCTAGTTTGTATTTGTTCAATATGTTTATTTAGCATTAATAGAAATTCTTAACAGGATTCAAGATTAAAAGATGGTTATGAAAATGTACCAACGCGTGATATTCATATGAATCAAGTGAATTATGAGTCACAATGGCTTTATTTTCTGAAGGAGTATGTCAGACCTTTACAGGAGCTTGTATTCATCGGCTACTATCACGATGTAAGATATAATTTGATTTTCAAAATAATCAATTTTTTTTTTCCATTATTTTCAGGATAGCAGACTCGAAGGTGGCTATGAATCTGTTCCTACGCGCGATATTCACTTGAAACAAGTTGATTTAGATAATGAATGGTTAAATTTTCTTGTAACATACGTGGATCCCTTAGTTGAACTAGCCTTTCAAGATTATGACGAATACGTAAGCGTAATAAAAAAAAGAAAAAAGTTATGGGAAATTTTTGTTTTGTTTTTTTTTTTTCAAGTATCATGCACTTAAATGAGCTTACATCACAATATGAGGGGAAAAAAAATTGTTGCTTTTCTAAAACGGTGGATTTCTTTTTTACTTTACAAAAAGAAAAATGTAATTTTTGTTGCATATCATTTTAAAACAATATTTACAATTTAATTATTCTTTTTTTTTCCTATAATAATTTTCCCTATCATGGAAAATCACTTGTAATATTTTAAGAAAGGTGATGGAAATGTTGCTTAGAAGAGCGTTAAATGTTGTTTGTGCCTTCCTAAAAAAAAAACAATGTTTTAAAAACTAATTTTAAAATTGTCAGAATTTCAAAATTTTTCAAATTCTTTTTTTTCTTATTTAACAGTGTGTTAATTTTCTGTAATTTTAAATTAATTTGTAATTAGTTTAAATTGAATTGAAATTAGTTTTTTTTTTAAATTATGTGTGATTTCTTTTTTTAAATTGTTAAAATAATCAAATTTGGTTTCGCTTGATATTTGTTGTAAATTTTTTTTTAATTTCAAAGAAAATGATTAATTTTATTTTCATCATATGTTACAGCCTCCGAGATCATTGATGAATTTTGTTGTTCGTTATAAACCTGAAGAACAACCGTCATTGAGACCACATCACGACAGTTCGACATATACAATTAATATCGCTTTAAATCGTGCCGGCATTGATTACGAGGGCGGTGGTTGCAGATTTATTCGTTACAATTGTTCAGTGAAAGATACAAAACCCGGATGGATGTTGATGCATCCTGGAAGATTGACACATTTTCATGAAGGTTTGACTGTGACAAAAGGAACACGTTATATAATGATTTCCTTTATTGATCCTTGAAACAAAAAAAAAAGAAATTCATTTTAAGAGAGCAAAAGCACTGTTAAATTAATTCTAAAACAAAACAAAAAAAATATATATAAGAATTTTTTTTTTTAATTTTTATTGAAAGCAAATTTGTAATTTAAATTTAGCAATTTTTTAAGAAATCCGAAAAAAATGATTTTTTAATTTCTCTTAATTTTGTAGAAAATTTTTTTTTTGTATTTGATTTAAAATGGCAATTTCTTTTTTCGAAAAAAAATTGATATATATGAAATAAATTTTTAAAAATATTAATATTTACAAATTTTAAAATAAAAATGTGATTTAAATATTAAATTGAAAGATATTTCAAATCAACGATATTAAAATTAGGTAGTGAATTAAAATTTTACGTGCATAAATTGGACCAAAAAAGAAAGGAAAATATTTTTAAAATATTATAAATATTTTTCTTATTAAATACAAATAATTTAATAATTATTACTTAAATGTGAATTAAGTTATTTTTTTAAATATTTTTTTTTTTTAGTATAAATAGCTTAATGAGACGTTCATTTTAATATTTAAAAAATTTTCAATTCTTTTTCCAATTGAAACATTTCTAAAATTACAAAAAGCAAAATAGTGTTAATAGAAAATACAATAATTAAACGCACATATCTGAATAAAATTTTTCAACGAATTAGTTATTTTAATATATTGAAAAAATTTAATATTTTTTACTTTAAGAGCATCGATTTAATGTTTTTTGTAAATATGTAAACATGTACTAATTATAAATATAGATATTAAATAATGTTAATGTGCTAAAAAAAAAAACAAATGGTAGAAGAAATTTTTCAAATGAAAATCCACATTTAGAGTTATAAATATTTTTTTTCGAAATCTATTATAATACAGTCAATAATATTTAGTGCTGAAGAAATTTAATATAATAATTATATTATACAGTACTATGTAATATTGTATAATATTACATATTATATTATTATAAATCATTAATGTAAAGCGTCAACTTTTTTTTTTTTTAAACGTGATTCCATTTAAATACACAAGCCGAGTTTTTTTTTTTCACTAAAAAATAAAGTACGTGACAAAGTCTTACGATAGACTTTTTTTTTATATTAAAAAAGATATCTAAAATTCACTTAAAACTTTAAAAACAACTTTCAATACTGTAATATCGACTTTTAGAAATAAAAATAAGACAAGTTTTAGGCACACTCACGCAGTTGTAATATATTTTTTAATTTTCAAAGCGAGTCATTTTTTTTATAAAAGAATGTAAAAGCATGATTCTTGAATTAATCATAATTTTTCTATATTGCCGTAGTTTTTCTTTTTTGGGATTCATTAAAATCCTGTACATTTATTTTACAAATAGGAACATCAATTAGAAAGAAAATTGTTTTTTTTTTAATCGCACTCTTAAAATCTTTATTTACATATGGTAGAAAAAAAGTCTCCGTTAAAATTGAGAAATGGGTGTACCTTTTCACAGCGCAACACCTTAAATAATAATTATAATAATAATATCTCATAGCGCTTAGGTTTTACTTTCTATTGAATATAATTTGTCAAATTTATTGACTTTCTAGAACACTTCTATTATTATTTGAAGCATGAAAGCATTTTGTTTTTTTTTCGAAAATTCGCTGCGTTTGACGTTATAGGACGCTTTTTTTTCTGTCGAAAAATTTTAATTAACCGTGAATGACAATGATTCGATGATTTACAATATATACATCAGCAACGGTTTTTTTTTTTTTTTTTAATGATTTTAAAAGGCTCGGACGCTGATTTTTCATAATTTTTCTTTTATTTGGAATGTTGATGTTTAGAATTGAAAAGCATTGGTTTTTTTACTAAAACTTGAATTTTCAACGAATTTCTAGGAAACTGAAGAAAATTCGTCTGATTTAACTAAAAGAGATATGTACAATTTGTTCGTATTTATATTAATAGAAATTATGCTTTTTTTGTATTTAAGTTTCATTTTTATTTTTAGAAACCAGCTCGTTTTAATTCATTTAATTGATGAGCAAGTTTTTCTTCCTTGGTTCTTCTAGCTTGACCCAATTTTCGACATTCAATATATGTACTTAAAAAACGTTCAACGTCAATTTTACGATTAAGAAAATCTTCAGCTATTTTTTCACTTTTCTCATGACTTTCATCGGCGGCTTTTTGTAAACATTGTTTTATATGATCGGGTGTGAATACTTCCGATAAATTATTATATTTACGTAATAATTGATCGTAACGTGCCTTTAATTCTTTGACAGTTTCAACTTTATTTCTAACTTCATCTTGAAGTTGTTTTAATTCTTCTTCTTTCACGAGATTCGCAGCTAAAAAAGAAAAAAAAAAAAATCGAAAATTAGTTTCGTAAAAGAAAATAAATATGAAAGAAAACTTACCTGCAGTTTTTTGTACCCAGTCAATTGTATCCTCAACTGCTGTATCAATATCTTTTAATTGTGGATGTAATTCTAAAAATTCATCAATTTTTTCATCATTTCCATTAAATTTCTTCAATTCCTCAATTGTTAAATTATTCAATTCGGGGAAAAATTGTGATACAATTTGATTTTGCATTGGTTGTTGAATGTTTATATTGACATGATGTAAATTAGAATAAGTATTTGCATGTGGATTTGTTGTATATTGAATTGGATTTGAATTGTGTAGACTTCGAGTGTTTGTCACGTATGTTGAATGATGCGATGATGTTGCACATGATTGTGTTTTATTGTCCGAAATATAAGTATTGCCAGAATTTGTATAATTATAATTGAATATAGGTGAATTCGTATTTGGCGATGAAAATTGAGGAAATTGAGAATTATAATAAGAATTATAGGATGTCGATGGAAGTTCAAAATATGGATTAAGAGCATATGATGGCGAACCTCTTCCAGCTATGTCTGAAAAAAATAAAAATTCAATTAATTAACGATAGAGTTTTTAAAATTAAAAAAAAACAATTACCAATGTGTTGTACAGCAGAAGGTGGTGAATTATCTTCTAAAAGTTGAGGTGGATTTCTACTGAATTCTCTGATAATAGCCTGAACAACACGACCAAGATCGCTATGAACTGTAAACTGAGAATTTTTATTTATTAAAAAATTTTAATCAACTAGAAATAATATTTTTTTTTTTAATATATCTTACATGCAGTAGTCCGGGTGCACTCGTGATTTCACTGTGTTCATTACACCAAGGATGTGTTATCGGAGGTGTTACCCGAAGAACAGGCTTCTCCAGAGGAAATTCCGGTGAGAGTGAGACCAAAATAGCCATTCGCTTATCTCCAGCATCAAATTGTACTTGATACTCCACATCTTCTCTTAGTTCTAAAACACTGAATCATTTTTTTTTCTAATTATATAAATCCCTGAATCGACAACGTTAATTTAAAAAAAACATCTGCTACTTTGATACAAAAAAAAAAAATTAATAAAATGAATTTATTAAATTACAAAATAAAAAAAAATTTCTAAATCAAATTCCATGATTTTAATTTCAATTTACAACGAGAATGACAGATGAATTTGAAATATTAGTCATCAAATAATTACTGATATGAAACAGCTTAGCTCTTATATTTGTCATATATAAGAATCTTTATAACAAAGCCAAATGTTAATAGACGAGGTTAACTTAAAAGGTTAATTTAAAAATTGAAAAATTTTTACTTACTTATCGTTAAAAATTTTCAATGTATCAATTTGTCGTTTTCTCTTGACGGCGGCATTTTCATTTTCTCCACGGAATATTCGCGATAACATTTAAATGCCTTAAATTTGGATAAATCATTCGCTTTTTTCCACAATAGCAATATACTAAAACCACTGTCAAAAGTTGTAACCACAGCAGAAAAACAGCTGTTTTCAATTATAGTTAACTTCAGACAGGAAATAAGTGTAGACAAATGACGTCATTGTCACGTGAATCAAGCCGCGAATATATCGAAATAATCGAAAACTGTCAAAAAAATATAAATAAAATAATTATTATAGTGACTTATTGTTTACACGAAAATTATTTTTAATTTAATATTATTTAAATTATTGTAGAGGGAATTAATTAAATATAATTAAATTAATAGTAAAAGGGCAATAAAAGAAAAAGAAAAATGTCAACATAACCTTAAAATGTAGTTTTTGATAATCAAAACAATTTTTAAGTTTTTTAATTGTAAATATATTTATCAAAATGCCTGTTTTTCAAGAATCTTGTACTGAGGTTAGTATTTATTTTACCGGTAATTTTTGTTTAGATAAAATGTTTAATTTTAATTTATTTAAAATTTTTATTGTTTCAGCAAATACAAGCACAGACAGTAATTATAATACATCCTGGATCTTTGTATCTTAGAATAGGACGTGCATCAGATTTAAATCCTTTTACGCTTATAAATGCAATTGCAAGAAGACGACTTTCTGGTGGTTTGGAACACAAGGATACATTTCTTCCTTCACTTGTACCACGTGTGAGAATATTATCTAATTTAAAAAAAAAAATTTTTTTTTTGACCAATTTAAAAATAAAATTGTTTTTTTTTCACAGACCAAAGAATTAACTCAAGCTATGGAGGAATCACGTCTTCAGGTATCGCATACTCTTCAATCGTGTCTTCAGTCTGACGGTAGAAGAAGATATGCAACACCACCTCAACAAATTGCGGCTTTTAATCGTCGATCAAATCCAGAATTACTTTCACCATCATCGAATGGCGAATGGATTAAAACCGATCAAGATATTGTAATTGGAGATGAAATTTTATCATTAAATCCAACAGCGGATTTTAATATTCATTTTCCTTATAGAAGAGGAGAATTAAATGTTCATTCAGGTCCTGGCGGTAGTTTACGTTCAGTATTGGCTGATTTAAAAGCAATTTGGGAATATGTATTGACGGGAAAATTGGATATTCCCCTTAGAGATTTAAAACACTATCGTGCTGTTTTGATAATACCTGATATTTATAATCGATTGTATTTAAAAGAATTGACAACACTTGTTTTATGTGAAATTGGTTTTGGTGGCTGTTTTTTATTACAGGTTAATTAATTAAATTAATTTTTCAAAGAAAAAAAAAAAAAACAAATTTTGATATGAAATTTATTTTTTTAGGATCACGTTGCCGCAACTTTTGGCGCTGGTTTGGGTTATGCTTGCGTTGTTGATGTTGGCGATCAAAAAACATCGGTATCATGTGTTGAAGATGGAATTTCACATAGAAATACACGCGTAAGAATGGATTATGGAGGTGGTGATATAACACAAACATTTTTTTGGCTTTTACAAAAATGTGCCTTTCCTTATAAAAATTGTGATCCATCGAATAAATTGGACGCTCTTCTACTTAGTCAATTGAAGAAAGAATTTTGTCACGTTGATTTAAATATATGTGGATCGCAGGAGAAAACATTTATTGTCAAAAAACCAAGACAACAAACTGAAACTTACACCCTACAGGTATAACTTTTTCACTATTTTTTCTTTTTCTCGTAAATAGAAATTTATTTTTTTAATTTCAGGTGGGTGATGAGTGTTTAGTAGCGCCTTTGAGTCTTTTTCAACCGGAACTTTTTAAAGTAACAGGAATTCACAATGTACACGTTCAAAAACGTTCTGCTGGCGATGCAGAGGATCCACATGATGAAAATTATTTACGAGAAACGAGTGTAAGTAAATTGTCTACCTGAATTTGAATTTGAATTTAAATTTCATTTTTTTACAGAGGAGAGGAATTAAGGAAAATTTGGAACAAACACTAGAATCTCAGGAAGAAACAGCAATACCGGTTGTTGTGGGCGAAGAAGAAGTTGTTGTTGATAATGTTGATTCCGCGCCGATTGCACTACAAAATAGAGAATTGGATGCACCACGTGAATTTGTAACCGGACCTCAGCAACTATTGGGACTCGATCACGCCGTTTTGCAAAGCATTGACAGATGTCGTATGTATTTTTATTACTATTGAATCACTTACTAAAATTTTAATATATAAATTTTATTTTAGCGACGGAGGATTTAAAGAGAAAAATGTATAGTTGCGTATTGATTGTTGGTTCAGGAATGAAATTCCAAGGAATTGGAATGTGGCTACACAATAGAATTTCACTTCAAATTCCTTACATGTATAGAGCAGGTATATTTTACAAAAATTTCGAAATTTATTTTTATTTTTTAAATTTACAAAAATAATTTTTACATTAGAACAATTGGATATAATAACACAACCAAAGGAAATGGATCCAGGAATGACTGCATGGAAAGGAGCGGCAATATTAAGTTGTTTAGAATCGGCTCAAGAATTATGGATAAGTCGACAAGAATGGGAACGTTCAGGTGTGAGATTATTGAGAGAAAGAGCACCTTTCATGTGGTAATTGTCGCGAAAAAAAAAAAAATATATTCTTCAGGTAATTATAGTAAATTTGCCATTTTACACAAATTTGTATTATTAGGATGATAAACAACAATTCCCATTGTATTTAAAATAGTTACGAAATTAAGATTTTCATCATTTATCTCTTCATATACATCGTCTCCACCTTGCAATTGTTTTTTTGACAGTTGCTTAAAAAAGAGAAAATAAAATAAATATATTTATTTACAAATTAATTAATTATAACTTACCATTAAAAAATGGAGAATATCGTCATTATCAGGAAAAATCAGATCAACTGTTTTCGACTGTAAAAAAAAATAAAATAAATTTTATAAATTATTTATTAATAAAAATTCATTAATAATTGATTTCTTTTTAATTAACTTACAAGATCAGCTTTGATTGCTGTGAAGATTCTTTTTACTAAAGCATATTCTTCTTCGTAGGTAATTTTAGCTTCATTTTCATTAACATTTAATGCAGCTTTTTTCATTTTGTCATATCCTGTTATTTTATTATCGAAACTGAAAAAAATATATATAAAAATTATTTTAGTTTTATTTTATTTTCTATTCTATACTTACTAAGTAACTTCGTTTTTAATTCTAGATAATTCGTCATTCATGTAATTCTCTAGTGTAGTCATGTTGTGTACATCATTTTCTAAATTTTGAATTACAGCTGAATGCATATCTAGATTGAGATAATTTATAGGATTTTCTTTTAATATTAATCTCTTTAAACTTTCGACAAATTGTAATCTCTTTTTAATAATATCATCTTTTATAATGTCTCTATTTAATGAAGAGCTTGGATTATTTCTTATTTTCTCTGTTAATTTATCAATTTCACTTTGCATTTCTTTTTGAATTTCTTTTAAATATTCATAAATATCTTGTGGAGAAAGTTTATTATTTTCTGCCTCCATTTTTGTTAATTTATCTAAATGAAAAAATAATTTAGTCAATTTTTTAAATACATCTAAATTAAAAGAAGTGTTATTATTATTATTTATTGATAAATAATGTTTAATTGTAAATATTACTTACATGTAATTTGATTAATTTACAGAGGCGTCACACTGATTTAGTTTGTTGATAAAATTTTTGTATTTTTGAGAAAAATTTCAATTAGTTTTCAAAAAAAAAAATTAAAGAACAACTTTATTTCTTGTTTTTCTATTTGTTTTAATAAATTTTCTTTATTCAACGTTGTTTTTGTAATTTTTGTGTTGATTGTTTTTGTTTGTGTCAAACTTCATGCGCGGCATTTCTAACCTCAAAACTGATGTTGTCAAAACAAACGCGTGTTTTTTCGTAACGTTTTGATTATGGGAGAATTTTGTCCTTTGTGCATGAAACGAGGTTTTAAGAAAAAAATGAAGGCAATTCAAATTAATTTAGAAGAAGCGGTTTGGATGTGTGAATCAGAAGAGGTAAATTTTGAAAATTATAAAATTAACCTATAAAACTGCGAAAAGTGTTTTCCAATACTTTTTTGTATTTTTAAATTACTAAACTACATTTAGATTTTGCAATAAGTAAAAATAACGTTTATTGTTCACTAATATTTTCTTTTTGACATTTTTTTAGTGTATTTGGCCGATGGATCATCAGGAACTTGAATACATTCCTCGGAAAATAGGAGAAAGTTGGTCGTGTTATTGGAATACATATAAACCCCATAGATCACCTGAAACACCACCTCAAACAAATTGGGATTTTTTTACACCTCCATATACACCAAGAACTGAAGTTTCACCCACTGCTTCATCAGAAACAAGTAATCACAGTAATGATCAAAATCGTTTAATTAACGCTTATTCCAAAGAATCAAATTCTTCTAAAGTATCACCGAATCATATTAATGAGGAAAATATAATTAAAATTGACATTGACGAAATAGAAATAAAAGAAAATATTAATTCTTCATTGTCAAATAATTTAGAATTACTTCCGGATATTACAAATCCATCTTTAAATAAAGTGGAAAATATTTCTTGTACATTAAAAAATTTAGAAAATAATTTAAAAACTGTCACTACACGTGCTCCAACAATAGTAAATATTGAAACAATGAATTTAGTTAATGTTGCCGATATTAGAAAATTACCCGGTGAGAAATTAATTTTAAAATCACAGGAAAAATGTAAAAAAGAAAATACACTTGTTACGTCAATACAAGAGGAAAATTCAAAGGAAAAATTAAAAAAATCTATTGTCACTTTAAGTGAAATTGAAAAAAATGAAAATCCAATTCAAAATCAAACGAAAATGGAAGTAAAAACAGTTAAATTGGAAGGTTTACCAATTGTAACATTATCGTACGAGGTACCGGATTTTTTAACTGAAATAAATAATCAAAAAGAAAAAAAATTAGAACAAGAATCAAAAGTCACAAGTGAAATAGATAAATCTAATAATGTTTTATCGAAAAAAAGTATAATGGCAAGTAAAATGTTTCAAAAATTCGATTTCGGTGAATTGAGAAGATTAAAAGATTTAAAGAAAAAGAAAAAGGAGGATGAGAATAAAAATGAAGAGGATAGTGCAAATGAAGAGGACATTACAAATGAAAAAAATATAGAAATTCAAAAAGTAATAATTTTAAATGATGATGATAAAGATTCACTTGTTGATACAAAAACTATATCCGAATCAATTAATTATGGTAAAACATTCTCGCCACTCTCTGAAGATTCAAAAGATGTTATCAGTGATTTAGATTCATTTCTAAATGATTATATTGAAGATATTAAATCAAGTACCGACGAGAATATCACAAATCTCACCGATGACGATTGGTTATCATCTTTATTGGTTTAGTATTATTTTTATTTTTACATTTTCTATGTTATATTTAAAAAATTAAAATACAATTTTTATCTTAAAGATAATATTTATTAAAAAGAAAAATTTATCGAAAAAAAATGTAAATTAAATGAAATATTCATAAAAATCGTTTTTTTTTTTTTTTAAATTGGAAATCATGATTTTAAATTCTCTTTATTAAAATAGTAATAGAAAAAAATTATAATACAGAAAAAAATATCACGTTTTTGATAATCTGTACAAATTTCCCGATAATATTAAATGATGTTCTCTTACTTTTCTATCTAAAAACAATTTCAAATCCGATAAACTACATTCAACAGTTCCTAAACCTTGTGATGCGAACATTTTCAACATTTGATGAATTCTTTCAAGTGGCATTGAATCGAGATTTGTTAACATTCCAACGATATAAGACCAAAATACTTGTAATTCACCTTCACGTTGATCACTTGCCGATGCCATTGCACTTTCACCTTCATCATCTTCAACAACTTCTGAAACTGCATGTGTTTTTGATGTATTTTCCTCTTGCAATGTATAAATATCATTTGCAGTTTCTTTAAGAACACCTTGTGTCACCCAAAAACCAATTTTTCTCCTAAGCACCGTCATTGGGGCATGTACAATTTCTGACAATTTTTCCAATGTCCATTCATGTTTCTCTTGAAAATGTAAAATAATCGTCGCATGAATTGGCGTAACATTGAGATTAAATTTACGATCTTTTAATTCAATTTCAAGATTAACATTTCCCAAATGTGGCTTCCAACAAAGTGTTCGATTTCCTTTTAGTGCTTCAAATGCTTTCACATAACGTGATAATTGATTTTGTACAATTTTTGGAAGTTCCAATTTCCATTCTTCTTTAAATGGTGGCCAAAATTGTGCCGACAAAATTAATGCCGATGTTGTAAAATCTTCTTTATCTGATAAATAACTAGCGTCCGATTGTATATTACCATCAATTCGTTTTGAATCATAAACATCTTTAAGCATTACTTCACAATAATGCAATTGATGTTCACCAAATCGTCTTTTTAAAAGTTCCAAATGTCGAAGTTCCCTCTCGGTATGATAATTCATTTGCGATAATAAACGATCAGCCAATAATGTTCTATATTCATTGACAAATAAATCTTGACTACCATAAACACTAATTAACATTGATATAATATCAGACATTTTTCTTTGCGTTGAACGCGTTGGATCGGCATCAACTGGATCGGGCATCCATTTTTCCCAATTTTCAATTTCCTCCTCACCTGAAATATCATCCAATTGTAGAGTTTCACTTTTTGCAAGTTCCTCAGCTAAATCACTATCTGAATCATCCAATAAACCACTAACAACACAACGAACCGTATCCTCACGACTTCTTAAATATAATTTAATTGGCTCCGTTGTTGTTTCCAATAATACTCCAGTTGGATCCAATTGTCTTAATACTTTAATTGCCGCAATATATGCTGTTAAAATATCCTGTGTCGTTACACCTGGATGCAATAAACGTGTTTTAAATGCCTCTTGTAGTGTATCAATTAAATTTTTTCTCAAATCAGTTCTTATTAAACATGTACGTAAATCAAGTATTGCCGGCAATGAATTTGGATATTCTATTATTATATTAAATAATTGTTCAATTCTTACTTTTGTATATGTCTCGTGCATATAATGTTGTAATTTTTGTTTAAATATTTCAATAGCGTCACTTGTTTTTTTGGCAATTATATTTGTTTCCGATGATCCTGAATAAATACGAACCAACCAACTTAATACAATTGTACCAAGCCAATCATTTAATGGTTCTATTAATGATTTATTGAAACTTCTATTACACGTATGACTAACATAATTTTTTATACGAATATTTATCAATGATGTTAAAACATTGCCAACTAATCTTTCCAATAATCCTAATTCCAATAATTTTTTATTTGTCTCATGAAACATGTAAATTATCATTTTACATTGACATTTTGATTGTTCTTGATTACAACCACGACATTGATTGGTAAATTCATTATTATCATTTGTGTCATTATTACAAAATACTTTAAATGAAATTTTATAAAAATGTTCAATTATAATATCATGATGCAATGGTATTTGACTTAATAATGTTGCTCCAACTAATAATTTAAAACGTTCATTTACATTTTTACTACTGTAGGAGAATTTTTTATTTTTCATTAATTCCTCAAGTTGTTTTATTAATGGTAATATTGGATCAAAACTTGAATATAATTCATTAACTGCTTGTTGAAAATCTTGAAAACCTTGTTGTTCATTTTTAATGAATTTAAAATATTTCCAAAATTTTGGCGCAACATGCTTACGTATATAAATTTCTAAATAATGTATTATTATAGTTTCAACATTTTCTTCGAGTTTTTCAAAATTTGCTTGTCTAAATCCACTTGATGAAAATTCATTTTCATTCTCGTGACGTTTTTCATTAAGAACTTGTGTCACATTTTGTATCCAGTAAAATATTTTTTCCGAATTTTGAAAATTATCAGCCATTTTTTTTTTTTTCAATGTGAAATTATATCTCGAGTATTTCAAAATCCATCTAGAAAAAAATGATAGATTAATTAAATTATTAAACAATGGTAATAAATTAAATCTTACCTCTCTTTTTTTTAGAATTAAAATTATTTAATCGATGTATTTCAAATTGAATTGAATTTTTTTCTATAATTTCAATCTCTGTTTTAAAACAAAAATAAATTCTGTTTATAATTTTATTGTTGCCACAAAAAATTGACATATTGAGGTTAGGTTAGGTTGTTGACACTCAACCTATAAAAATACTGTTTTTAATTTTAAAAGAATGTAAAATTGTTTTGTTTTTTTTTACTAAAAATTAAAATTGACATAATTAATTAGACTATTTGTTATTATTTTAATTATTAATTTAATTTTCCTTAAGTCATATGTTTTTGTGAATAATTTAAAAAATGATTGGTCGAATAGAATTTGCCCAGGACAAATTTCAAAAATTCCACCAGTAAAAAATTAGCTACTCTCTATTTCCGGTTATTTCCATCAACTGAGATTCTTTTCTATTCATAGTCGAAGCTTTTATGGCTTAGCATTTCCGGATTATCAAGCGGGTGAACAAGACGCTTCCCTTCAATAAAATTAAAGAAATTTTATTCTAATATATTGTTTCTTCAATTTTTTCTGGGTATAAAATAATATTACCCAATTTTATAAGAAGAAAAATTAATATTTGTGGATCATTTGAATAAAAGTGAGGTAAGTAACTTTTTTTTTTTTTATTTCCTATTAAAATGCTTGTCGTCCATGTAAAAATTTGTACTTTTTTTTTTTTTTTAATAAGTGGATAATTGATATTAATCTGTTTATATTTGTACTAATTAATTTGCCACAATTCAATAATTGGATAATTAAAAAACAATTTTTGGAAGGAATAATTGTCATTTTTGATAGTCATAGTATATTCTGTATTCGTATATAGTTTATGTCATTTTTATCGACTTTCGATATTTCCTTGTAACTTGATTTTTCTTTGGCAAAAGTTTTTTTGGTGTATTTTTATTTGTGAAGGTGATTTCTTTTGTATCAAAGAATTGGGGGATTTAAAATTTCAATTTTTATACTTTCAGTTTTTGTAAAAATTTTTCTGACTTACGCCGAAAATAATGCAATTGTTTTGAGTACATTAGGAAAAAAAAATGCTATGTGAAAAAATAGAATCAAAAATGGTTTTTTTTTTTATATTTGTAAACATTGATTTGTATTTATTTTATTTTTGTAATTTTCCTTATAGGCATTATGTATAATCGTGGTGTGAAGAGAGATTCTTTCGGCAATCGAAACTTCAATAATCGTGGAATGGGAGGTGGCGGCGGCGGAGGCGGTGGTGGTGGAGGATCACGAGGTGGAAATATGGGAGGAGGAATGGGAGGCGGTATGGGTGGTGGAATGGGAGGTGGTATGGGTGGTGGAATGGGGGGTGGTAACATGGGAAGTGGAGTTAATCCATGGGAAGGTGGAATGATGCCAGGACGTGGAATTCTTCCAACTCCAAATAATAATTTATCATTGGCATCGCCACAAGCTCAACTTGCCATTGCTAGCAATCTTCTTTCCAACATTCTACGCACTCAACAGGAATCACAACCCCAGGTATGATAATAATTTTTACTTTTCACGATTATTAAAAAATAAAAATTTGTAATTTAAATCCAAATTAACTTTTCGTTGAGCAAAAGGAAAAAGTCTTGGTAAAATATAATATAATTTCACTTTTCAAAATTTCTCTTTAATATGCACACACACACAACAATCTATTAAAATTTGTTTAGAAAAATAATTTTACTGCCAAGGTGCCGTCATTATTGAGTTTGGGTAACAATTACGGTGGGCCAGGATCGAATTTCAATAATCAACCAAACTATCAACAAGGACGTTACAATGATCGTCCTTCACGGCACAATATGAAAAATCAACGACCTCAACCCTATAATAAGGTATGATTTGTTTATTTTTATTTATTTTGTTGTTTTTTTTTTTTTAAATTAAAAACGATTGAAAACAAGAATGGTCTACCAAAAGATTTTTTTCTGCAACAATTAGGTATTTTGGATATTAAAAAGAGAAAAAAAAATCGTCTTCATATAAATCCGAAATTCGATTAAGTTTTATCTTCGATAATTGATTTCTTTAATCATCATTTTTTTTGTGATGTTTCAATCAATAATTTTATTTTTTCCCAAGTTTTTTTCGAATTATTTGAATGATTAAATAATTAAATCGTATCGACATTTTTCTGATTACAAAAAAAAAAACGATGCTTTTTTTCTTTGATAATTAAAATCGTTTTATATTTATAATTATATCCAATTAAATGTGCGTAAAAAGGTACAACGAAAATCTTGTACGATCTTACGCTCTTTTTTTATTTACAGTGAAAATAATTAATTTTTATCTGCACTTATAAGTAGAAAATTTACAGGATATTATTCTCTCAGGGAAATTGAATTTCATTTTTCCAACAGAGGAAAAAAAAAAAAAAAAAAAAAAAAGACTACCACTGCTCTGTGGAATATAAACATCTCTTTTTTGCACAATGGAAAAGTATTTATATTTCACACCTTTCTCCCCTTCCTTTTTGGCAATATACTTCTTTCATTCCAAGAACTTTTTTTAATAATAAAGACAAAAAAAAATTCCCTTTCTGTGTCTCTACGAGAATATTTTCAATAATTCACAAGGAGAATCACAGGTTTTACTCTCTCTTTTTCTTCGATTACCTTATTCTCAATTATTTTTGAACGTTGGTCATTTTTGACCCCTAAAATTAATTAGATGGGCAATCGAGCCCGTGACGGAGCCACTGGGCGACGCGGCCCATCCGCACAACACTCTCGTGCATCCGGCAATCAACGTCTCAATGGCAGTCAAAATCAACATCGCAACGATAAATCTTCTAAAGCAAATGCTGCCTCTAAACAAAATCAGGCCGCCAAAAAGGAACAGCAGGGAGATAAGAGCAATAAGGCCTCTGATAAGACTAAAGAAAAGGCAGAAACATCTGTCGGCGAAAGGTAAGCTCCTGGTTGATTGCGCATAGCTTCTTCAAAACAAACAAACAAACAAAGAAATATCAAAACAAAAAGAAAGAAAATTTCGATTCTCTCCACAATTCGTGTGAGACAATCAACAATATTATTTTATTATACCAAAATAAAAAAAGAAAACAAAATTTTCAAACAAGGCTCCCTTAATTTTTTTTCAATTGAGCGAAAATTTTCAAATATCGATAATTTTTCTCTCCGTCAATCCAATTTGTTTGTTTCGTCTCAGCTATTTATAGTCTATCAAAAGACTATTTCCACCTATTAATTAGCGTTCCTTTTTCATAATATTACTTGTTTCCATAATTTAAAAAACTACTATATATTTACGTTTTTTAAATATTGAAGCTTTTTTCTTAAAAAAAAAAAAAAAACAAAAGAATTAAATCTTTTAATCGGCAAATTTACAAATTTTTTATAAAAATTTGCCATTGGAGATAAATAATTTTGAAAAAAAAAATCAAATTTTTTTCAAATTATATTAACAAGATTCTTCGTCTTTTTATTAATAATGGTTGTATTCAGCTTCTTTCATTGTTTATCCAATTTTAAAAATGTCATCAAATAATTATTCTGTGGAAGCTATTTGTTTTCAATCAAATTGAATTGATATTCAGTTCTACATTTTCTTAATTCGAATAATAATTCACATGCGATAATAATGTATATATATATATGGGTGGAAATTAATAACAAAGACGATAATTCTATTTCAGATTTTTTTTTACAGTATTAAAAACAATCGCTATTTTCTTTTTTTTCTATATTTAATAATTTTGAAAATTTTTTCTTTTAATTACTAAGATTTTAATTTTCAATTATTGAAAATTGTTTATTTTAATTTTTTTTATTTACTAACGTTAATCAAATTTTGCAATAACTTCAGTAACAATTTTAAATAATTTTTATAATTTCTAAAATAGAAGTAGAAAGCAAAAATTATTATTTTTTAAATTTTATTTATTTATCAAATAAAACAATTTTATTTTAAATATAAATAATAAAATATTTAAATGCAAAAAAAATTTATTTTATAATACAAATTAAATTTTTTAAATTGAATATTATAAAGAACTAAATTTATTATTATACAGTGTAAATAAAAAATATTTACAATAATTTATGTTTTTTTTTATTTATAGAGTATAATTATAAATAAAGTATTAAATATTGTAGAATAATTTTAAAATAATTGAAAAATGAAAACAATTGTTTTTACAAATTGAAATTTTATTTATTTTTTTTTTTTTTTATTTAAATTCAAATATTACGTCATTTATTTAAAAGATAGCAGTCATTAAAGTAAATTTCAAGTACGAAAATAATGTTTCCATTTGTAATTAATTTCTTTTTTTTTCGCCTCTCAAAAATAATTGAATTTAAAATTAGTCAAGACAATGAGGAGAATGCAGAAACCCAAAAACGTGATTGGAGCCAAGAACGAAAGGAAGTTGAAGGAAATGAGAATAATGAAAATGAAACCAAGGATTCAAATAAGGACAATGATGATAATGAAGATTCAAAGGAACATAAAGAGGGTGAATCAAAGGACGATAAGAAGGAATCTGATGACAAAAAGGATTCAAATAAAACACCAATTAAAAAATCCGAAGCACGACATGCCGAGAGTCGTTACTCTGAAGTTCCCATGAATCAAATGTTCTGTCATGTTTGCAACAAACATATGTGGGATGGATCGGTAATTAATTTTATTTATAAATTATTTTTTAAAAGTATTTTTTTTAGCTACAAAATTTAATTAATTTCTAATTATAAAATGATTGCATTTTTTTTTTTTAGTCATTTGAAAATCATCTTCGAGGACGTGCCCATAAATTAATGATGGAGAAACTTGATGAATCCTATAAATTGAAAGTTGATTTAATGAGACACGATTTACGAGTAACTGAAGAACAACGTGAACTTAGTTTGACAAATTCAAAACGTCGTGGAAGAAAGGTAAAATATTAAAAAAAATTTTAATATTAAATTCAGAAAATTAAACAATTGTTTTTTTTTGTCATTTAGGTTGGAATTGATTTAAATGTACGTGAATATTGTACAATGTGCGATTTGAATTTCTTTGGAACTTTGTCAAGTCATCGTAAAAGTGAAAAACATCAACAATTGAAAACTTTCCTTCATCCACGTTGCATTGCCTGTGTCAAAGAATTTCCATCTCGTATTGAATATGATGAACATTGTCTTACACCACAACATATGAAGAATGCTGTTAATAGCGAAGAACAACGAAGAAGTAATAAGAAGAAGGGTAATTTTTCCTTCTTTTTTTTTCTCGTTATTAAAACTTTATTTTTTAATTATTTGCAAATTTTTTTTATTTACTTTTATTGATCTTTTTTTTGAATTTATTTTTGTTTGGTAGATAAACTTGCAAAGGGAGAAAACGAAGTTCGTACCGCTGATGAAGAAGACAAAGATATTGGAACAGAATCAAAGAACGATAAACTGGACGAAACATTAGACAGTTCCGAATATATAACCGATATTGATGAGACAACAAAGGAGAATATTATCAATTTAAAACCACCTTCTTACAAATATTGTCGTCAAAAACAAGTATCCATTGGTAAGTTATTTGAAAAAAAAATTTATTTAATTAATTTACAATTATGAATCGATATTTAATGGATTTGACATTTGAAAAAATTGTATTGGCTGTTGATACAAATCAAATCGTTGACAAGCTTTAATTTTATTTCGTAGTAAATTTAATGTTATTAAATCATCCGTTGGTACTTGTTGTGTTTCAAAAAATGATATTAATGTTTCAAGTTGTTGTTGTGCAGTTTGATTATCAATTTTTTGTGTTAATTCATTAGAATGTTGTTCGTCATCTCTTTTTGTTTGTAAAACAATTTCAATAATTTCCTCATCTGAAAGATTATACATTGCTCTATTATCTTTATCCATTAATTTTTCCATATCTTTAATATCAATTTCCTGACAACCATTAATTTGTAGACATAATTTTGCTAAATCTAAAATTGACATTGAATCATTCTCATCAAATTGAACGAATTTTTTCTCATGCCATAAACGATCCCATATTCGTTTTATTCCCATTGTTGAAACATCGGACCATGCATCAGCTAACCAAAAAATAACATCTTTTATTGTGATATTATAAAGACGTTGCATTATATCAATTTTATCGTGTTGATATTCTAAAAGTGATTGGAGCATTCGATAACGATAGCGTATTTTTAAATCTCTCATTATCTCTTGATTTATTCTTCTTGTTATTGATTGTACATTTATATTTAATAACGTTGAACGTATATTGCCGCAACGTAATTTATCCTCAGATGCATGAAGTGGAGCATTATCGACAATTAAAATTGCCTTTTGCGGTAAATCTTTTTCATGTAGAAATTTTGTTACACGCGGTACAAATATTGTATCGAACCAATTTTGATAGACACTTGTATCGACCCAGGCACTTTTTTGATATTGATAAATAAGTGGTAAATTATTTGGTTTTATATTTTTTAATGCTTGTGGCTTATATTGTTTATCAACGACAAGTAGAGGAAATTTTAATGTACCCGATGCATTTGTGCATATAAATATTGTAACACGATTTGATGTTACATCAAAATTTGGTATATTTATTTGCGATTGATAAATTAATTCACTTGTTGGTAACATTTTATAATAGAGTCCCGTTTCAAAGCATGTGAATATTTGATCGTAACTAATATTTTCGTCTTTAATTAATTTTTTGAAATACATATCAAATATTTCTTCCATTGATGGTGCCATTGATGAACGATTAATTAATGGAAGTTGAAGAATTCCATATTTTTTACGCCAATTATTGAGCCAATCATTTTTAAAATATGATTCATTGCCAAATTCTTGAAATAGCGATAGGGCTTTCTTTTTTAACATTGATCGATTGATTGATAATTTTCTATTTAGACATTCGGAATACCAATTGTAGAGTTTTTCTTCAATTTTTTCACTTACTTGCAATGTTATTGTGTTTTCGGCTTCGGAACTTGTACTTGTTGTACTTCTATTTTCGTAATTTTCATCCATTTTCTTTTTTTACTTAATCTGAAATAATTTTGTTTACTATAAAAATAGTGTTGATTTTGGAGTAAATAAATTAACATTGTATTACATACCTTATTCAGTATCTAAAGAACTATTTTGTTTTTCTGATAAAATCGAATCCTTTTTTTTTTTCTAATAAACCACTAAATATTTTCTATGTTTTATTAATAATTAAATTCTTGTTATTTTTAATCGGAAAGAGAAATTTTTGGAGGTTAAGTAGGCGACGCTTTTTTCTGTCATTTTAACGGAAGGTCAATATCAAAAACGGATGTAGATGGCAGCACTGTTTTCGCGGGATAATATTTAAAAAGGACAAAAAAATTTATTTTTAATTAAATTTTTTTTTAAATGACGTTTCAAATTGAATTTTCTTTTCTTTTTTTTTACAGGAAAATCTCTAGTGAAAGAAGTTCAAGGTTTCTTTTGTGAAAAATGCCGTCGTTTTATGCTTTCGGCGGAAGATTTAGCTTCACATTTACGAACAATTACTCATTATCGTAATTTTATTCAAGAAGTGAAATTATTGACATCTGCCGCGAATGCTGAAGCTGAAAAGAAAATAAAGGAAGAATCAGAGGTTTATTTTTATAATATTTAATTTTTTTTTTTAATCTCTCGTTTAGAGAATACAAATAAATTTTAATTTATTTTTTTTTTAAAGGCCGCTGAAGAGAAATCAGTCGACGAAGCTGAAGACAATGAAGGTAATTGGAAGCGTCGTAAAATTGCCCACTCTGATGATGATGAAAATGCGGAGAATGCAGAGAATAATCAAATTTCCGAAAATGTGAAATCAGAAGGTGATGATGAAAAAATGGAAAATAAAACTGAAACTGGTGACAAATATGATCCAATGGATGCTGAAAATGAATCAGAAAATGATGAAGAGGAAAATGCTAATGATGCGCCTGAAGGTGGTGATGAGAATGCTCATAATGATAATAATGAAGGTGAAAATGAGGAGAATAAAGAAGATGAGCAAAAAAATAAAGACGATAAAGTTGAATGGAGCGATGGTGATAATGAATTTGAACCTGAGGTTGGTAATTTAATGGATGAAAGTGGTGATGGTAAACCGGAAAAAGTTGAAACACCAAAATCAACATCTACTGCTGCTCGAGGTCGTCCTTCACCACGTCCAAGGGGACAAAGAGCAAGAAGATCACGTCGATAAAAAATATAATGCATTATACAAAGAAAAATGCTATTTCAACTTCTTTTTTTTTTTCTTTTTTTTTTAACTCTATTGGCTTTCTAAAAAGTAATTTTTCTAAAAGTATCATTCTCATGGCAATTGTAGATTTAATCCGAAGCAAATTTATTAATTTTAATTCTCCATTTCTCTTTTTTTTTTTAATTTTTTTTTACTCAATGTCGCGTATTGTAAAGCATGATTTATAATTGTGATTGAAATTTTATTTAAAAATTTCATAATGGAGAAAAATAGAATTCATGTGTAGCACATTTTTTTTTTTTTTTTATCAAATAGACAAAATTAATTCAAAAATTTCGTTATCAAAATATTATTTTTTGACATGCATTGTGTTTTTAATAATAAATGGATTTTTTAATTTTACGTACATTAAAAATGCAACTATATGCACAGTCATTAAAAGATACGAAAGTTCTCGACAAGAAAAAAAAATAAAAAAAAAACAATTTCAGTCATGTGTGTCAAATATTATATATATATATTAAAATAGTTAGGTACATAATTTGAAGGTATGTACATTTTATTCAGAAAACTGGAGGTAAGATAAATGCCAGTAAGGATTACGAATAGATTACATTTTTCATTCCAGTAATGCATATTTGTGTTTATAATCTTTCAATACAAATGTAGTATAATAAATAAATAAATCGTAATGAAAAATTCCTCTCTTTTTTTTTTAATTTAATAAAAATATAAATTTAGAAAAAAAGATGATTAAGATAAGTAAACAATTGTTTTTAAAAGAAATTCATTTATTAGTAATAGAAAAATTACAATTAAATCTATTAATCTTTGGAAAGATACGTGCTTAAAAATTCATTAACAGAATCTGTGTTCCATTTATGAATATCGACGTCGTCAACTTTGACATTATCTTCATAAAGTCGTATCATTGGATCTAATCCATTGACAAATCTAATTTGTAGATTTTTGAAATTATTTGGTAAATCACTGTTTATAAATGCTGTAAATAAAAATTATAAATTGATTTTTTCATATAGATATTTTTTTTCAAATATAATTAAAATAATTATTACTAACCTTCAATTTGAGGATAAGCTGTATATTTGCATTTACAAATTTCAAGTATTGCTTTTGAATAAATTTTTCTTTGTGTATCATCATCCTTTAAACAACATTGTTTACAATTTTCACTGAAATTAAGGTTAAAATAATTTTTAACGTAATTCTTTGTTACATATTGTTTTTAAATGATGTGATTTTCTTGTAAATACTTACGCGGCTTCCAATAAATTATATTCAATTAATTTCTCACACGTGGAACATATTAAATTAGATTTAATAAAGCCTAATTCTTTACAATCTTCTGACGAATATTCAGCTAAACATTTTGCCTAAAAAAAAGAAAACAAAATACTATCAATTAAAATCTAAAGGGAAATTTTTCTTTGAAAAGAATGAAAATCGTATAAAATAACATTGTTACAATATTATAACAATTGAATCATAAATATAACTTTTGTAAATTAAAAATAAAAATATGGAAATAAAAGAATAGTAGGTAGTAGGTAAATGTAAAATTTTATGTTATTTATACAGTTGAAAGATTATAAACATAAAGATTATAATAATAATTGATAAATTTTGATTATTTTTAATAAATTATAGATTTACTTACTATTAAAAGAAGGAAAGTTAATTGAAATAAATTAATATCCATTTTTGTCTGACACTTTTAACCTATAAAACACGTCAACAATGTCAACAACAATCGACGATCGACAGATTTCGATATTCGACAAAAATCGAATCTGGCATATTCGATAAGTTGACAACTTCATATATGTTGCAAAAAAAATAGGATAACCAAAACATTTGCACCTTCTGCCAGTTAAATTATTTAATTTATCGGAATTAAACAATAATTTAAAACAGTTAATTAATTTCAGTGTAAGTTTTTTAATATATTGTAGTAATTATGGATCCTGCACTTCTCAGGGAAAGAGAACTTTTTAAAAAGAAAGCGTTAACCACTCCAACGTAAGTTCAATTTCTGTTATAGAAAATAGTTGAATTTTTTATAAAAATATACATTTGGAATGTGATTTTTCAAAAATATTAAAAATTATAATAAAATAGAATTTAAAAAGTTATAAAATGAAAGAAAAATACACAAAAATATATAAGTGTTTATTCTAACCTCAAAAGTGTCAAAACCGGAAAATTGATTATTATTTTATTTTCTTTGCAATTAATCATTAATATATATTTCTTAAATTGTTATTTATCAAAATAGAATTATAATAATTAAATTTTCATCTTTTACATTTTTTTACAGTATATATTTTGTAATAAATTTTTGAAATATTTAAAAATATTTTTCAACTATTTCTTTCTCAATAAATGTAATTGTTTCTTCTTATAATTTTAGTATTGAAAAGAAGAAAAAAGAGACGGTAAAAGATCCACGCGATGAACTTAAAAAGAAACCAAAACCCTCGACTGTGTCATCGGCACCAAAACTTAATGTTGTTAATTACAAATCGATGAGTGGTAGTTCACAATATAAATTTGGAGTTTTAGCAAAAATTGTAAAACATATGAAAACAAGACATCAAGAAGGTGATGATCATCCACTTTCTTTAGATGAAATTCTCGATGAAACGAATCAATTAGATGTATCTCCAAAGGTATGACAGCAGAAAAATTTTAAAAAACGAACAAATATTACTAATTATTATTTTTTAAAAAAACTAGAAAAAAATTAATTTCAAATTTAACAATTTCAGGTAAAATTTTGGCTTCAATCCGAAGCATTACTTCAAAATCCAAAGATAGAAGTTACGCCAGATACTAAATTTCTTTTTAAAGCAATGTACAAAATTAAAGATAAAAAATCACTTTTGAGATTATTAAAACAACATGATTTGAAAGGCTATGGTGGTATTTATTTGGAAGATATTCAGGAAAGTTTACCACATTGTGAAAAACATTTAAAGGTATTTACATTTAATAATTAATAAATTAATTAATTCTATTTAATTTCCTCTTTTTCTATTTCATTTGAATTTAAAATTTTAGTTTATTTTTATTTTATTTCATCGTTTATTATTTCGAATGAAAAATTAAATTTACTTTCAAACTTTTTATTAGAGTCTACAAAATGAAATAATAATAATAAATCGACCAGACAAGAAGAAAGTTATATTTTATAATGATAAAACTGCACAAGTTTTATTTGATGAAATTTGGCTAAATCTTTGGCGTTCATCGGCAGTCGATGCAATGGATGATCAAAAAATAGAGGAGAATCTCGAGAAACAAGGAATAAAATCAATGCAACATCATGGTGTTAAAAAATTATTACCAATAAAGAGAAAGAAACCAAATATGAAAAGAAAACAACTTAAGAAACCAAGAGATAATGAACATTTAGCTGATGTTCTGCAAAATTATGATGAAGCCAAATAAATATTAAATGGACTTTCTCTCGTGTTTGCAAAAAAAAAATTGCAACAGACAATTTGATTGTTATACAATATTGTAAATATGTAGAAAAATTTGTTTCTTGTTTTGTAAAAATTGCAAAACAAAGTTATACTAATTTTTACAAGACATATAAGGATAAATAGTAAGTTTGTGAATTTTCAAATTGTTCGTTATTTCATCTATATATATGTATAGGTAAGAATATCAATATTTTACAAAAAATTTCTAAATCAAATTAAAAACATTTCTAAAAAAAAAAAACTAATTACATATTTAATTAATTAAATTTATTTATGAATATTTAAAAATCTTTTAATCAAAATCGATTAAATAAAAAAAATATTTTATCATTTTTTAAACTAACTGTAGGCTTTTTTTTAATCCTAAATAACTAGTTAATGATTAAAAATTACTTTCCATTGTTTGACAATTTTCAGTATTCGGAACGTTATGATATGATTATTTTTATCTTACAATATCTTTGGCACTTATGGTACTCGTGGAAAAAAAAAGAAAAAAAATTCTTGATTTATCAAATCTTAATTCTTTGAATCATAATTAAATTAATCCTTGGGCAATGAAGAGTCACTTTTGCCTCGTGAATAGGTCTTTGTTGCTTTACTTCCAAGCATTCTATCAAGTAAAGATTGTTTATTTCTTCTTCTTGCGGCCAAAACTTCGCGACATAATTCGTGAAATGATTCCGCCACTTGTACAACCTATACAAAAAAATATATATTTAATTTTATATATAATTTAATTTCATCTTTTGTAAAAAAAAAGAAAAAAAATTTTAATACCTGTTCAGCTGCTGTTACTTCACTAAAACAACATTCAAAGTCCTTAGCTAAAATTTCCCCCTCTTCGGCGCTCACTTGACGAAGATGAACCATGTCAGCTTTATTTCCAACCAATGCAAGTGGCATTGTAGCTTCCGGATCAGCAACAGCTAATGCTTCTTTAGCTTTTCGAACAAAATTAAATGATCCTCTATCAGTTATTGAATAAACTAAAAGCAATCCATCTGCCCATTGTAATGTATCAATTGTCGGTAGTTCTTCCTCGCTCTGCTGAAATCATTTATTTTTTTTTTTTTCATATCGAGAAACTATTTTTCTAATTTTATTTTTTTCCTTTACCTTAGGACACGTGTCCAATATTTCAAAAAGAATTGGCTCTCCATCGACCAAAACTTCGTGTTTATATCTGTTTTCTGCAAAATAATTGTTTCTCTAAAAATATATTTATATTAATTTTAATTTATTTTTAAATTTAATAAGAATTTTTCCCTAAAGAAAAAAAATGAAAAAATTTTCGATAAAAAATAAAATGTTCGATCTCATCAGTAAAATCTAGTGTCAAATTTTCTCGTCGCGGATAAATATAGATGAGACGAGACACGCAAAGGGGAAAGAGAGAAAGAGAGAGACACTTGTGTTTGTGAATATATTTCAGACAGTTGTTGGCAATTTTTCAAAAAAAGAGAAAAAAAAAAGTCCCTGTGTTGTGGTTTTGTTGTCATGGTCGAACATTTCTCGATTTAACAAAGATTCTAAAAGTTCTTGCTCTCACCCGACTGATGATCGTATTCTCCGATGTATCGCCTCGTCAAAAATCTCACGGTCAGGGCTGAAATTTCACAATTTTGAAATTCATTATACCAAAAATTAAAGACAAAATCTCTAACTAGATGAGAATTAAATTATATTTAGTATTTAAAAATAAATCAAAATTGTCAAAAAAAAAAAAAATAATTTTCTTCTAAGCTTGAGGAAATTAGAAAATAACTTCCTGACGCTTTTATTGGGTTGGCTTTTCAAAGTCATGTAAACATTTGTCAAAAATTGTCTAGATGAATTCAGAGTGATTTAGATTTATGAGCTTGCCACCTTTTATCACACAGATCTTCGAAAAGCGAAAGTGAGATGTATTTGTGGGAATTTTGATCAAGTGCCAAGTTTAATTTTCACGATTTCGTTTACTATATAATATATACACGAAATTGTATAATAGTAGTCATCTGTAAGGATTCTAAACACTAAAGAGATCATTAGTATTCACAGAGAATTTCTTGTTACTTTTTCGAAGTTCTGACTCAACAAATAATTTGTTTCATAATATTTCATTCATTTTTTTTTCCTAATATTGTTATTTTTTTTTTTTTTATTTATAATTTTTAGTAGAAATATTTTAGTAATTTATAAAATTCGTTTTATTTCAAAAATTATTTTCTGTTATTTTTCTAATATTGAAACTTGTCATTTCAGTTGTTTTCGTATTCGAATATGAGGAAGTTTGCAAACTCTATTAGCTACTCAATATATCTATATCTTTTGGAACAATGGGTAATGAAAACTCTTCAATGGAAAATCGAGTCATGAATTCGAAACGAGAGTTTGCAGCCTAGTGACCTGCTTTGAGGTGCACCACACTATTTTTACTTTAAATCTGCCCATAGAACCTTGTGCTGAAACTCCGTTAGTTTGTTGCGTTCAAGTCGAAAGTCTACTTCCGCTATTTCCTCTATTTTTCTCATTACGATTTTATAAAAGCTCTTTTCCAATAACTAACAATGACTTTTTCAATAACGTTTAAATAGAATTATTTTTAATAAACAAGCAAATAACAATATTTTTTACAGACAAAAATTTGTTTTCGGATATTGTTTTTTTTCTAAAATGGAAAATTAAAATTATTTTTCGTGCAAAAAAAAAAAAAAAAAATGGGATCAAAAATGAAAATTGTTAATGAAACATCAAAAGTATTCCAGATGATGGAATGTAGCTAAAAATATTTCATATCTAGCTCACGAATAAGTGGAAGACGATGTATAGATATTTCGTTTGGCAGAAATATGTTGTTTCTCTCTATAAAAGCTAGACATGCTTTTAACGATCTAGCGAAGAAGAAATTCCTTTTCCCTTTATACAACTAAAATTATTATTCGCTCATAAAATATTTAAATTATTCAAATTTGACAATTTTATATTTATATTGATAAATTATTTAAGTTTCATTTAGAAAATTTATTGACAAAGCTCAGAAATTTGTTTTCTACTTCCGTTTTCCTCTTCTCAAAAAAAAAAAATTTTTTTCATTCAGTTTTGCTTAGGTATTATTTTCAGAAGTAAAATGAATCTCTTACCACTTTTTCCAACTCCTGGGGCTCCAATTACAGCCACTTTGACCTCACATAACGAACTCTTCTTCCTTCGAATGCCCCTAATCGCATTGGACGTCATATTACACGCATTTGTATGTCGACTGAAAAATTTTTATTATTTCTTCAAATTTTTTTCTATTAGAAAATTTTTAATTGATCAAAAAAAAATTGTTTGATATTAATTTAATTCACATGCAATGCAAATTTAATTCATTTTCAAAATTTTTCCTTCAATTAGCTCTGAAAATATTTTTTCGTTTTTTTCAAGGCAGAAAATTAAAACAATTTTTTTTTTTTTGAAAAAGGAATAGAAAAAATTAAATTTTTAATTAAGAAAACCGAAATTAATAAGAATAACAAAAAATTAAACGAAGAAAGAAATATAATCAGTAATAATTCAGTAATTTTCAGAAATTGAGAGAAGACATTGACCTCGATGTGAATTTCAAAAAAAAAAAAATTGTAATAAAATTCAGTAAACCCAAAAGGAAAATGGCAAAAATCCATGTAAAAGAAGGAGAGTGTTTGTGAAAAAGAGAGATAGAGAAAACAGTGTGAAATGAAGAGTTCATTAATAGAACAGATTCGCACACGTGTTCTTGGGAATCTAAGGAATTTGTTTCATGACCCAAACGCTGTTGATCTTTGAAGTTTACCAATTTTTTTATATTGTCAGACGTTTTTCACGGCCAGATCCAAAAAACTTCAAATATTTTGAATTTATTTTGGAAAATTCCGTTAAAAAAAAAAATTAATTCAAACACAATAAATTCAAAAAATTAAAAACAAAATTAAAAATTTTAATCTATTGAATTTTTCATATAAAGAACAAAAAATAAAAAAGAAGTTTCTAAATAAAAATTATTAATATTCCTAAATATTTTAATTAAAATTTACAAAAAAAATTTTATTTTTTATTTTGATAAAATTTTGATTAAAATGTTTATTAATTATAGTTAATAAAATTTAACAAAATAAATAAAATTATAAACAAAATTTTATTACCTTTCTATATACTAAATTACAATATAAATATTTTTTTCCCTAATTTCTCGATACTTTTTTAAGGGCACTTTAATTAAAAGGCACTTGAAAAAAATTATTTAACATTTTTCTTTCTTTAAAACTGTAACTTTTAAATTAAAAAAAAATAATTTTTTTGAACACTTTATTTAAACTTGTGATCACAATTTTTTCATTTCACTTTTTGCTAGTTTAAAATTTAGGAAGAATTTTTATTTTCATTTAAATACACGTGCATTTTTTTTATTAACGCAGAGTATCATATTCGAGAACCGTTGTGGATCTTGGCTCGCGAGCGACTGACTACATTGGATACGTCAAGAATTTATTTTTCAACTTCTACACATCCAAAAGATTTTTATATTTTAATTTATGCTCAATTCTAATTTCTTAGGTGCTAAATTTTTTTTTTTTTTAGAATATAGAAAAAAAGATAAATTTCTCAATCAATAAATACTGGGATTAAAATAACATATTTAAAATTATTTTTATTTCCAATAATTCTTATCTTTATAGCGTATTTTGAAAAAATATTTTATACTTTTTTATCGTTTAGAATGAAAAATTAGTTTAAAATAACTAAACATTCAGTCTTTTTTTTTTGAACCAACAATTTTTTTAATTAAAACAAAAAATTTGTTACTACTTTTTTTTGTATATTTCTATTTTATATGAATTGTTATAAATTTATTATAATAATATGAATAAAATAAATTATGTATATTAATCATAATTAATTAATATTTTCGCGATTTTTATTGATTGAAATTTTAATTTCTCTGATATTAAAAAAAAACATATTAGACAAATATTTATAAAATAATAATTATTATTATATTTAATTTCCAAATATAATTATGAAAGATTTATTTAAGATTAAAATTTTCAGTAACAGAAATGAAAGAGATGGTAGTCGTTTAAATTAATTAAACTGTTAATTTTATAATTATAGATAAAATTTCTATTCAATTTTTATTAATAATTTAAAAACAATAAATTATCTCCTGACTTGTAAATATTTGGAATGAATTAATAATCTTCAAAAATGTTTTTTCTCATTTTTTTAAATTTAAATTTTTTCAATTTTCGATATATCGATATAATATTTGAATAATTATTCAGGGGCGTAAGAAACGTTCCCTATCTAAATTTTCAGCAATATTATCATTATTTTTGTAATGTTGCAAATATTGCTGCAAATTTAAATGCTGTTTGTGGTGATTTATTTCTGGGGGGATAAAACAGCATATTTTTCCCTAAAAAATTATAGGGGTAATTGCCCCCCTTGTACCTATGCTTTCCTACACCAGGTTCGCCAACAAACAAAACCAACCAACCACGTCTGTACATATGTATATGTACATCACACGAAGTACATCATTAGTCTGTAAATTGACAAATGTCACAATGTTTATTAATAATTAAAAGATTTTCTGGTAGAAAAAATTACTATTTAAATTGTACTCTAAATGTTTTCCATTGTACAAAACGTAGTGTACGAATTCCAGCTTTTTGGAGCTCATTGTAATAGCAGGAACAACAAGAACATAACCTAAAAAAAAATATGTTTTCAACAAAGGATTTAAGTGAAGTTGATTATATTAGTTTAAATATTCACGATAGCTCATCATTTGCTCGAGGTACATCACGTAGTCTTTGGCGAGTAAGTAATTTTCTTTTTAACATTTAGTTTTAACGATTGTTGAATAAATTAATAAGCCGACTCGGCTTTTTGGCAATTTAATTTTCTGTCAATTTTTTCTAATTTTGTGGATATTTTATAGAAAAATAAACTTAATTATCTGACAAATGTTGTATCTTATAATAATGAGTGAAATTTTTTATTTTTTTTTTTTTACAATTACAGAAATGGAATCAACTCTCTCGATTTCAAAGAAACATATTTTACTTTGCCATTATTACTATCGCTCTTTTAATATTTTATTTACTTCCTGGTGGCGCGAGAAATATTCTTCTAGAAAATGAAAATGATTATGATAATGGAAAAGTCAGTTTGGAAACTCCAAAACCCAAGGTTTGGATTTAATAATTAAATTATAGAATAAGATGAAGATTGTTTTAATAAGGAATTATTATATATTTTAGTTGGGAGAGCCACTGATTGTAGATAATGTCGATTCTGTCAAAGTATTAGATACTGGCGATGTGATAGAAGAGCCGCAGCAATTTCCACAGGAACATAATGATGACGATGATCAAATTGGTGAACCACCACAACCTAAGTCAAATGGACTGAAATTTAATGGTTAGTATTTTTTTTGTGTTTATTATTAATTATTATTATTAAAATAAGTTCATGTAAATTTTTTTTAGGTCCTCAAAATGATAAGCAGAAAGCTGTGATTAAAGCCTTTAAGCATTCCTGGACAGGATATAAAAAATATGCTTGGGGTCACGATAATGTTAAACCGATATCAAAAGGATATCACGAATGGTTTAATTTGGGTCTTACAATTGTAGACTCTTTAGACACTATGTACATAATGGGTTTAAATGAAGGTAAAAGAATTTTGAAATTTAAAATTAAAAAATAATAATTAAAACTTTCTTTTTTTAGAATTTAAAGACGCCCGTGATTGGGTGGAAAATAGTTTAGTGTTCACATTGAACAGAGATGTAAATTTATTTGAAGTTACTATAAGAGTACTTGGAGGTTTATTGGCGGCTTATCATTTGTCAAGCGATAAGCTTTTTCTTGACAAAGCAGTAAGTATTGAAAATATTGATAAAAAAATGTAATATTCGTTTTTTTTTGATATTGAAATTTTTTTTTTTTAGATTGATCTTGGAGATCGAATGTTGCCGGCATTTTCTACGAGATCTGATGTACCCTATTCGGATGTTAATTTAGGTATGAGAAGTGCACATAGTCCTAAATGGGGTCCAGATAGTAGTACTAGTGAAGTTACATCGATTCAATTAGAATTTCGCGATTTAAGCCGAAGTTCAGGTCAACCGCGATTTGAGGTATTTAAAATTAAATTTTAAATTTTAATTCAATTAAAATTTTAATCTCAATAATTTTTTTTTTTCTTATTTACATTTTAGCTTATGTAAAATTTCATTTTTCTCAGGCTGCTGCCGCCAAAGTTTCCGAGCATATTCATCGATCGGAGAAATATGATGGATTAGTTCCAATTTTTATAAATGCAAATACAGGAATGTTTCGTGAATATGCAACGATAACGGTTGGAGCGCGTGGTGACAGTTATTATGAATATTTATTGAAACAATGGATTCAAACAGGAAAAACAATTGATTAGTGAGTGTTTTTTTTTTTTTTTTTACCAAAGAATCAAAAATTCAAATGAAAATTAGAAGTTTTGTAAGCTTCTAAAATATTTTTCTTTTTTTTCAGTTTAAGAGACGATTATTTGTTGGGTATTGCTGGAATGCAGAAGCATCTTGTCAAAACAACAGCAAACAAAAAATTGTTGTATTTGGCCGAACTTGTTGGAGCAGCGAAAGAAATGAAACCAAAAATGGTAAATAGATATTATTTTGTAATTTATAAAAAGAAACAATTAATAATTCTATTGATTTTTCTTTCGTAGGATCATCTTGTTTGTTATTTGGGCGGAACTCTTGCTCTTGGTGTTCATAATGGTTTACCTTCATCGCATATGGATTTTGCAAATGAATTAGTTAAAACATGTTATGAAACTTATGCAATGCAACCAACGTTCCTCGCTCCCGAAATTACGTATTTTAATGTTTTGGTAATAGAAAAAAAAAAAAATGCCGCCCACTTTTTTTTTATAAAAAATTCAATTTAAAAAAATAAAAATTTATTTTACAGAATTCATTGGACGATAATCCAATGTACGTGAAACCAAATGACGCACATAATTTACTGCGTCCAGAATTCATAGAGAGTTTATTCTACATGTGGTATTTCACTGGAAATAAAACTTATCAACAATGGGGTTGGAAGATATTTCAGGTAAATATTTAAAAAAAAAATTTTTTTGAAAAATTTTTTTTAATATTTAAAATATTGTTTATAGGCGTTTGAAAATTATACCAAAGTTGAGAATGGATATACGAGTATTGGAAATGTTCGTAATATTCAAAATACTCGTCCAAAGGACATGACTGAAAGTTTTTGGTTCGCTGAAACTTTAAAGTATCTTTATCTTCTTTTCGATGATAGTAGACAATTAATAAATCTCGACAAATGGATCTTTAATTCCGAAGGACATCCATTGCCAATTTATGAGACATAAATTTTTATACAAATTAATTTATGTCTTACATCATTTTAATGGCCAGTCTAGTATTTTAATTGGACAATGAATAAATTTTTTGTTTTATGTTTTGCATTAAAAAAAAAAATCCGTCAATAATGGACTTTTTAAAAAAAAAATCAAATCAGTGTAGTAAGTATTCGAATAATTTTTTTTCTACTGTCTTCCAATTGAAAATTGTTTTAATTTTACGAGTATTTTTTTTTTTTTTTTTACTTTTTAAACAACATTTTTTCTTATTTTTGACTAAATTAGGTATTTTTAAAAAAATTTTTTTGTAATTCTTTTTCTTTCATAATCATTTTATGAAGTACTTATATTGTTTTTAAATTATACACTGTTAATCATATCATTATTATTAATGTGAGAAAAGAAAATATTTAGAAAAGTTAATTTGTTAATGAATTGAGCGAAAAAAAACAATCAAATAATTTCAATGACGGAAATTTGGTCCAAGAACATTCTGTTTATCTCCAATATTGTTAATGAATTTTCTAGTCGTAATGATAATTTTAAAAAGCACTGTTTGCAAAGTTTATTAGCAATATTATAGAATGCGTGTGAACTGTACAAGTTTGAATATTATTATTATTTTTTTTTTTTTTTAGTGAACTTCAATCTAGTTTTTCTTAGCTCAATTTTATTGATCGTTAAACTCAATTTCTTCTTTAATTTAAATATCAAAAAAAAGACTGTCTTCTGTTTAGTAAAAAGAATCAAATTTTTTGTTTTGTAAAACGATATTTTACAATTTTGAAAATTTTTTAACTTTGCTATTCTTTTTGAAAAAAAAATTCATTTTACATATTTTATTAATAATTTCTTTTTTTCTTCCACAATGATTAATAGATTTAAATATTTATTGACAATTAAGCGTGTAGTTTTATATATTCATATAGAAACGAGTGTGTTTTATATTTACCTGAGAGGAATGTGCAAGTTTTGATTAGAATTAAATATATCGATATAATGAATCTTGATAAAATTATCGCAATCAGAGAAAAAATATTCTATTATAGGTTCGTTTATTTATTATCAAAAATATAAACAATTGAAATGTATCAAAAAAAAAAAAATGTTCAACATTATTTTATTAAGAATTTGAATTTTCAATTAAAAGTTTTTCTACTATTGTAGATAACAATTATAATTCAATAATCATCAATATCAGTTGAATGATATTAATGAATTAACGAACCTAGGTTATATACGAATTTAATTTGTAAATAGAAAAGAAATAATTATGTAAAAGAGGTGACAGAATATTTAATGAAAAGAAAATTCCATGGCTGTAAAACAAATTGCACTTTAATTAATTCCATTAATTCTTAATTCTGTACATTTTACAAAAGAAATAACTATTTGATAGAAAAAAAAAATAAAAATAAAAAAAAAAAAATGTACGAAACATCCGAACATTAAATCGGATTTGTTATTCGATTACAATTTTTTTTTCTGTTTGTTTGTTTTATTTATAATAAATCTAATTTTATGTAAATATAACATGAAATCACTGTTATTTCTTTATTGTCTAAATATTTTAGACACAATCATTCACAAACTTAAAAATATAGTCCTATTCGCAAAACAAAAATTATTTAAAATCTAAAAAATATAGTTTCCTAAAGTTTTTTTGTTTGTATGAAATTGTTTTTTTTTCTTCAAAAATGATTCGTCGACAATTTCATAATATATACAGAATAGATAAAAAAAAAATTACATTACTATCTAAATTATCTTCAATAGAGTTATTTTCATTTCTAAAATTCAATAAATTATCTCTAACAATTTGTGTGTATTTTTTTTATTATGATTTATTTTGAAATATGAAAATAAATATCGGTTTTTTTTTCTCACGTTTGAAAAAAAATTATTATTTTATTTTTTTTTGAGTCCAAATCTCAAAATTTACTGAATCACAGTTGCTGTGTATTATTTATTCACAATTGCTTTTTTATTTACAGATATAGATAAATATTTATACCTAATAAAAAAAATAAATGGCGACAGTTCACGTCCTGAGGCTGATATGATTTAATTTCTCGTGAAATTTTTCTTCAAACACTGTCTTCCGGGATTAATTTATCTTGTTTTTTTTTTTTTTTTTGTTTTTTTAGAGAGACCCTTTTTTAAATGAATCAGAGTATCGTGCACTCGCAGCACTGCTGTGTAAAATAAACACATTTAACAAAACAAGCATCTTCCTCAACTTCGCCAACAAGTTGTTTCCCATCGGTTTGATCGTAATCAAAACAATTTTTTTCAATTTTCGGCTGAGGTTCTGGCAATGGAAGACTTTTGACAATTGGCACTGCTTCCTCAATATCCTCATTTGTTATATTTCCATTTGCTTTATACGATTTCACTGGAGTCAAAGGAATATTTGTTGGTGTTGTTTTACCAGGTCTCATATCTTCGGAAATATCGAAACCCGGTGGAATTGATGTTGTCATTGGAGGCGGTGAATCTCCCGACACCATTACGCTGTAACAAAAAAATAAAATATTTTCTATTAATTTTTTGTTCTCTATTTTTTCTTTAATAAAAATTTTTAATTTTCAGGATTCGAAAAAAATTCTGAAATAGAAGAAAAATATTTTTAATTTTGTTTAATTATAATAAAGAAAATAAAAATTATAAATCTTCGGAAATAATTGGAATATATAAAAATGCAAATTTATATCGTGTGATTCAGGAGCAGTTTCTCGTTCAGTAAGTTTACTCGTATAGAAGTTATTTAATATTTACTATTCACTTCATAATATCACCTGACACCACTTTCTAAGTATTATATTCAATATTGTCTATTTCGACAAATATAGAAAGAATTGAAACTGATCTTGAGTTTAAATTAACTCATCATTTTTCGAATTACAGGTGAATTCAAAGAATTACATTTTCTTTTTTATGAAACCAAATCATTTTTCTTTTTAAAACTAATTATTAAAAAAACTTGTCAGCGAAAACAATTGAATTTTTTTTTTATAAAAAAGACAATTGCAATTATAATCCATAATTATTATTATTCGAAAATAAAATTTTTATTTTTCTAAATTTTGTCCAATTTAGGAAAAATTGAAAATCATTGTTTTCCAGCTTATCAAAGATAATTGAAGTTATAAAAAGTTGTGTCAATATGTTAATGTAATCAGATAACAAAAATTTTTTTTTCTTTTGCTACGAAATTGTCTTTCGTGTCATAAAAGAAAAGAAATTGTTTTTTTCTATAGTTCACAAGAGCGTTAAATTCTTAAAAAAAAAAAAATTTAGACGTTTTAACTCGGTGTCGAGAAAATAAAAATTTTATCGACATGAGATTTATGAAGACACCCAAAGTTTCCAAATGTATTTGGATAGAGGTGTCTGAAGAGTCCAAGAATTTCAAGGACATGGGCCTCAAGTTAATATATTCTGACAAAACTTATTTTTTTTTTTTTTATTTCATTCCTTTCTTTTTTGTTCTTCAAATATAACATTATTTTATTTAATTTCCCTTAACTTTTATTTTTTTTTAATGAGGAAAAATATCCTTTGGCTCTTAAGTATAGAAAAAAAATCAATATTTATGGTGTCTTAAATTTCTCTTGAAGAAATTTCCTCTAAGATAAAATCTGAAAATAGTTTTACGATTAATTTTTAAAATAATAAAATTATTGACCAAACGAATATTATTATCGTTGGTAAAAATCAGAAATCCAAAACGTACCACTTGGTTTTCATGCAAGGGTGCATCCTTGTCTTTTCCTCAGGCGTCAAGGTCGCATAATACATCTGCTCCTGAATTTCGCCTAAACCCATGTTAAATGAATTTTTTTTTTTTTAATTGAAAAAGAAAAAAAAAAATTCACGATTAATTCTCAAATCGATTATTTTTAATGCATGATTTGAAAATGTTCTCAATATCTCAATATTCCGCCTATAAGAACAATTTACGAAAAATTTTTCAGACTTTTACTCCCTAAAGCGAGAATACAATATTGAAACCAACAATAATTAATATCTACAATGAAAAAAATAAATATTAATTTAATGTAAAATAATTTACTTTGCAATTAATTTTTTTTTTTTTGAAAAATTCTTTAATATGACCACCCGCAGTGTGTGTGGAAGAATTTGATCTCAATTCAGTTCTCGATAATCAATTTATATATGACTTGAAAGTTATGCTTGCACTTCCTAGAGGATAGACAAACATATAAAAACTTCTAATAATAAAATTTATTGAAAGTAAATTTAAAACGTTACATGGTTCGTTATCTCGATTCCCTTTTTTTTGCCGTATAGAGATTACTAATGGTCTACTAAATATAATACTATACGTAGAATTTTCAAGACAGCATCTTGAAATCCAATCGCAAGAGACTATTAAGATGATCTTGCACTTTTACATAGTTAAGACATTGCATTATTTGTCTTCATTTTATATTTATAGTGATAAGTAAACTGCTTTACAGTTAAAAATAATCTGATATTATTATCTTTTTATATATATATATATACATTTTTATACATTTATAAATATTTATAGTTTATATTTCACATTTATTTCTGTACAAAACTTTTTTTTAAAAAAGTTACTTTTTTTCTTAAATTTAACATTGACCTTTAAATTATTAGATTGTAAGGAAAAAAAAAGTTTTAAAGTAATTGATTTAAAATGCAAATTTCAGGAGGAATAAAATTAACGTTTTTTGCTGAGAGAGAGAGAGAAAAAAAAGGAGAGCTAGAGACGATAAACTTGAGAATTAATATAAGACACGTTGCAAATTACTTGCAATTTAAAATATACGACTGAAATTGTCGATATTTTTATTTTTGAATTATTTAAGTTAATTACATTTCATTTTAATTCAAGCCTTATTAATTCCAATGGGCACAATTATCTTCATACTATTTTTTTCAAATTTCTTTTTTAATTAATTCCATTTTTTACAGAAATTTAATGTTCAATAAAAATTTTTAACTGTAAAACGTTTTACTTGTTTTTTTTTAAACAAAAACTATGAATTTCGTTTCAAATTCTAAAAAATAAACAGTATTATTAATAATAATTAAAATCATGATAATTATAATAATAATAGTTATTATTAAAATGATTGATAATAATAGATAATAATAGCGTTTTATATTTGAGAAAGTTATTTCAGATCAATGTACTTGTCATATGAACAATAACATGAATATATTTAATAAATGACAAAAGAATTAGTGTTCTCTGTTAATTCAACTTGAATGTCGTGACTAGACTCTGTTTAAATGACCAACTAGCAAGAAGACTAGAATTCCCTTAGGCATTCTTAATAGAGGCTAACGAATGATAAATAGATCATTGAATCTAACTTGTGCTTTGTACGATCATCAAATTGAGATCATGATTAACTTTCGATATACGGTTGATCAGTGTCAAGTAACCAACTTGGAACAGAATTGAAAGTATATTGAATTAAGTATCGCACTATTTAAAATTTTTTTTTGATCATAAACAATATTTTCAATTAAAATTTTCATTTTATTAAATCATCTTAACGAATCTTAATTCTCTTTTTATGAAATCAAAATAAAAAGCTGTTTTCTTTTTAAAAGTATAAATTGAAATTAAAAATTTTAAAATATTACTCTCACATAAATATAATACATAATTAATATAAATAATTGAAATTTAAAAATTACTGCAAAATTTCTATTCTAAAAAAGAAAAATTAATATATTTTTGTCAATTTATTCGATTTTATATATTTGAAAAAAATCGATTTCTATTATTTCAATATGACAAAGAAATTGACAAACACTGTTTGCATTGTTAATTTAATAAAAAGAGTCCTGTAATATATAATATGAAATTATTGTACAAGTTCGTAAAGGAAGAATAAACGAAAAGGGAGAATCGAATTAAGATCAGCAGCTGCCTTATGCGGCACACATTGCACCCTGTTCATTGTCGAAAAGAAACGCCTTTATGAGGGAAAAATTTTCTCAAGGTTGAGAGAATTTTGCAAAAAAAAAAAAAAAAAAATTGCACAACAAAAAGAAAATTAATATTTTAGAGAAAAAATTGACATAATTTTTTTCTAAATAAAATTTTACATTTCCAAAAAATGAAAATCATTCGAAATAAAATCCAGGTCGAAAATGACAAAAGAGAAATTTTTTTTCACCGAAGAAAAGAGTCTATAAGTTCCCTAAGATGTATCAAAGCACGTACTAAAATGACAATTTTCTAGGAAAGAAAACCTAAAATTGAAATAATACAAATTAAGGGATAATCTTATTGAGAGGGATTTCTTTAAAAAATTTTTTTTTTAAAAGCAAGTTATATACGACAAATTCCAGAAGAACTTGTTTCCAATTTCCTGTTATTTTATTCACTTATAAGTATAACTTTTATTTACTTTTTCTTTTATTTTCACTTTTGTAATTATTTTCCTTAATTCTGCAAATTTGATATTATTTTTTTTTATGTATTTGAAAAAGAAAGTTAATTTTTTGGAATAGAGAGGAAAAAATTCATCATTGTCAAGATGGATTACATTTTGAACCACCTGAATTCCTTTTGGTTCATAAAAATAAAAAGGAATGGAAAAAAAAGACGATTTAGAGATTATCTTTCGTAGGCGTTCTTGATACATTCGTTATATTGGGCTTTCAGCTCCTTTTGGAACCAAAAAAGAAGAAGAGAAATTTCAGGTTCAACCTCTCTTATCCAAAGTTGAGATTTATTCCACACACATCGAGTCATAAAGTTAAGAATTTTAATTTCGAACATTTTATGAATTAATCAAATTGAAAAAATTTTTTTTGATTTTTTTGCTCTCGTTGCAAAAATCGAAATAACGATTTTATAAAATACAAAATTAATTATTTTTTTAACAATTTAAATTAAAAAATTTAACGAATCTATGAATTTTAATTTATTTTTTCAATTATCGACAGTTTCAATATTATTATAATTTTTTTGATTAATTTATCAAATCAATTCTAATATTGACATTTTGAATTAAAAAATCAGTGATTATAAAATTTTAATTTAAGAATCTTATAAAAAAAATTTTCTAACACTGTAGTAAAAGTCTGAAAAATTCACGAAAATCACAAGTTTTCACTAATTCCACAGAATTTAAATAACAATTTTTTAAACGTGATTTCCTTTTTTTAAAATAAACTTTTTGGAGAATAAATTTTTTTTGATGAACATCTGGAATGTCAGAAATTATTTTAATAAATATATATATATATATATGAAAGCCGGTTGACGCCGGTCGCTGTCGCGGTTGAACTGCCGATTCCTCTACCACGCTGACAATTTTCACGTGGAGATGAATTTCAAAGTCGGAGGGAGAGAATCAGGTACGTGAAGTTCTCTTTAGTCAGTGCTGAAGAATCATATTATATGGGAGCAACGTACGACCAATAGACATTCACTTCTTTGAAGAAGGGTCCAATAGGGTCTTTTCATTGTAAGGAAAGCTTCTACATTATCACGAGCAAAAGGTCTTACAATTTATAAATGAGCCTCAACTGGTAAATGAAAATGATAAGATAAAGAGCAGTGGCACCAAAGGGTAAAACTACATAGTTTGCAGTAATAATAGTCGATAATAAACTCGTCGGTATTAGAGTAAATTGTCCTCTAGATATTGTCATTTTGTCGTCTAATTAAAATCTTTAAAATTTCAAAAAAATTTTTTGTACAAAAATCTCGATTTTTAAATTAATATAAAAAATTAAATTCATAAAAAAATTACAAATAAATTAATATGATAATGAACCGTAAAATAAATACCATATTGCCTATCATGTGCGTTTTAAAATGTTGAAAAAGTCTATAGGATCGTAAAGATTAAAATTGATCCGAAATAAAATTAATTCGAAGGTCAATTAATAGGTTCAGTGACGTCTCTGAAACTCCTTTTGAATTAATATACAAACTGCGACATTCTTTGTTCTTCATTTCTGTCTCTTTCTCTCTAACTATTTGTGGTTGATGAATTAATAGATTGTTCCAGAAGTGTCTTCAAGGAAAATTGAGATTGTCACAAATTAAGAGACAAATTCCCACTACAATATCTCTTCTCTTCCTAAAACACAATATACGATACTGTCAGAATAAACCAAAAATTCTATTTCCCATAGAGATTATTCTTATAAAAAAATTTTTTTTTTTCTCCATTTTACAAAAGGATAATCTTTCTTTTTTTTTTGATGTATACGCAAACTTGGTTCCTTTCAAAATACTATTCAAAAAAATTGAAAAATAGAATCAAAATTCAAAAGCGATTTCACTTTTTTTTGAAGAAAATGTAATAATTATTTGGAAAAAAATACAAACAATCAATTCAGTTTAAAGAAGAATAGAAATTCTTTATTCCTTTGTTTAGAATTTAATCTTACAGGCACAAAAAAATAAATTGTTCAGCTTTTTTTCTATTGTAATAAAGGGACTGGAAATGCAGATACAAGATTATTCAGGAAGCGTCATGTGTGACGTGAGAAAACTTGTATACGTGAAACTTCAAAGGTAAACTGATTTTCTTTTGTTTTAGAAAAATTAAAAAGAAGAAAAAAATTAAAACTATTATTAATTAAAATAAATATAATAAAAAATAAGGATATATATGGAAAAATGAATTTATCTGCAAATAACTCGCAATTTTGAATCAAAAAGTTTTCGTAATCTTTTTATATAAAAGTGTAAGCAGAAAAAATTACTTCTTTTTTTTTTTATAGTAAAGCTATTTTTCACTGCACCTGACTATTATAAACCGTTATAAAGATTAAAGTTACAGCTTGAACTTTTAAAATATACGCTCTAATGCTTCAAATGAATACACTACAAACAGAGTAAAAGAAAACTGAGAAATTCGATTAGATCTTTGAAAAATTGTATTATTGAATAAATAATATGCAAATTTCGAAACTATATTATATTATTTCTGATCTCATAATTTCCCTCGGGGAAAAATGATTGTTTATTTCTAAGAATAAATTATATAGCTTTCAAAGAGAATTTAAAAATGTGCTTATTTTTAAATTATATATATATGTATATAGAAATGTATTTTATAATTTATAAATTTAATTTTCTATAAAATTATAAATCAAAGAAAAATGAAAAAATTGTAAAATTAATTCAATATTGAAAAAAAAAATAAATAAAAATTAGAATTTGAAACAATTGAAAGTGATAAAAAGGAAAAAAAATACCTGATCACACCTTCCTCAATTCTCTTCGGGAAGAAATAAATACAACACCGCAAAAAGACCTTAATGAGCAATGAAGCGGAATTTTTTCGATGAAAATTTATCAATAACAAAAAACCTAAATCACTAAAATAAAATTGTGTAATCCTATTTTCAATTAAAATTGTTTGTAAACAAAATATAACCTCAAAAAAAAACAACACAAAATTAATATTTTCAAAATAAATTTTTAATTTACTTACTGATAAACTTGACGCTGAGGAAAAATATTGCGAAAACGCATTTTCAGTTTGTTTCCAATCGGTTTCTAGTGGATATATGTTTATAATCAAAAAAGACGCAGAAAGAAGAAGAAGTTTTGGGTTTGCTTTCAAACAAACGCTAACAAGGATTTAAAACGACTGGACCAGTATAGAGTCGAAGAGTAGATTCATCCCGCAACGAACGTGTTTGGGAAACTTTTTTTCTTTTTTTTTTCGCCTTTGTGTGTGCGAAGATTCGTGAAATCCTATGGTTTGCTTCTTTGACTGTGTGTTGTATATTGAGTTTGAAAGAAGGGACAACTGAAGACGAAAGGGAAAGAACATGGACACAGAAGAGAGGTGAAGGGAGTTTGTGAAGGTTAGTTTTAGCGCGGGAATTCCACTCACCGTGTAGACCATGGGATTTCGAAGGTTTTTTCGAGGTTCAGAAGATGGAGGTCAGGAACACAACAACTACTATGACACGAGAGGTTGAAATCTTCACTTTTTGAAAAATCGCCATTATCACAATTCATTTCCATTGATTTTGATACAAATGCCATAATTCACTATTTTTTCTATATGTACTTATTCAATTAGATAATTTTTTTTTTTTGATAATTAGATTAGATAATTATTTGAAAATTAGTGCAAAATTTTGTTTACAAACATTCTTCTCTCTCTCAAGGTCACTTTCTTTTGGACAAATTTTGACATTTTTACACTATTGGTTGATTATTTAGTGAACAACCAATCAAAATTTATTGTGAACTATCTACCCAACCTTGCTTAGTTGTTTATACAACTTAACCTCACTTTTTCCTTGATTTTTGTTTTACAATGAGTACAACTTTTAATTAGTTATATTTTATTTAAAAATAAATGATTTGAATAAAAAATTGAAGCTTACCCGGCACCTGCATACATCGAGGGAGAACGACGATGGTAATCATAATCTTTATCTCTTTTCTTTTTTAAAAGAACCCAAGCTCTTATACTTTGCCTTTTACTGCCACTTTCTTTCTTGGGTGGTCGATTATTATTTCGACCCCCAGGTCCCGTTCGTTTAAACATTTTTAGTTTTTTTTTTTTTTTAATAATCTCGTTTAAATATATTAAACTCTGAAGAAAATTGTGTAAACAATATAAATAAACAAAACAACAGAGAGTATTGAGAGGAAAAAACTTTCTTTTCTTCACATTAATAACACATTGAGATTTTTTTCTTACTTTTATTTAAATCTTTGTTTTTTAAATTAATTGAAATTTTCTTTTCAGATTGATCTATATATAGATGTCGAAAGCCAAACGTAAATGTGAAATTAAAATAAATTTTGCCAAAAGGGTCAAAAAATTGGCGAAAAATTGAAAAGCGAGCTTCTTCTTTTTTTTTACAATGTGTTTATTTGTATAGAGAAAGTCAATCTCGTTTCGTCATTCCTATAAGTAGTAAAGTGGCTTCACCCAGACACGTGTTGCTTGAGCGAGAATGTCCCACGCCTTCTTTGATGATACGGTGAAGGTTTTCTCTGTAGTACTTGAAATGAACCCGGAAGTATTATTATGCTGGGCACGTGATGGTTTTAATCGTGTAAGCAACACAGACCTTCATGAAGAAAAAAAAAAAAAAAAAAAAACTTTTACCCACTTGTGTTCAAACGTATTCAATATTATATACCACAATATTATTGATACATGAATTTTATGCGACTTGAAATAATAACGGTAAAATTCACTTTACACCTACGCAATTTACGCGAAAATTTTAATTTACATTCAGAGTTATTTATAATTACAATAAGTTTATTAAAAGTATTTTAATTATTTTCTTTTTTTTTCTTTTTTTAAATTTTAAATTCAAAATATGAAAAATTGATATAAATATATAAATTGTAAAATGATGTTCATGTAATTCTTTTGTGTTACAGATTTCATGGCACTTTCACTCTCAATTCTCTCTCTTTCTCTTTTTCTTTCATGTAGATGGGAAATTTTCCCTTGCAAAACATGAAATATGTCTAATCGCACAAGATAAAGTATAGTTTATTGCGTCTTCTTAGACAGTGTGTATAATAATAAAAAAAAGCAAGAAACAGCTTTTACACGTTGCACGAATCGCGGAGACAACTATACTGTTGGCTATTCGTACAGATTTTTAATTCCATGGACGTTTCATTACATCAACACTGTAGTGACGTTCAATTACATCATTCTTTCGAGAGAGCGTATAGCTTCTATATATTAACCTGAATTTTTTTCAAAAGAAATTATTTTGACCATATAAAATTTTCTATTGTTTCAAGGATTTAAATTCTCTATTAATTTTCACAAATAGATAAATAATTTTTCAAATTATTCTAATTAATTCTAAATCTGAATTAGTGAAAATTTATTATTATTAATTTTTCATTAATTCAAATTTTAGAAAGCAGGCGGAAAATTTTGTTTGTTAATTTTTTATTAAAATAAAAAATTCTAATTTGCAGATTTTCAAATAATTCGCTCATTAAAATATTTGATAAATCAGAGAAGAGAGAAGGGTATTCCCAAATTTGAAGGTCGGGGGAAATCCAGTTTCTTATCTACTCTGTGATTATAAAAAAAAGAGCACAAACAAGGTATTTAAATATACAAATCAGTAGTAGTCATGAAATTTTTTTTTTACATGCAACAAATTGAAATAATTTTCATTTTTAAAAAAATTCTAGAAATGATTAATTAAAATATTCTCGAAAAAGTTGAATGAATATTAAAATTAAAAAAAAAATGCTTCTTTATTTTAATTTACTATCATATTCTAGAGCACGTGTCTATCAAAACTTTTAAATGGCACACGTGCTACTATAAACTGATGCTTCTTTTATTGCGTAACTTTTATTAAAATAAAATTCCTCACACACGACAAGAAGTCATCGTCAGCTTCCAAAGCGAAAGGTTGCAGAATTGCAACATGTATTCTGTCAAGGTCAAGGGCATCAAGTTGCCAGTTTATAAAGCCAGTCCCTTGGGCAGGTTGACCTGTGCCCCTGTTGGATTCAAAGCTCCATTTAAACTTTAAAACCATTTCCAAACGTTTCACGACAAAAGTATATAGTACTTTAAAGATATTTTTATTTCCTCCCTTTTTTTTTTCTTCTCGAGAATAAATAACACCTTCCGAAAAATATTGTTAGTTATATTTTACCAACTTGTGAAACTGACACTGATGATGATTATTCCCGTTAGAGATATTATTTTCTCAAGGACTTTTGAATATATTATATATACTAAAAAATATTAGAATATTCAATTGGAAGGTTGGTTTCATATTGCCTTGAAATCTAGATCAGTTTCTAAAGTGAAGAGTAATTATTACAAACTTGGCAATTGAAGGACGTAAACTTTTTTGAAATTATATTTATTGAAAACAGTTTTTCATTTCAAAATTGTTTTATAAAAAAATAATTTATTTATTATTGAAAAATGTCTCTTTGAATTAGTAAATAAAATATTCTTTTTTTTTCATATAGCTTGAAGATGAAAAAAAAAAAGAGGAAAATATTTTCCAGTGAAAGGTTGACGAACCAACATGATTCGTGGGTAGACTTCAATAATGAGACGAAATAATAGAGAACACCAGGGACATTGAAGAACAGTCGCCTACAATTTGTGATTTAACAGACAGGAAGTATAATTCGTAAGGGTTTATTTAGAAATTGTCTTGGTTGCGTACAGAAAAGTTCAAAGCACCGAATGTCTATTATTTATATTTCTCAAGTATACCCAAAGATTCATGTGAGTATAAACGAAATTTTTTTTGTTGTTCTCTTTCATAACAATAATTTCCAAAATTTAATTTCATTAAACAAAAATTTACAAACCTTGGAACAATAACTAATAATAATTATTATTATTCGCAAAATTTGAAATTTGAAAGATGTGATAAAATATTTCTTTTTATCTTCGAAAATATTGATCTCGTTTTTAAGTATCTTTCAATTTTTTCTTCGCTCGCAAAACTGAGAACCTCCCATCTTGAGAAACTCGAGAATCATTATTTAAATAAGTGTCAGATCCTAGTATGTTTATAATTTATTTATAGGTCAATATCTTTTTTCATACTTTTGATAGTATAAAATGATTACCATATTATCTCAGATAATTTAAAAATTGAGACAAAGTATTTAATTTTTATATCATCAATATTTCATAAGAATTTTATTCTTTTTTCTTTTTAATATCTCTCTCTCTCTCTCTCTCTCTCTCTCTCGTTATTAATGAAATTAATTTTTTTTGTTCATCTCATTAATAAAACAGTAATGTCAATAAAATAGTAGAGATTTTTTAGACACTTAAAAAAAGTTTTTCACATTATAGGTCATTCGACTTGTGAGCGTAAATCGCAAACTAAATCTCATGTTACGTTTACAAGTGTTAATTCGTTAAGTACAAAGAATCATTCTTGCTCTCGTCATTTTAATATTGTGTGGGTTAACTCAGTTTGTTTCCGCTCTCATTAACAAACAACAAACCTCCTGCTATCTTTTTTTCAATGAAGGCACAAAATTATTTTTTAAATTTATTGCACATTAATTTAAAAAAAAAAATTTTTTGTATATTTTTTTTTATTCTCCACGTATTTGAAATAATATCTTTAGTAAACTTCAATATTTGAGAACAATTATTATTTAACGAAAAAAAAAAGCAAAAGAGAAAAGACTGCGTCGAAGAAAGAGATTTCAAGTAAAATATTTGAAATTAAATATTTAATTTACCTCGAGTATAAATAATTTTTCTTCAACGTTTTGGTGAACTTAGTACCAGTTTCCATTTTTGTACTGAAACTTTCCTTTCATTAAGTCGCAGAGACGGTACTTATATGGATCTATGTATATACAACTCCTTTATATATACTTTAATGTTTTTTTAATGATTTGATTTTTAATTTATATTTAATGATTAAGTACGTGACCTAATTTATTTAACAGAGAGAATTTTCATTAATTTTGCATTGTCAATAGACAATTAATTAATTTAAATATATATAATTATATTTATTAACATAAACTAGGATTTTATAATTTTTTACCTCAACTCATTTATAAACATCATTTATCATTGTTAATTGATTTCTATTTTTTTTTTTAAAGAAATCGAATATGAAAAATATATTTTTTTTTTCTTTTTTGAAAACTTTAATCAAAATAAAAAAAATAGAACAGTATTTGATAATATTAATATTCAATTCGTATAAGAAATATTGTAATGTTTGAGCAGATGGTTTGGATTTCTGAATTCCTAGAAATTTTTCGGCACTTTTTGAATTGTTGACTCATATGCGACGCGACACAAATGCTCGACGAGAATACCATATATTTCAAAGATTCTATGAAAATTATTGAAGCATGAAGCATATATATATGTGCGATTTTATTGTGTTTTCTTCTTTCATGAAAATTTTCCTATTTTAATGAAAGAAAAATTTATTTTTATCAATTTTAATTTGATTTGAATAAAACTTTTCTTTCATTTCAATCTCTATCCCCTTTTTTCTATTTCAAAAATAAAATTTAAATATTTTATTTTTAATTTGAATTTTTGTTTCAATTTTTCTTTAATTCTAGAGCAAGAAATTGTGCAAATTTTGTCGAGTGACTCTCTTCGCCCCCGCACCAAAATTATTGTCCTTTTTTTTATCACTGCACGTAAAACATGGTCGATATAAGAAACCGGTTCTCAAGAATAAAAAGACAAAAAAAAAAGAAAAATAAAAAAAAAAATCAAACTCTCATACCGACGTCTTCTCACAAAAGTATTGCCTTACAAATTACAAAGAGAGCTCTTGAAGTATATAGGATATTGCAAGTTTTTCTCGTAAATGTATGTTTTACTGTTTCTCCGCGAAAACAATGAAATATTTCACATATATACAAGACAATCTTTCTCTTGATATTTTATCTATTTCATTTTCCCCGAGAACGTCAAATTCCTTTAAAATAATAACTGTTATTTCTTTTGCGAAGAAGCAAATTTTTTGTGTACAGAAAATCCATTTTTTTTTTGTCATAAGAATTTTTATACATATATTTATATTTTTATCATTTATTTATGATGAATTTACAAAATATAATAAATTTGTTATTAAATTCCTTACGTGACTTGATATTAAATTTAATAAACATTTTTTTTGCAATGTATTTTTAATATTTTTGTTGGTACTTGCAAGAATTGAAACCATATACGATAATTTCTTTTCTTTTTTTTTTTTTTTTTTTTTGACAAAAGTTGCACATTATGTTTCTTCCGGTTTTTTATTTTTATATTCGTGATCAAGTTTCGTCGGAAACCTTCTTTTTATACGAAACATGAAGCCATTTTATTCTTGATGCTTTCGCATGCATTTTGTTCCTTAAAAAAAAAAAATAGAGCTGAAAGAGATCATCTTCCAAGTCATTAATTAATTATGTATCTTGTTTTATTTACCAGGGTTCAAATTTTTCGATAAACTATTAATTTTTATTATTATTGTTATTGTTTCAAATAAATCTAACGAAATATAAGGAATTTAATTTCTAAGGCTTTAATCAAAATAATAAGCAAAATAATTTCATCAGAAAAATAAAGCGCACCTCGGAAATGACATTTGCTCAGTATTATAATTAAATGTGTAAACACTAATTATTTATTTCCGATTTGTGAATTCTAAATCACATGAGTAAATTCTCATTTGAATAAATCTGAATAGAAATTTCTTGCATATTTCCATAAAAAAAAAAAGAAAAAATAAAATACAGAAAGAAAGAGACCGTAAAATTTCATTTCAAAAAGAATTTAAATATGTTGATCCATTTCTTTAAATGACTAAAATATCCTAATTATAATTAAATATTAGAATTTTCTCTTTTATTATTTAATTAATATTTTCTTCATTAAACATTAACTCTGATTATTACATTAATTTTTTCTTAATTCATTTTTAAATGTTTTTTTAAAATTAATTTTCTAATTAATTTTTTTAAAAATTGACTTCAATTTTCAGTAAAGTTTAATGTTTTTATAATTAGATTTTTGCTTTTGTACTTTTAAATCTAAAAAAAAGGCTCGTCAGCACAAAATTTTGAAATATAATAATTAATTGAATTTATTGCATATACAGGTGGATGAATTGTGAGCTGTATAAAAAGTGATGACAAATAAATCGCGAAGGTATTTAATTTTTGTTGGCTACTGGAAGTGACACCCACCTATCAGAAGTCCCAGGAGATTCCTCGACGAGATAAACATCGGCATGTGTGATAAACGTTGTATCCTTCATTTTTCGGAGGCAATTTCAAAGAGAAAAAAAAAAAAAAAAAGAGGTAAGAAATTAAATGACAAAAAAAAATTCACCACCGTTATCTAACAATTTCGCGAAACATTTCTCGCAGCATCATTGATATCACAAAATCACCACCTGATTGAAGGTACATTGATATTGAGGGATTAACATTTGACTAATGGCAAATGACGTTTTTTCATGTGACGTCCGTGAAATTACAATGACCTGTGTCACGAACCGGTTTTATGGCAAGATCATCGTGCCCTTTATTTTTTTTTTAATTTTTTTTTTTTTTTTTAAAGGAACAACACTCCCAACGAAATACCTTCCGCTTCGACAGCCAAAGCACGACTGACAATGTGAAATGAACGATTCTCCCACGAGGAGTATTATAAGCGTCGAAGCTACAAGAACCATATGCGGCTTTAGTCTTAAAGTTTCTTGCACTTTTCTTTGAAATCATTCAACTCACAATGATATTCTTAAAGATTTTCCATTTATCCATCTATAAAAAGTCCTTGGAGAAGGGATCGAAAAAAAATATCTATATCAGACAAAAAGTGTATTTCGAGAATTTTCTTCTAATTCTATTGCGAAAAAAAAATTAGTTTACAATTTTATATATATATATATATATATATATATATATACTATTAATCAATTTTTATTTCTGAAAAAATTACTTTTTATTTGCAAATTTTTTTTTTTAATTTACTTGTATTGTTCATCAGAGGGAATATAATATTCATAGAAAATAATTATTATTGAAAAACTGATAATAATCATGCAAGAAAATACTTTCTATAAAAATACATTCCGTTTAAAGTTCATAGTTTCAATGACTTTAAACTTTCAAAGTGAATCATTTTATCTAGTTATTATTATTCTATTTGGTAAAGTTATAAAATTACAAAATTAATTTAATCGCGAATAATAGCAAAAAAATAAGCGAATATTTAATTCAAACATAAAAAAAACTAATATTCAGAAGGAAGATCTAATTATGATACTTCAGAAAAAAAATCAAGTTTTGAGGTATTTTTGTTGAGTGTTTTCAAAGTAAACAGGAGAATAAAAGCAAAAAGTTAAGTAAAAGTGATTCTTGAAAAGGAACTTTTTCTTTCATTGAGAAAAGAATGGGCGTTAAGGATATTCAATGTACCATTATATCCTGAAAGAAGGATTTTTGAACTATAATAAATTGACGCAAAATGTAACAGAGGCGGGGGAGTTTTGTGTTCCTGTATAAGATTGCAGCTGTTATCCCTTGTATTGAGAAAAATAACAAGGATTCGGGTTTTTTTTTCGAAGAATAAAAAAAATAAAAATATATTTAGAAATAGTAAATCTAGGTCAGGATTTTATAGGGAAAATATTTCTATTACAATATATTACACAAGTTACATAATATTAATTGACTAGATCAATTTTTTTTTCAAGTTAATAAATAAATAAAAATTTTTATAGAAATATTCGATATTTATTTAGAAAATTAAACAACAAAATCCCGGAAATTTGACAGTCTGGAATAATATAATATATAAGATAAACGGTAATAAAAAAAATTCACAGCTCTTTTTCTAAAACTCATTTAAAGTTTTTAAACATATCTTCTATTCTTTTTTTTCTCTTCTTCTTTCTCCTTTTTGGATTTTGACAAGTTTTCTTCTTTCAGCATTTTTTCGACTTTCTCCACAAAAGAATAGACATCATTGGCAAGAAGTTGTGGTTCCTCCATAGCAGCATAATGACCACCACGTGACAAATGATTGAATTGTATTATATTCGTATATCTCGATTGAAGAAGTGATTGAGATTGATAAAATAGTTCATGTGGGAAAATTGCACAGGCAACGGGTTTATGTAGTGGCACACTAAAAAGAAAAATAACAATATTTTTCAAAAAATTCACAAGGTAATTAAAATATTTTTTAATTGAATCGAATTAATTAAATAAATAAAATATTCATAACTTTTACAAATTAAATGAATAATATAATTTTAGTGTATTTTACCTTTCGATTTTTAATGCCATGTGAGATTTACTGAAATTTTCAGCATAAAGTCTCTGACTAGTTGTTATTGAATTTGTAACCCAGTATAACATTAAATTATCCAACAACTCATCCATATTGTATTTTTCCAGTAAACCACCATCGGCTCGGAATCTATACTCCGGATTAGTCCAGGTGCTGAATTTTTCTAAAATATAAACTGCCAAACCAGCTGGAGTATCTGACAATGCTGAGCCTAAAAAGGGTAATTTTTTTTTAAAGAAAAATTTAAAAAATAAATTTGAAATTATAAAAAAATAATTTTTAATTTAAATTATCTACCAATAGTATCGGGTTTTGTCGCCTGAATGTGTAAATATCCAGTTTCCTCTAACACTCTGCTGTAATGGTGACTTAAGGGATACATTCTAGTGGCATGTTCCTTATCAACGACGACCGAAGGAAGATATGATCCAACAAGGGTCCAAAATAATGTCGATGGCGAACTTATAACGGCGCACATATTCAAGTGAACTCCAATTACTCTGAAAAAAGGTAAATTTTTTTTTTCAATCTTTATAAACTACGATTTGTTTTCTTTTTGACAGTATATTTTTCAAAATTATTAACAACAAAAATGTAATTTTAAAATAACTCATGACTATTTATAACAATAATTAAAATATTTCATTGTATTTACTTTTCGGGATAAAGAGTTGCAAGGTAGGAAGTGATTAAACTTCCCCAATCTCCACCTTGTGTGTAGAATTTATCATAACCCAATCGTGACATTAGATTTTTAAATACTACTGCAATCTGAAATTAAATCGAGATTTTTAATTTTTTTTTTCTTTTTAATTCAATTTCATAAAGAAAGTAATATAAGTAGTTTGAATATTAAAGTAATTTATAAAATTTTCTTTTGATTTACAGATAACGGGTACAAAATAAAATATTAGGTACTTTATGTTAATGATGAAGAACCAATAAATTTGTAAGCAAAAATACCTGTGCGACTCCAAGTCCAGGACGAACTGCTGGATCAGAAAATCCATAACCCGGTATAGAAGGTGCAATTATTTCGAAAACGAAATCTTTATCAGCTTGAGGAGTTGTCAACATTGGAATAATCTTTTGGAATTCAACTACTGATCCAGGCCATCCATGGACCATAAGCAGAGGTAAAACTCTAATTTTTTTATTCTTTGGCAATGTCGGTTTCACTCGATAAAAGTGAATATCCAATCCTGATAAAAACAAATTTTTTTAGAAACTTTTTCTATTTAAAAACTATATTTTTTACTTTCTTTTTTAGATTTCGAATATCTTTTATTTTTAATTTCTTTAATTTAATCTAGAATAGAAATTACTTATTAAATATACACAATGATACAGTTATATATAACTGCATCATATAGTTATAACTATATGAAACTCAATTGTCCATTTAAGAGAATCTCCACTGATATATTAAATAATTCGAGTAGTAGGTACGATTGTACCTAAAAATTGTCTGTGAGTAAAATTTTAACCTTTGAATGTTGGTTTTGAATTGAGTATATTTATTGAGTAATTCTTGTCTCTTTTTCCAATTGTAATTGTCCCTCCAGTAATGAAGTACATTTTGAATATATTGAAAATTAACTCCATAGGTCCATTCAGAATCTTCTAGGGGTAAAATTTTAGGTCTCAGATTGGCAGTATTAAAATATTTGTCCAATCGTTCATGAAGGTCGTCTATTATCTTTGAACAAAAAAAGATAAATATTATATCTGTAAAACCTTACGTAATTGTATAATTTAAACATTTTTTTCACAAAAGTTAGAGACAAATTCATAATAAATTCTATTATCTAAATATTTCGTGAAAAAAAAGAAAACAATCTAGAAAATTATTAACTTTTCGGACTAATAAGAAACATAAATAATTAATTGTTTTTACCTTTTGTGAAATGTCGATTTTAAATTCTCTTATACTCGTATCCTCTTTTTCGACTTTTTCCTTTGGTCCCCAGAATGTTTCTGGAAGTTTTGGTGCTTCTGGTACTGGTTGTTGGTATCTGTTTTCATTGTTAAATTAAAGTAATTCTGAATTAAATAATTAATAAAAATTTAATAATCAAAGAACAATTAGTGAATTCTGAATTTAATAATTAATAAAAATTAATTAATCAAAAAACAATTAGTGAAATAATTCGATGGAAATATAAACAATTTAATAGCTATAAAGTAAAATTGTTAGTTAATTATCGGAAAAGATTATATTTTTTTTTCTTTTAAATATACATACATAAACAGAGTAGGTTAAAGGTTCTAAAGATAAACTCTACTAATAATTTTGATTAAACCGGTTAAATGGTCAATAAAACTCACAATATGATAACAATGTATACTATAGGTCGAAGTTTCTTCGATATTAAGAATTTGAATGAAAAAAGGAAGGTTTCTATCTTGAAATTTGAAATTAATTTAGAATTAAATAATTTGTATGTTTTTTTTAGAACTTACTTGAGATAATGAGCTATTCCTACTGTGAGGATTAAAATTGGAGGAACCGCTTTCCACATCGTGCACGCACAGTTTCACGAACTGCATGTAACTGACAACTTTGGCAGCTTGCTAGGAAAACAACTAAACCTCACCGAGAAACATAACTTCAGGCGCTGGTTATGTATAAAGATGATGAGTTCGTTTTGAAAAAAAAATGATACAGGTATATTTTAAAAAAGCAGATTATTAAAAACTAATTCCGTAACTGAAAAGAATAAATTGAATTGATAAAGAATAAAGTAACACAAAATATAATATGCGAGGAAATTTTGTTAAATTTTGGCTCTTTATTTTTGCATTGAGAAAAATAACAAGAAAATAAAAGAAATAATAATTTATATATTACATAAAATATATTACATAAATTTACATTATATTAATTGACTAGAACAATTTTATAAAAAATTATTATTTGAAATTCAGAAAATATATTACCAATCAATTCCCACTAAATTATTAAAATTATACTATTAATAAATAAAACTACTATAAATATAAAAACTGTGATAAAAGTTTTTATCATATATTATTTTTATAAAGACAAAAATAAAAGTGAAATAAAATCAAATTTAATAGAAATATTCGGTATTTATTTAGAAAAATAAACAACAAAAATTCCGGAAATTTCACTGTCCGGAATAAAATTATAATTAAAAATTCATTCAAAAAAAAAAATATCTTTCACAGCTCTTTTATAAACACATTGAAAATGTTTTAATTATTTTTCTTCTTATTTTTTTTCATTTCCTCTTTGGACTTAAATTGTTCTTCTTTCAGCTGTTTTTCCACTTTTTCCACGAATAAATAGACATCATCGGCAAGAAGTTGTGGTTCTTCCATGGCAGCAAAATGACCACCACGTGGCAAATGATTGAATTGAATTATATTTGGATATCGCGATTGAAGAAGTGATTGAGATTGATAAAAAATTTCATATGGGAAAATTGCACAGGCAACGGGTTTATGTAGTGGCACACTAAAAAGAAAAATAACAATATTTTTCAAAAAATTCACAAGGTAATTAAAATATTTTTTAATTGAATCGAATAAATTAAATGAATCAAATAACTAATTAACTAATTAATAAATAAATAAATAAATAACAATTGTTACATGAATAATATAATTTTCGTGGATTTCACCTTTCAATTTTTAATGACATGTGAGCTTTACTGAAATTTTCAGCATAAAGTCTCTGACTAGTTGTTATTGAATTTGTAACCCAGTACAACATTAAATTATCCAACAACTCATCCATTTGGAATTTTTCCAGTAAACCACCATCGGCTCGGAATCTATACTCCGGATTTGTCCAAGTGCTGAATTTTTCTAAAATATAAACTGCCAAACCAGCTGGAGTATCTGACAATGCAGAACCTGAAACAAAAGGTATTTATTTTATATTGAATATTTTAAAAATACATTAATATTTTTTTTATTAAAAAATAAAAAGTAATAAGTTGTAGAAATTATTCATTATAAATTAATCGAAATTAAATAATGTAGTTAATTAAATTACAATTAAAATTAAATTTTTTTTTATTGATTTTGTTTTTAATTTTGATTTATTTACCAATAGTGTCTGGTTTTGTCGCTTGAAGATGGAAATATCCACTTTCTTCTAACATTCTACCATAATGGTGACTCAAAGGATACATTCTGGATTCATATTCCTTATCGACGACAACCGAAGGTAGATATGATCCAACCAGACTCCAAAATAATGACATTGGCGAGCTTATAACGGCACACATATTTAAATGAACTCCAATTACTCTGAAAGAGGTTATTAATTTTATTATTTTGTTTTTTTTATAAAGTTATAAGCGATTAAGTTTTACTTTTAACAATACGGAAGAACAAATTTTGAAATTACTGTAGAATCAAAATTTTTGTTTAAAAACTCTTTTTCGTAATTAATCACAAAAAATTAATTTAATCAACAATTTTTTAAATATAAAAAAAAAATTTTCTGTTCTCACTTTTCGGGATAAAGGGTCGCAAGGGTAGAAGTAACAACACTTCCCCAATCTCCACCTTGGGTGTAGAATTCATTGTATCCCAATCGAGCCATTAGATTTTTAAATATTACAGCAATCTAAAAAGTAAATTGAGATTTTTAATTTATGAATAAATTAATAAATTCAGAAGATATTAATACCTGTGAGGGTCCAAGTCCAGGACGAACTGCAGGATCCGAAAAACCATAACCCGGTAGAGAAGGTGCAATTATTTCGAAAACAAAATCTTTATCAGCTTGAGGTGTTGTCAACATTGGAATAATCTTTTGGAATTCAACTACCGATCCAGGCCATCCATGGACCATAAGTAGAGGTAAAACTTTTATTTTTTTATTCTTTGGCAAAGTCGGTTTCACTCGATAAAAGTGAATATCCAAACCTGATAAAAACAAATTTTTTTAAAAACTACTTTTTATATCAAAAAATCTATAAGATTTTATTTTCTTTTCTGTTTTATTTAGCTATTTTTTTTCTTTTTTATTTTATTAAATTTTTATTTTACCTTGAATGTTGGTCTTGAATTGAGGATATTTGTTAAGTAGTTCTTGTCTCTTTTTCCAGTTGTAGTTATCTTTCCAGTAGCGAAGTACATTTTGCAAATATTGGAAATTAACTCCATAAGTCCATTCAGCATCTTCTAAGGGTGAAGTTTTTGGTCTCAAATTCGCAGTATTGAAATATCTATCCAATCGTTCATGAAGGTCGTCTATTATCTTTAAAATGAAAGATGAATATTATCTACAAACCTTACGCAACTGTATAATTTAAACATATACCTACAATAACATTAAGGTAAATCCATAATAATTTTTATTACTCAAGTATATGCTAGAAAATGTTTATTTGCGATTAAAATTTTTTTCATTAAGTTATAAATAATTTTTTCCTTGTGAATGAGTTTGGTTTTTTTTTATTTTTTTTTTATATAAATGTAAGTCTAAAAAAACATGATAAATGTTTGAGATAATAACTGTATGGAATAAGAACTCACGATGAGTTTGTATAATTTTTTGTACTTGAAGATTTAAATTGCATATCATAGCAAAATTTCAATTGTAATTTAAAATAGATTTCTTAAATCATTATTAACATTAATTAAAATTAATTTACAAGTGCAATAATTTTCTAATTTTAAATATAAATGTAATATTTTACAATATATTAATTATCTGTTAGAAAATTATCAACTGTATGTTTTGGGACTTTAAAAATTTTAATGAATTTATTTTTTTACCTTTTGTGAAATGTCGATTTTAAACTCTCTTATACTTGTATCCTCTTTACCGAGTTTTTCCTTTGGTCCCCAGAATGTTTCTGGAAGCTTTGGTGCCTCTGGTTCTGCTTGTTGGTATCTAGGAATTCATCGTTAAATTAAAATAATTCTGAATAGAAAATATTTAAAGAACAATTAGTGAAATAACATAAATAAAATTAATATATAAAGTAAAAAGAATGTATGTGTTTCAGAATTTGAATTAAATAATTTTGAAAATATTTTGAAATTATAGAATTTTTTTTTCTTTTACATACACAAACAGAGCTGATTAAAGGTTTTAAAGATAAACTCTGGACTAATAAATTTTAATAAAACAAAGTGAACCATCAATAAAGCTTACAATATAATGATAACACAATATTATGCTATAGATCGATATTTTTTGAATCCATGTTAAGAATTTATATCAAATGAGAAAAATAACTTTTTTTTTTGAAACTATTAATTTACTACAATTGAATTATTATTTTCCAGAAGAACTTACTTGAGATAATGCGCTATTCCTACGGTGAGGATTAAAATTGGAGGAACTGCTTTCCACATCGTGCACACTGTTTCGAGAACTGCGTGTAACTGACAACTTGCAGCATGCTTGGAAAATAACTATACCACATTGAGAAACATAACATCAGGCGCTGGTTATGTATGAAGATGATGAGTTCGTTTTAAAGAAAAAAAGATACAGGTATATTTTAAAAGAGCAGATTAAAAAAAAAATTTGTTTAATTTTTTAACTCTACAACAGAATAAATAAATTGATATAAAGAAATCAAACTTAAAAAAAATAATATTCCTATAAATCTTTATAAGAAAATTTCCATTATTTCTGTCTTTAAAAAGAAATATAAAAAATGTAAGTCTAGGTCAAAATGTTGGAAAATATTTCTGCTAAAATAAAAGAATTTAAATTAGAAAATAATAAATATAAATTATAAATGACAAAAATAAAATGAAATAAATTTTTATATTAAATATCAATATTTATTTAAAAATAAAACAATAATTTAACAAATTCCGGAAATTTGACTGTCCGGAATAATATATATTTATATATAATTTAATTAAAGATAAACGGAGTTTTTACAAAAAAAAATATCTTTCACAGCTCTTTTACAAAAATCCATTAAAGGTTTTTCTAAATATTTTATTTTTTGTTTTTTTCTATTTTCTCTTTGGATATTTTTTCTTCTTTCAGCTTCTTCTCGACTTTCTCCACAAAAGAATAGATATCATTGGCAAGAAGTTGAGGTTCCTCCATGGCAGCAAAATGACCTCCACGTGACAAATGATTGAATTGAATTATATTTGGATATCTCGATTGAAGAATTGATTCAGGCTGATAGAGAAGTTCATGCGGAAAAATCGCACAACCAACTGGTTTTTTGACTGGCAAACTAAAAGTATAAATTACCATAATTTGCAGAAACGTTGAGTTAAAACACAGGTAATTAAATAATTAAATAATTGCACAATAATATTCATTATCAGGAAAAATTACTGTTGAAATATTAATATTCAAGAAAAAAGTTTAATAATTACTTTATCAATTTATAATCAATGAATAACAGCGGATTTTACCTTTCGATTTTTAATGCTATGTGAGCTTTGCTGAAACTTTCGGCATAAAGTCTCTGACTAGTTGTTATTGAATTTGTAACCCAGTACAACATTAAATTATCCAACAACTCATCCATTTTGAATTTCTCCAGTAAACCACCATCGGCTCGGAATCTATACTCCGGATTTGTCCAGGTACTGAATTTTTCTAAAATATAAACTGCCAAACCAGCTGGAGTATCTGACAATGCAGAACCTGAAACAAAAGGTATTTATTTTATATTGAATATTTTAAAAATACATTAATATTTTTTTTATTAAAAAATAAAAAGTAATAAATTGTAGAAATTATTAATTATAAATTAATCGAAATTAAATAATGTAGTTAATTAAATTACAATTAAAATTAATTTTTTTTTTATTGATTTTGTTTTTAATTTTGAATTATTTACCAATAGTGTCTGGTTTTGTCGATTGAATATGGAAATATCCACTTTCTTCTAATAATCTGCTATAATGAGGACCCAAAGGATACATTCTGGAGGCATGTTCCTTATCAACGACAAACGATGGTAAATATGTTCCAATCAAGCTCCAAAATAATGATGATGGTGTACTTATGCTACACATATTCAAATGAACTCCAATTACTCTGAAAAAGATGATTAATTTTATTGTTTTACAAAGCAATGAGTGATTTTTTAATTTTTTGTAAAATAAAATTAAAAAATTTGAAATCATACAAAAAATTTAAAAAATTAAAAATTTTAAATCAATTTTTTAATTGTAAAAATTTAAATATTTTTTTCATTTTTTACTTTTCTGGATAGAGAGTTGCAATTGTGGCAGTGATGAAGCTTCCCCAATCTCCTCCTTGTGTGTAGAATTTATCGTATCCCAATCGAGTCATTAGATTTTTAAATATCACTGCAATCTGAAAGTAATTCGAGATTTTTAAATTTTGTTTTTCTATTTAATTAAAGATGAAAAAAAAAATAAGTAGTGCAAATATGAAAGTAATATTTAAAATCTTCTTTCGATTTACAGATAACGGGTATAAAATAAAATATTACTTTATGTTAATGATGAAAAACTGATAAGCATAAAACTAATAAATTCGAAAGCAAAATTTATAAATTTGGAGAAATTAATACCTGTGTGGCGCCTAATCCAGGACGAACTGCAGGATCCGAAAATCCATAACCGGGTAGAGAAGGTGCAATTATTTCAAAAACGAAATCTTTATCATCTTGTGGAGTTGTCAACATTGGAATAATCTTTTGGAATTCAACTACCGATCCAGGCCATCCATGGACCATAAGTAGCGGTAAAACTCTAATTTTTTTATTCTTTGGCAATGTCGGTTTCACTCGATAAAAGTGAATATCCAAACCTGATAAAAACAAATTTTTTTAAAAACTACTTTTTATATAAAAAAATCTATAAGATTTTATTTTCTTTTCTGTTTTATTTAGTTATTTTTTTTCTTTTTTATTTTATTAAATTTTTATTTTACCTTGAATGTTGGTCTTGAATTGAGGATATTTGTTAAGTACTTCTTGTCTCTTTTTCCAATTATAATTATCTCTCCAATAACGAAGTACATTTTGAATATATTGAAAACTAACTCCATAAGTCCATTCAGCATCTTCTAGGGGTGAAATTTTAGGTCTCAAATTGGCCGTATTAAAATATTTGTCCAATCGTTCATGAAGGTCGTCTATTATCTTTAAACACAAGAAAAAATATTATCATTAATCTTTAGCGTATTATCGCATTTTCTATGACTTTAACGAGGAAAAATAATTGATAGTTTTACCTTTTCTGAAATATCGATTTTAAATTCTCTTATACTCGTATCTTGATTACCGAGTTTTTCTTTTGGTCCCCAAAATGTTTCTGGAATCTTTGGTACTTCTGGTTCTGCTTGCTGGTATCTAAATGAATATTTTATAAATTATTTTTTTCATAAATTAATTATGAATTTAAGTTTAATAAAATTTAAGCAACAATTCGTGAAATAACTCAACAGAAATGTAAATTTACTAAATCTATAAAATATAAACAATTTTTAACTTTTAAGAAATGAAAGAAAAAATTCAAATTAATACCAAATTTATAGAAAAAATTAAATATAAAAAACAAGTATAATTAATTCTATCAGAAATAATCAAATTAATACATAATTATTGTTCTATAAAAAAGTTAAATAATTAATTTCGAAAATAGTTTGCAGTTTTACATATACATAAACAGAGCAGGTTAAAGGTTCTAAAGATATATACTTCGCATTAATAATTTTTATTAAACCGGATACCAAACGGTCAATGAAGCTCACAATATAATGAGAACACTGTATACTATAGTTCGATGCTCTGAATGTTAAGAATTTTAATAAGAAAAAAAATGTTTGTTTCTTGAAACTTGAAATTGATTTTCAATATTGAATTATTTTTCTTTTTTTTAGAACTTACTTAAAATAATGCGCTATTCCTACTGTGAGGATTAAAATTGGAGGTACTGCTTTCCACATCGTGCACACCGTTTTCAGAACTGTTTGTAACTGACAACAACGGCAGGTTGCTAGCAAAACAACTATACCTGATTGAGAAACACATCTTCAGGCGCTCGTTATATATGAAGATCATAAGTTAGTTCATGTCGAAAAAAAAATTACAGGTATATTACAAAAAAGAAGATAAAAAAAAAATAATTTTATTTTAATAACTTTTTAATCATTTTATTTAGAAAAAAATGATTTGACAAAGAAATTACACATTAAAATTTAAATAAAAATAGACTTTTTTAATATTATTTTAATTATACAAATTTAATTTTTTATAATCAGAATCAATAATCTATATGACAGTCATAAAAATTGTTTCTATTTTAACAATTTACAAAAAATAGAAAATTAAGAAAAATTGAACATGAAAATATTTTTATTTAATTTCTTTCACAATTCATTTTGTTCTATAGATTTTCATTTTTTATTTCATATTCGATTAATTCAATAATAGAATGTATGTATTTTACTTTTAAATTAAATAATTAGTAAAATTTTCGTTTTGTGAAAAAATACTTTTAGAAACAATTTTTATTTACAATTTCTTTTTTTTTAAATTACACAACTTTTGCATAATATAAAATTGACTAGAACAATTATTTAAACTGTGATGTACATTTTCATATATTATAAAGACAAAAACAAAAAATCGATTTCTATATAAAAATTAATATTTATTTAGAAATAAAAACAATAATTCAACAAACGGTGTTTTTACAAAAAATTAAAAAAATATGTTTCACAGCTCTTTTATAAAAACCTATTAAAGATTTTTAAATAAATTTTTTTTTTTCATTTACTCTTTGGACTTTGACAAATTTTTCACTTTCTCCACGAAAGAATAGACATCATCAGCAAGAAGTTTTGGTTCCTCCATAGCAGCAAAATGACCTCCACGTGGTAAATGATTGAATTGAATTAAATTCCTGTATTTTGATTTAAGAAGTGATTCAGATTGATAAACAAGTTCATTAGGAAACATTGCACAAGCAGTCGGTTTATGAGATGGCACTCTAAAAAGTAAATTATAAATATTTTTAAAAAATTCAGTTAAAGTAGAGATAATTAAATAATTAATTAAATTATATAATCATAAAATCGTTGTATATAATAAATTATAGCGAATTTTACCTATCCATGTTTAATGCCAAGTGAGCTTTACTGAAACTTTCGGCATAAAGTCTCTGACTAGTTGTTATTGAATTTGTAACCCAGTACAACATTAAATTATCCAACAACTCATCCATTTTGAATTTTTCCAGTAAACCACCATCGGCTCGAAATCTATACTTCGGATTTGTCCAGGTGCTGAATTTTTCTAAAATATAAACTGCCAAACCAGCTGGAGTATCTGACAATGCAGAACCTAAAACAAAAGGTATTTATTTTATATTGAATATTTTAAAAATACATTAATATTTTTTTTATTAAAAAATAAAAAGTAATAAATTGTAGAAATTATTCATTATAAATTAATCGAAATTAAATAATGTAGTTAATTAAATTACAATTAAAATTAATTTTTTTTTATTGATTTTGTTTTTAATTTTGAATTATTTACCAATAGTGTCTGGTTTTGTCGCTTGAAGATGGAAATATCCACTTTCCTCTAACAATCTGCTAAAATGATGACTCATGGGATACATTCTGGAGGCATGTTCCTTATCAACGACGACCGAAGGTAAATATGTTCCAAGCAGAGTCCAAAATAATGATGATGGCGTATTTATGCCACACATATTCAAGTGAGCTCCAATTACTCTGAAAAAAGGTTAATTATTTTACTATTATGCTATATAAACTTATGTACGATTGTTTTTTTTTATAGTACACTTTACAAAATTTAAATTAAAAATATTATATAGCTATTAATAATGATATTTCAATTAAAAAAATCTTTACTTTTCGGGAAATAGAGTCGCAAGATTGGAGGTAATTATACTCCCCCAATCTCCACCTTGTGTGTAGAATTCATTATATCCCAATCGAGCCATTAAATTTTTAAATACCACAGCAATCTGAAAGTAAATCGAGATATAAATTGTTTTGTTTTTCTATTTAATTATTTTTAAAAATAAATAAATGGTTAAGTAGTTCAAATATGAAAGTGACTTTTAATATCTTTATACGATTTACAGGTAACGGTAAAAATATGTAAATTTATAATGGAAAAATTCATGATGAAATAATTAATAAATTGAAAATAAAAAGAAATACCTGTGTGGCGCCTAATCCAGGACGAACAGCAGGATCCGAAAATCCATAACCCGGTAGAGAAGGTGCAATTATTTCGAAAACAAAATCTTTATCTGCTCGAGGAGTTGTCAACATTGGAATAATCTTTTGGAATTCAACTACCGATCCAGGCCATCCGTGGACCATAAGTAGAGGTAAAACTTTTATTTTTTTATTCTTTGGCAAAGTCGGTTTCACTCGATAAAAGTGAATATCCAATCCTAATAAAAAAAACAAATTTTTTTAGAAACCACTTTTTATATAAAAAAAAGATTTTACTTTCTTTTCTATTTTATTTATTTTTTATTTTATTTATCTATTTTTTTTCTTTTTTATTTTATTAAATTTTTATTTTACCTTGAATGTTGGTCTTGAATTGAGGATATTTGTTAAGTAGTTCTTGTCTTTTTTTCCAATTATAATTATCTCTCCAGTAGCGAAGTACATTTTGCAAATATTGAAAATTAAGTCCATAGGTCCATTCAGCATCTTCTAAGGGTGAAATTTTTGGTCTTAAATTCGCAGTATTGAAATATTTATCCAATCGTTCATGAAGGTCGTCTATTATCTTTAAACAAAAAAAGATAAACATTATCATCAAACCTTACGTAATTGTATAATTTAAAAATATTTTTAAAACTTAATGGTAAATCTAAAATAGTTTCTATATTACTTATAAATAGAAAAAATTTGCATGTCAGTGAAATAATAATTCATGATGATATTGTATAATTTTTTATACTTATAGAATCTTATTAGTATTGAAAATTTTAATTGAATTTTAAATTACGCAAATCTTAATTAATTATTGTTATTAATTCTCAGTTAAATTAATAAATTTTAATTCATAATTATAATTAATTTTCTAATTGTAAATATAGATACGTTAATTATATTTATTATTTTATATTTATTATTATTTATATTATTATTATGTATTAATTATCAATTAGAAAATTATCTCTATTTTTCGTGACTTTAACAAACATAAATAATTAATTGTTTTACCTTTTGTGAAATGTCGATTTTAAATTCTCTTATACTCGTATCCTCTTTACCGATTTTTTCTTTTGGTCCCCAAAATGTTTCTGGAAGCTTTGGTATTTCTGGATCAGATTGCTGGGAACTATGATTATCATTAGAAAAATTAATTCTTTATTTAAATTAGTTTAACCATATTCAATTAACAATTAGGGAAATATATCAATTAAAATATAAATTAAATTACGATTGTTTATAGTTTTCAAGAAAACTTACTTGATGTAATACGCTAATCCTGCTGTGAGGATGAAAATTGGAGGAACCGCTTTCCACATTGCGCACACCTTTTCAAGAAGTGTCTGGAACTGATGAGAACCGAGTACTGATAGCTTAGCTATCAAAACAACCAAGAAGACTACCGTAGCTATAGCTTTCGAATATACCCCTTCCTTCACTACAAGAGTACGTATTTTTCTTTTAAATTAAAAAAAAATTTTTTATCATTTCTTTAACATTATAATCAATATTGTGGTTTTTTAAAACCATGCATTTATAATGATAAAATTTAATCTTAAAAGGTAATGTTTAAAAATAACTATTCTTTTCAATACACTTAAAATTATATTTAAATAACAATAAATTCTAATATTTTTTTAATAATAAAAAAATTATTAAATAATTTTCGTAAAAATTTACATTCAATTGAAAATATTTAAAAAATTTTATTTAATTTCTTTTTTTGATTCATTTTTTTCTGTATAAATATTTTCTTAGAATTAACATAGAGTACAATTTGTTGGTCAGTTTTATGAGTGTAATTCTTTCAAGCTGAAGAAAATTTGCAAAGAAATAGACAAAGCGTTAATTTAATATATTATATTAAAATAATAAAAACTAAATTTCTTTTTGAAATAAGGTACCGTTTTTCATTGAAGAAACTGTAAACTTAAGGAATTTCTAATTTTTTTTCCTCCCAGATAAAATTAAGTTTGTCGAAAATACAGTTAGAAATGCATCTTCGAATACTCTCATAGTAGCGTATATGGAAAAGTATAAAAGAAAACTTTTATGAATGTTCGAATGTCATGAGTGGCAGTAGTTATATGACTTATGATAATTTACGACAAAGATTGTGTTCATTTTTTTTTATCCCCTCTTTATGGGACATTATTTTCTACTGTACTTTGAACAATTGCTTTTTCAAATAGGTCTCATTAAAATATTGAGCATTTCCAATTTTTTTTTTTATTGAAAAAAAAGTTTTTCTTTAACAAAATATTTATTATGAATATATTTATAAAAAAATGTTTTAATACATTTTTTAAATAAAACATTTTTAATTTGTTTAATTTTTATGACATAAATTTGTTCGATTATCTTCAAAATTCATATAATTTATACATATAGTAGAGTTAACAGGTTTTTATTTGCACAGTCATCATTGAAAATTATTATTCACTTTACATAAGAGGAGTGCCTACGTGTTGAAGGTCATTTTATAAAGTGATGTTGCATTTTTATAATTTCATCTCTATCATGATTTGCAATTGCATTTTCGACGTGTGTATTTTATCGAAACTGTAATTTTGTTGCAAAAATGAAGTCACGCACATTAAATAACAAAATTTATATGAAAAAATTGTTTGATTTTAATATTCTATTTGGAAAAAGTAAATATAAATTTTCAAGAACTTTCTTTCTTTTTAGCTTCTTCGAAAAGTTTCACTGAAGCCCAAATATCTTCGGCCAAAAGTTGTGGTTCTTCCATCGCTGCAAAATGTCCACCTTTGGGGAATTTTGTGGCTCGAAGTAAATTTTTATAACGTTCTTTAAGTAAACATTCAGGCTGATATGAAATTTCATAACGAAATTGAGCACAGGCACTTGGTACATTTATGGGCGCTCTATAATGGTAAATTTAATTATTAAAATAATATAAACTAATTATTAATTTAGCAATATTTAACTCAATAAATACGAGTTGAAGTGTATTTGAAAAAAAACTAATATGCATACCTGTGTGGTCCAGGTTGTAAATATTTTTTATTAAACGTTTCAGCATAAATTCTCACGGCTGTTGTCATTGTGTTTGGTATCCAATAATACATTAAATTGTCAATGAGTTCATCAGGAGTATGTTTCTCAAAAAGACCACCATCGTCTTTCATTCTATAATCGGGATTTGTGGCAGTTGAGAATTTTTCAAGAATATATGCCGCCAAACCAATTGGAGAATCACTGTGAGCAACACCTATAAAATTAATTTAATTATTCGATTATTTTTTTTTTTTTATAAAAAGAATTTTTTTTAATGATTTTTTTTTATATACATATTTTTTTGTATATTGAACGTTTTTTTTAAACAAACTTATTTTTTTTATCCATACCAATAGTGTCAGGTTTCGTGGCTTGAATGTGAAAATATCCTGATTCTTCAAGTTTACTGGCCCAGTGTTTACCAAGTGGATACATTAAATGATGATCTTCTTCGGGAAGCAAAAGAGATGGAAAGAAACTAAAGAAATAAGTTTTCAAAAAACTCCAAGGAGATGAAACAATGCACATGTTCGAGTGCATTCCTAGTACACTGAAAAAGAAAAAATGGTGAGATAAAATTTAGTACCTATACTCAATTAACAAATAGAAAAAAATAATTAAAAATAAATTTTACTGTTGAGGAAACATGGCAGCCAAATTGGATGTAATAATAGCACCCCAATCACCTCCTTGAGTGTAAAACTTATTAAATCCTAATCGCAGCATTAAATTTTTAAGTACCACTGCTATTTCATTGCCCCCAAGACCTGGTCTAATGGCTGGATCAGAAAATCCAAATCCTGGTAAAGAAGGAGCAATGATTTCAAAAACAAAATCATATTCAGGTTTTGTATTTGTGAGAAGTGGAATTATTTTATAAAATTCCAAAACTGATCCTGGCCATCCATGTTGTAACAATAGTGGAAGGACTTTTTTGCCTTTAGCATTTTTTGGCTTCACATGCAAAAAATGAATATCCAAACCTGACAATAATTACAATATTTTAGCAAAACAAAATTTACAAAATAGACAATTCAATTTCAATATTTGGTTATTATTCAGTAAAAAAAAAATTTTAGAATTTTCTAGAAAATTGAGAAATATACAAAAAGTTATTAAAAAATTTACTTTGTGAAAATTATGCAAATCATTGAGACTTATATAATTTTAAAAATAGAATTGTTTATAGTATCTATTATAATGGATTTTATCAATCATTTACCTTGAATATTTGTTACGAATTGCGAATATTTATTCATATAGGTTTCTCTTGTTTTAAAATTATATTTATTTTGCCAGTAGTCAATTATTTTTGGCAAAGCCTGACTAGGTACACCATAAGTCCAAGCAGCTCCTTCTAATCCAGGTTTTGAAAGTCGTGTATTTTTTAATCGAAACTTTAGATCTTCAATATCCTAAAAAAATTCAATTCGAATTAGTAAAATTAATTTTTTAATTTTTATTTTCAAAACTTTTCTAAATATATCGAATTTAATACAGTTTGACTACAGTTTTCTAAATTGATATAGAATATTTATTGTTGGCCTTGAATTATTCAATTTACAATTTACTAATAAAAAATTGATGAATAAAAAAAAAGTATATAACTAAATAAGTTTAAAATAATATATCAGAATCTTACCTTATCTTTGAAAACTACTTTAAATGGTCGAATACTTTGATCAACTTCTTTATTTTCTTTTCCAGGTCCCCACCAGGTATTTGGAAATTTTTCATAATCATTTTTACCTGATCTCAAATACAAGGAAGTAATATAAACTATAAATAATCCAAGAATTCCAGTTTTTATCAATCCCATTTTTGTTTGCTTTGTTAGAAAGAATTAACAAAATTATAATTTTCAACAATTATAACATTTTTATATCATCAGAGATAAGGTTTTTTTTTTTTTTTTGCTATACTGCTTTTAGTAGCGCTTCCAAATTAGATATAAATGTACAATACGTTCGAGAGGGGAATTCATTTATCCTCACCTCGAACTTATATACATGGTGTCCATCTTATCAGTGATTTAAAATGTACAATTTATTACACATAATTTGACTGCAAGTTATAATGAACATTTTTTTAGACTTTGATCAAGTATCATACGATAAATAATTTTAGAGTTTTATTTTACGTAACATAAATTATTATATATCTTTAAAAAAAAGGTAAATATATTTATATACATGTTATTATGTAATATATGTTTAAAATTGTTTAAAAATAATAAAAATTTTTTGCAAATTTTAGTAAGAAATAGAATTTTTGAATTTAAAAAAAATATATAATTATCACTATAATATTGTTAGAGTTTGTTTTTATTTTTCATTAAAATTAACGCCAAAGAAGCAAACAATTATGGGATATGATAAAAATTATTATTATTAATTTAAAATTTAATTTTATAAATAAATTCTTTTATTTAAAATTTTTTTCTATATTTATTTTTTGTTTTCACTTTTTACTGAAAATTATAAATAATATTTTTCGGTAATTTTTAATTGTTTTATTTAATTATTAGTGTAAGAAAAATATTTAAATAAAAAAGAATTTTAAAAATTAATTTCGGCTACATATTTAAATTGTTAATTTTGATTGGTTAGATTTACACATGCGCAATTTGACAGAAAACAACGTGGTCGTGTTTTTATTGCACGTGTTTTAAATTTTGTGCATTTAATTATACTTTCATTTTAAATAAAAAAAAAGAGAGAGTATATTTATTTATTTAAGTTACACAAAATTGGAGACAAATTATTGATTTAAAAGAATGGAAACAAAGAGCGCAATATTGTGTACAACGTGGGTGAAAAGAGGTGTTGCAGCAGCTGTACCCGATAAGGTTAGGTTTTCAAAAATATTTATTTTATCTCAATTACAGAAACAATTAAATAAAAATTTATAATTTTAGGTACAATTAAGTCCAGAGGAATTAAAAAATATTATACAAGAAACTAAAACAGCTTTAGAGTAAGTTTATATATTAAAATTGTAAATGTCACTTTGACAGTTTCATCACAATTTGAAAATTCATTTAATTTAGAAAGAATATGTAGAAACAAGATTTTGAAGAAAATATTTTTTTTATATATTTCGACGTTAATTAATTTATTTGTGAAATTATATCAAATTTTTCAGTGATCTTGAGGAAGATTCAGATAGTGAAAATGAACCATCATCATCAAAAGTTAATGAAAAGAAACAAGTGAAAGTTAAAAAAGAATCAAATAAAGACGAAAATGATGATACTGATGAGGAAGAAGAAAATGTTACAATTAAAAATGCAGGAGATCAAGATGAATTTAATTTTGAAAATTACGATGATGAATGTAAATGGAATTGTTTTTTTTTAACTACGAAAACATTGTTTACTTTTAATTAATTAATTTCAATTTTACAGCTGGCAATATTCATTGTTATATTAATAATATAGCAGATTTTGAAGAAGATCCATTGATAACAGTTAAGGATGATGATGACAATGATTCTGAGAAAGAAGACGATATTATTAAACCTAATGATAATCTTGTTTTAATGGGACACATCGAAGAGGATGCCAGTATTTTAGAAATATTCGGTAAATATTGCAAATACAGAATATATTACAATTTTTAAAGCAATATTTTATATTTATAAATTGCATTTTGATAATTTATTTGAATATACTAACGTGAGGGAAATAAAAATATTTTTTCAGTGTATAATGAAGAAGAAGGATCATTTTATTGTCATCATGATATTTTATTACCTTCACAGCCTTTGTGTCTCGAGTGGCTTAATTATGATCCCAGTGATGCTAAACCAGGTAAATAAATTCGATGAATTATTTTATCACGTCTGTATTAATTTTTTTTTTTTACACTTTTCTGATATAATCCTTTATTTTAGGCAATTTGTGCGCAATTGGTGATTTTACACCAATAATTAAAGTTTGGGATTTGGATCTCGTTGATTGTTTAGAGCCAGCATTTAAATTGGGACGTAAAGAGAATAAAAAGAAAAAAATTAAACGAATTGGTCACAAAAAATCGGTTTTAGATTTATCATGGAATAAAAATTTTACGTATGTAATCAATTTTTCTATTTATTAATTTAAATTTTCATTTCTTTTTGTATGTATGTATGTATTTGAATTTAATTTTTCTCGTAGACATATATTGGCAAGTGGTTCAGTGGATAAGACTGTTTTATTATGGGATTTAGAAAATGGAACACCAGTCACGAAATTATCATTATTTAATGATGCAGTGCAAACAATTCAATGGCATCCAATAAATGCTCATCATTTATTGACAGGTTCAATTGACAAGTGAGTATAATTAAAAATGTTAGGAAAATTTTATTGAATGAAATTCAATATAATTTATGAATGTGGTTGAAATTATTTTCAGATTTGTAAGATTACACGACTTTAGAACAGAGGAAAAATTCGAAACACTATCGTGGGAAAGTCCTGGAGAAGTCGAACGTATATTGTGGAATAATTTTGATTCTAATATTTGTTTCGTGAGTATCAATATTTTATATTTGAAAAATTTAAAAATTATAATTTTTTGAATCTTTTGCAGGCTTCTACTGATAATGGTTTTATTCAATGTATTGACGTTAGGAAAACAATACCATTATGGAAGCAAAATGTTCACGAAGGTGCTATAACAGGTAAATTTTTTAATTTAATTTTTCCTTAGAATAATTTTCATTTCTTTTATTTGAATAAATTTTCCTTTTTCTTTTTTTTCTAAGGTTTATCGATGAGTTCTTCTTGTCCTGGTTTATTGGTAACAACATCTGACGATGACACTATGAAAGTTTGGGACGTAATTAATCTTAATGAACCGCAATTAATTTGGGAAAAGAAAACAAATTTAGGAAAAATTCTCTGTCTCGATTCAAATCCAGAAAATCCATTTGTTTTCTCCGTTGGAGGTGATAATAAATCTAATAATTACAAAATATTCGATTTTTCCCAAATAACATCAGGTGAGATGAATCATCATTTTTCTTTTTAACAATAATAATTTACTAGTAAAAGTATTTAAAAATTAATTTTTTAAAAAATATTTTTAGTATCTGAAAGATTTAATGAACGAGAATTAATAAAAATGGAATCTAACGAGACGGCAAAACAAGATGAAGAAATGATGGATGTGACTGAAGAGATTGGACAAATAAATCTCGATTTATCCGCGAAAAAAATGCGCAAAAAAAAGAAGAAAGGAAAGAACGAAAACTAAACTTTAAAAGTTAGGTAATGTAAATAATTCAAAGTAAACATTTTTAATGTTTAAATTTCAATTTTATGAACTTATTAAAGTACTTTTTTTCTATTATATAATAGTTTCTCTTTATTATGTAGTTAAAAAATAAATTGGAAAAATTCAATTAGATTTTCAGTGACGGTATAAATTTATTGTACATAGAATTTCAGAATTCAAATACATATAAGTATTGTGTAGTGTAAAAATTAATTGTCACAAGAACAAAACTTATCTTTTAATATAGGTTTCATTAAACATTACATAAAACGCATCTTCTAGTTTCACTGAAATTGTGAAAGATATAGAAAAAAAAAATATTATTCACTAAAAAAAAAACAAAAAAAGAAACAAATAATTTGATACAATTGCAAAATTTGATTGAGCGCATTATAAAGAACAATCGACATTATAATAATTATATTCTAAAAAATGTCGTATAGTCTTTTTGTCAAATTATTGAGAAAAAAACATCATTAGTAATATTGAGTTTCATTCGCTTTTTTTTTCTTAAAACACATTACATTATTTCATTCATACACACTTTCTGAAAATTATAAAATTTAATTCTTTTTACTTTAATTTTTTTTTTAAAAAAAATTGATTTTTACTAACAGAGATATTCACTAAAATGAATATAATATTATTCATTTTAATTAAAAGCCAATCACTATAAGGGAAATACGTACTAATTATAATTAACTAATAATTTTTTTTTTCTTAAGTATTTAAATAATATATTTGCTCTCTGGCAGTGGTTGTTTCACAAAATTGCAAGTTATAATTAGAACAAATTATACTAATAATGATTAAGAAGAATTTATGTTATTCATTATTAGAATAAAATGTCTTTTTTTTTTTATTCAAATTTAACGCAGATAGAACACCTTTTTGTCCACATGTTGCACGATAATAGACAACGTTGACATACATTATATAATATATTAGTTATAATATTTCGTAGACGATTTTTTTTTTGACACACAAGAATCGCAATTAAGCGTCAGTTCCTATGTCCAAACTTCTTGAATCTTGATTGGAGTCATGTTGACTACCATTCTCGGACGATGCACTACTTGATAGGCCCGATTGATCGGAACTTTTTTTCACTTTTGGCTTATATTCCGTAATAACGACAGTAACATTATTAACTGTCACCTCATTTGTTTGGGCAGTACTTCTATCTATATTTTTAAGTCTAGGAGGATGTCGATTCTTACGCCTTGGTTTATCCAGTTTGCGTTCTCTTTCCTTTCCGCTACTTGTCGTACTTCCTCCACTTCCACCTTCCTTTTTACCTGGCTTTAATAGTGGCACGTACTGTTGCTGAGCAACCTAAAATTTAATTTATTTTTAATTTACAGCATCAATTTATAATTTTTTTTTTTAAATAAAATATTGCTGACCTGCTGAGCCACCAATTGAGGGTTGATGCGGGGCTTCCGCGTAGAAGTTCCTTTACGGACGTCACACATGAGGCACTTGAATGCTTCTGCTGTATTTCTATAGGTGCAAACACTGCAATCCCAATAGTTTTCTTCCAAAACCTTCGCCTGACGTTTTCCGCTTCCCGAATGGTTCATTGTTCATCGAAGTCAATTTTACGACGCTGAACGTTCTCAGAAGAGAGCTTGCCCCCACGCGCGCCACTTTAGCTTCATTAAAAGTGGTTTTTTGAACACTTGGTGATTTTGAACAATGACAAAGCTCAGAATGAGCTTCACTAACAATAATAATAATATTAATAATAATAATTTTCAATAAAGAAAAATAAAAATAATCTACGACGCTCTCTTCTGCATCAACTAAATAGAATGCAATTTCCCCTAAATGACTCTTCATTCTCAGAAGACTCCCCTTTCATCAACCATAAGATTTTCTGCTTCAACATTTTCTTTACTTTTTTTATCTAAAAAGAATAAAAATAATAATAATATTAAATTCAATCCAAATTACAATAAATCAATTGATAACTAAAATAAAAAAAAAAAAAATGAATTACAAATTAATTGAAAAACAAAAAATTTTATTCCTACTTACAAATCATGGATCCTATTCGATAAAATACTAATAGCACCAAATTTTATTATTTTAAAATCACGGGTAAATTGTGCCTTCCTCCTATAGGAAATAAATAATGTAAATTAAAATAATTGCTCCAAAATATTTTTTACCAGTAAAAATTGTGATTGTAAAAAAAATTTATAAATTGCGAAACAATTATTAAAAATACAATTCTAGAAGATGTAACAATTCTCTCCAGTTAAAAGATCTTTAATACTTATTTTTAAATAAAGATAAGAACTTACCTTTTTTTTTTTGACGAAATTTTACCAATATCAAAAATGCGTATGCAAACTTTTCTGAACAAATAAACACGCCTACGCAATATATCAATATTACCCACGGTCAGAAACAATTGTTTTTGATAATTAATTTAGAATAGAGTTGTAAATCAAAATTTGTAGGTGTAATTCTTTGATTTACAATATTTTTTGGGCAAAAAGGAAAGCACAATCTCAATAAAAAAAAAAAATATTGACAAACAACCTACACCATTTTCTTGTCGGTCAATGGAGCAAAACCATGGAATTCTAACAATAAAATGTGAAACGTAGACAGATAATTATTCCATTATGGGTTTTATAGCCCTTTCAATAATAACAGAACAATTGATAAAGGAGAGAACTGTCATAATAATGACAACATAACCTCAAATATTTGCTGACTCGACTAACTTCACTTCGTAAATCAGTGCCGTAACAAGTACCACTTCTTTATCATAATAAAATATGAAATATAATTCATAAATAAATTATAAATTCTTATCGTAAATTCAATGTTATGTAAATATTACTATTTTTAAGAAATAATTTTCCTGTCATATAGATTATGGTTTATTAAATCTAATAAATGTCAAATGCCGCCCCTGTATAATCGAGAGTTGCGATTTAAAACCTCCTAACCTGCTCCACAGTAAAGTGTTTTTTTTTTTAGTGAAAAATAGTGATTGTTCTAATTCAATTATTCATTAAAAAAATATCATTTCTCGTTTATTTATGACACGGAAGAAATCAACGGCAGGGACAATACTTGCCTTATATAGTCATGGATGTTAATATGGTCAGTTTTTTGGTGACGGTTTTGAAATAATAAAAAAAAAAAAAAAAAAAAATTTCCGTGAACGATGTAAACAAAATTGTTTTCTATAATACTTTGTGCCCAATCAGCACAAGAAATAATTTTTCTAGACAATTTTTCTAACCTGGTAAACATTGATAAACATTTATGAAATTTAATATCAGATAATTCATATTTTATTTTCTTATCAGGATGGTTCGACTGGCTCTGATGGCAATGAGAAATCATGGGATCATCCTTGGTGTACAGAAGAAATGAGAAATAAAAGAAGAGAATGGAATCTTGCTGGTGATGCTGGACTTTTAAAACATCTTCAACGCTTTTCCGAAGTAATATTTTATTTATTATTTGAATTCTTTTTTATTTAATTTGGTTATTTAGATTTTATTTACCGTTATGTTTGATTTCTATTCTGTGTATTTTAGTATTCTGTTACACTATTTAGTATTTACTATTTAGTAATTTAGTATTTAAAGTTTTGGTATTTGTATTTTATTTAATTTTACATTCTTATATTTAAAAAAAATGTTTTTTTTTACACGATCTTTTGTATTTATGTGAAATTCATTTTTTTTTATCTCATTGCTGATAAAGTGATTTTTTTTCCAGAATTTAACGACAAAAGCTAATGAAACAACAGAGGCCTTGGATTCATTGACGAATCGTTTAAATGAAACTGCTATATTTGTAGATAATCTTACCAATACATCATTAGCTTTGGCCAATACACAATTTATTGAAAGTCGAGTTCAAGAGGATGATGATGTTGAAATCGACAAATCTACTGATCAAATTGAAAAAGTAATTTAAATTCTTTTTACGAACAATTTATTCGACAAAATTGATATTAACGTTTAATTATTTTATTTATTATTTTAATTATTTTTTTGATTTGTACACAGAATACAAATGATCAGGAATTAAATCCAGCGGACATTATAGCTATTGTAAATGAAAGTATAAAAGAAGGTTTACGAATAATAGATGAAAAATACGATAAAGTTGATGTTGTTGCCAGTGATAGTGAAGATGAGGGTGAAAATATATTGCCAAGGTAAATGGCGTTTTACGACTTTTTTTTAAAAAAAATTTTCACAAAATAATAATTTTTTTTTACCTTAAATTACAGTGTAATTTTGCGTGCAAAAGATCCATATCAAGATCGTCCCTTGCCGTATGTGATTGGCACGGAAAAGTGGAAATCATCGATCAAAATAGGTTTAGAATCAAGTAGCAGTGAATCAGAGCAAATGGAGGAGGATGAGGAGGAATCGTCGAGCGATGGAGAAAATAAAGGAATGGATTTATTAAATGTAACTAATCGTCAAACAACATTAGGCTCACAATTATCTTCTTCAAGTGAATCTAATGATTATAATTTAGATAGTAACAGTACAAGAGACACTAATAATGGAAGTCTCAGGGCTAAGAGTCAAGATACATTGAATATTGAATCTGAACCTCTCACGCCAACTAGTGTATTACCAAAGGTATATTTTTCTTTTGATTTTTGTAATTTATTATTTTTAAATAAAAAAATTTTATGAAATTTTTCTTTATTTTAGAGTCAAAATATCAATAGTGGTCCACCAAGTTTTGCAGAGGAATTAGCTAAACGTTTGGGAAGTGTTCTTCCTATTCAAAAAACAGTGATCACACAGGAAGCTCACGATCCTTCTATAAATCGTGCGAAAGGTATTGAAATTATTTTCCATTTAATTTAAAAATGAGATTTTTTTTTTGAAAACAAAAAACTTTCTGTTTCAAGATGATTTATTTTCACAAGAAGACGATGAAGATGTTTTCAGTAGTAAATCGGAAAATTTATTCAATGAAGAAGGAGGAAGTGGATTATTTGACGACGATGTGCCGCCAAAATGGAATAAATCTCTTCCAAAAGCTGTGAAAACAAATATAATTCCTTCGAGTATCGATGTACCACCGCCAATAAGTTCTACATGTAATTATTAAAAAAATTAAATTTAAATTTCTTTTTCAAAAAAAAAAAAAAATATTATTCTTTTTTTTCAGCAACAAAAGCAAAATCTGCTTTTGATGATTTATTTGGAGATGCAGATTCCGACGATTCTGATGATATTTTCTCAACGAAGAATACAAAGAAAAATATTTTTTCGAATGATAATTCTGTGAAGGAGGGAACGAATAAAAAATTCTTGAATAGCGATTTTATGGAAAATATTGGAAATATGTCAACAAACGTGCCAGAAATACATGAAGATGTTGAGGATCTCTTTGCTGATGAGGAAATCGACGAAGATGATCTTTTTAATACATCTAAAGCACAAAGTCGCATTGATACAACACCTGTGGATAACAGCACTCAAAAAGTAGTTTTTAAATTATTTCTTCTTTCTCATATTTTTGTATCTTTACTTATTTATATATTTTATATATATATATCACTAATTTGTATTTTTCTATTTTTGTGATTATTTATTGTACTAATTAAATTTTTTAATTCTAGAAACCAATTGGAGGAGTTTCAGTTCTCCATGGAATGGATTTTCGATCTTCGAAGTTGTCAACGAAAATATTTCGTCAAAGTTCCTCGGATTCTTCAGGTAGTGAGAGTGAGAATTCTGACACTGTTGAGAGCAAATCGGATTTTGGAATTTCGAAAAATTTAAGTTCAACTTTGGATGAAAGAAGTGCTGAAAATTCTAAATCTAACTTAGAAACTACCATCGATGGCTGCGGAATTTCAAAACAATCTTCCAGCACAAAAACTGTTGATTTAGGGTAAGTCATATTTTTTATAAATATTAATTAATTTTATTATTTTTTATAATTAATTTTTTTAATATACAATTAATTTATTTAAAAAAAAAATTGACAAATATGTAAATTAAAAAAAAAAATTCTCTCAAGTAAAATCATTAGTTATAAAATATTCAAGTGAAAATTAATATTTTGCGAGAGGAAACTCAGAAATCATATCTTAACTGGACCTCAAGGTTGAACATTAAATTGTACAGTGTATATACTAGGAGATACAAAAATAGAAAAGCTAAAAGTAAAAATAGGCAGAATGGCGATACAGTTTAAGAAAGCAGAAGAAAACAGCGGAAATAATTTGAGTAACAAATATATTTAATATACGAAAATAGTGATTAATATTCAAGATAAAAATGTGCAGGATAGATTAGAAGAAAAAATACATTTTGCGTAAATTATATTTGAAGATAAACAAAGAGAAGAAAACTATAATGCAGACAATTAGGAAGGTAACAAAAACAATGTCAATAAATTAATTAAATTGAGAAACAAATTATATTCAATTAAAATTTAAATAATTTGGAAAATTTGGAAAAGATTGTAAAAAATGATTATTTATTCACTTTTTAAAAATGATAAAGAGAAAAATGTTTAAAGGAATTTCAATGAAAGATAATGGTTGTCTTTTTTGTAAGAAGAAAAATCTGTAATATTACATTACCATAAACTAAAGATGTTCTATGCATTAGTCACGTAATTTGCAAGGCAAGCATCTTGAACAGTCTTTGCATGTGAGAATTTCTCAACCAGCACAAATAGTCTGATACATCTCTTAAAGTAAAAGCATATATATATAATTGCGTTCGTTACGCTCATAACAATTGATATTCATTTTTTAAATATGGAGGTAAGAGTAATTTATTTTAAATGTTTGGCAAATCTTTTCCTCTATTTTATTCTTGTTTCATTTATTTATTTTTTCTTTTAACTTCTTTGCATAATCTACATCTTTTTTGTTTCTATTACGCAGAAATAACGTAACGCCATTTTATACACCGTCTTTGTTTGAAATTTTTATTTACAAAATAAATAAATTTAAATTAATTCAACTTGAATAATTATCTAATAATGTTAAATAATCTAAATTTATATAATAAATTTTACAATTTATAAAATTAGTAATTTGAACTTATTTTATTATAAATTATTTTTTATAGAAAAAATATAATTTACAAATAACATGTTTTTTAAATGTCGAAACTTAAGAAATTTATTTAATACACATTAAAATTTGGAATGTAGATATTAAATATTCATAAATGTAAAACGTTTAAATATTTAAATTGAGAATTTAAATGTCACATGAAAATGGTAATAATATTTACAAGTAGTTAACGTTGGTGTATTATTAAATAATACTTGATTCATGATAATAATAAAAAAATTAAAGATTATAGTCGATAAAATATTGATAACTATAAAGATATTGAAAGTTTTCTTTCAATGTAATAATTGTATCCAATAGTTTTGTACATAATTATCATTAGTAATACTGAATATCTTCTCTTGCTTATTTTTTTCTTAGAAAAAAGGATTTCTAATTGTCTACCAATAACTCTTGTACTTTTCTTCACATAATTCTCCACCACAACAATGTGGAAATGTTTCTTTTGGATCAAATTTTTGGTACCCTGTTACTTTGCTTTTTGGCAAACAGAAATACCTTGGGCATCTTTAACAAAAAAAAGTGATTAAATTATTAATTTTTTTAATAAAATTTGTTTCAATAATTAATTTTTAAAATTTTATGTAAGTATTAATTTATTTAAAGAAAATTTTGATTTGAATTTGATTTTTTAAGAACGTTAAATATACAAAATTTGATATTTTCTAATTTTTTTCGTCAATGACATACTTACGATTGTACTTTCTTTATTTTTCCATTTGTCATGCATGTTGCTTTTGTGAAACAATCAATATTTTCTTGTCCTGGTGTCATTTGTCGTCCTTTATATTTGCAAATTTTTGCTGAAACTTTAAAAAAATTTAGTTTAAAAATTAAATTATTCAATTATTGGAATAATGAAAAAATTCAAAAATAAATTTAAGAGTAGTTACTGTAAAAAGTGAATTTAATTTTTCTTTACTTACAAAGAGCTGAAGAAAACGTTAGTAACGTAAAAAAGAAAAACCAAAAAAATGTCTTCATAGTAAAAAAAAAAATTATTACTTTATACTCAATAAGTAACAAAATCGGAACATTAATGGTTCCAATTGATTTATTAACAACATCCTGAAGATTCTGACTTTATATATGAATAAATGCGACAGAATTTTAATAATAAAAAAATATTTACAATTAGATAGACCCCCGCTGATAATAAAAAAAACATTTAATTATGTAAAATAGATAAAGAAATTTTATTTACCACTTTGTTGAGATATTTTAATAACAATAACTTTTATTTTCCATTCATGAATTTGTTATTCTCTTTTAATAATAATAATAATATTATTAAATTAAACGCAAAAATTACGTTCTACACAAAATAGACAAAAAATTTAATATTTTCAGATTTATAAATGTTTGCCTTTTTATAAATTAACTGTATCAGTCAATTATAATAATTTCTGCACAAACTTTTTTTTTTTTTTTTTAATGAAAGTAAACGAAAATTTTCTCCTTTCAATTTTTTTTTTAATGTTCGTGAAAGGAAACAAATTTTTTGTTTATTTTATTTAAAAAGAGAGATAAGAGTTAGAAATCTTTGCCAAAAGAATTAGGTCTGCTATTTTAGCCAATGCGATACGAATTTCTGCACGCCTTTCACCTGGAAAATTCATTCTAACTGACTAGCAGTTAGTGAATTCTCACTGTTGAAAGGAAAGTGCGCATAATGTCATTCCGTTAGACACTCCAACAGAATTAATAAATTCCTTTGGGAAACAGTTTAAGTGTGAAAATAACTATAGTATAGTGTAAACAATTTTTCTTTCTACACATATAATGGATTTACAACCCTAATAAGATTAATGGAGAATTTCATTTATCAGGTTTTTTTTTCCTCATAGTTCCTGAATTTTAATTTACAAATTTCAAATTTAAATACCATTTTAATATTTCTTGGATTATTTCTAATATATTTGAGAGAATTTTTTTTTCGATTTAAAAATTTTGTTACTTTTATAAAATTTTAATAATTAATAATTTAAATAATAATTATTATTTTAATAGATTGTAATTAAATGTTTAATACTATTATTTATTATTTATATGAATTATTGAATATTTAATTTGATTTCAGAGCGGATTTTCAGCCACAGATGACGTCTAACCGATTGAAATCGGAAGAACGTAATCGTGAAAAAATTGCAAGTGATAGTTTATTTACAACAACAACGCGAGTGCAAGAAAACATTACGCAAGATGATATTTTCGATGATGAGGATGATGTTTTTGGTCCACCTCCATTGCCAAAAGCTAATGAAAAATCAAAAGTGATTTCCCTCTTTGATGATTCAGATACTGATGATGAACTTTTTGCCAGTGCAATTCCAAAACATCATTCACAAAAAATTGTCGACTTGAAGAAATTACAGAGTCAAGAAAAACCAAAAATAACTAAGAATATAAGTATTTTTGATGATGATGATGATGATGAAGATAATGATGATGATATTTTTGCCGTCAATGATTCTCCAGATGTTGATATTTTCTCTATTGATACAAAACCATTGAATTTAACAGCTAATGAATCATCGACACGAAAAACTTCCGATTTATCTTCCGATTTATTTGGCGAATCAGGACAAAATGAATCACCAAGAGTTGTTAAAAAACCTCCTGCTACGAGTTTAATAAATAAATCCATTTTTTATGATAGTGACGAGGACGATGATTTATTTGGTTCCATTTTACCAAAAAAGGGAACTAAAGTCTCAAGTATATTTGATGATTCTAGTGATATTGATTCATTAAAATCAATTTTAGAGGAAAAAGATACAAATAAGGAAAAAATTAATAATATCGAACCTTTAAATAAAGCAAGTGATTTGTCGAATATTTTTCAAACAAATAAAAGTGCTTTATTTGATGACGAAATGGATGACGATGATCTTTTTGGGCATAAAACTCCATTGTCTTTTAAAGACTCCAATAAAACAAAGTCTGAAGATAGTGCCATTATGAAACAGACAACTTCCGAAATTATTGAGTCAAAAGAATTGTCAATTGAGGCGAAAGTGTCAAATATTGAATCGAAAAAAATGCCACCAATTATACCACAAAAACCCGATAGTTTAAAAACTAAAGGAAATGCAATACAAGAGACGGGGAATAAAATGGAAAATGTTGTCGATGGTTGTTGTATTTCAAAAAGTGATCCACCAAATACTTTAAATATTCGATCGTTATCAGCGCTCGATGATGGAAAGGAACCACCACGAAGGGCAGTTTCGGGAAAAATTAAAAATCTTTTGGGAAAAATGGGTGATTTAAAAATTCTCTCGCCCACTGATACACCACCTGTTTTAAGGAAACACGAGGAGAAAAATGATGAGGAAGAATCTTTGGAATGTGACAGTGAGGACGGAGGAAGTTTAAGTATAACGAGTTCTGGCAAGGAAACAAGTATTAGTGGTATGTTAATATTTAATAATTTAAAATATAAATTTAAAATAATTATATAATTAAAATATTAACAAAAATTAATTAATTAATTTAATAAAATAAAATTAATATTAATTAATTAATTTTAAAAACAATTATTTCCGATACCAGTTAAATTGAAATTTTACGTTACGTAAGAAAAATTAATTGAAATATTTTACTTTGTAATAGAATTTTATTTACGTCTATTATATAATTAAAAATCTTATCTTACTCACTGCTACTTTTCTAGTGGAATATTTAATTGGCGCTAAGTTATCTCTATTATTACGATTAATAAATAATAATTGACGTGACTTATTGATTTTCATCTATAATAAAAAAAAATAATAATTGCAATTTATTATGAAATTATTGTCAATAACAGACAGTGTATAATATTTATAATTTTTCCCTAACACTTTAAATTTGAAAATTTGTTGTTAATAGAAAATATTTTGCTAAATATGATATTAATGAAAATATTATTTTGTTTTCAATGTTTTGTAAAAAATTTTCCAATCGTGAGAAATATGAAATTTTTTTCTTTATATTAATTATTATGTATATTATAAAAATTATTAAAATTAATAATTCGATTTTTTTTATTTTATTTATTATTTATAAATTTATATTTTGTTTGTTATAGGTTTAATTTTAAATAAATTTTTTATTCGTAATTTGTAAAACCGTTTTTCAAATAATTAAAAATTAAATCATTTGTATTTTTTCACAGCGGAAGATAGGCCAAGGAAGGATTCTTCTGATTCAATGTTAACAGATGAGATAAATACGGAAAAAGCGATAAGTTTCGATGAACCTGTACACGTTGAAACGTTAATCAACGCTTCAAAGGTAAATAATAAATAACTAAAATTAATAAATTCATTTATTTAACAAATTAAATTAATATGTCTTCTTTTTTACTTTTATAAAATAGAAAACATATTTAAAAACAAAAATAATCTAATTCGAGTTGTTAAAATAGTTTTAAATTAAAAATTTTTTAAATTTTATTTCCTTAAATTTCAGAGTCGTGCAAGAATTCAAGTGAAACGTCGCCCACAAAGCAGACAAGCACGTCAAATTGCATTGCGTCAAAGTGGAATAGATTTTGATGCTGTAGACTCAATGCAGGATCTCGACGACGATATTAAAATAAAAGATCACATTTTTATTGTTGACAATATTAATGATATGAATTTAAGTAGCGAGAGACTATTGTCAATAAAATCCGATAATGTAAGAAATACAGAATTAAATCTTTCATTGACAATTGACGATAAATCGGAACGCACATTGAGTAAAGAGAGTACAAATAAAAATACTCTTCTCTCACCATCGACTGACGAAGAAGATTTGTTCGATGTTCCACCCGATTTGCCAGAAGATCCATTTAAAGAGGATTCTTTGTTTGGTAGAGCACCTATTTTATCGCCAATCGACGATGATGATGACGACGACGATAACGACAATGTTGTTGTAACGAGAGAAGAAATTAAGTCTGTAAAAATAAATACTGCCACCACATCTGTCGCTAAATTGAAAGCTGACAGAATCAATAAAGAATCGATTAAAAGTGTCGATAAAGTGGAAAAAGAATTGAAACCGGATCAAAAACTTGAAAGTACCGTTGTAACAAAAAGCACAGAACCAGATTCCAAAGATGTGTTTTCATCAGAGAAAGAAAATAAAGAGTCACCGCTTGATCCATTGCGAAATAAAGATCTTGATCCTTTGAAAGATCCAAGTCAACTTTTTGCATTTGTCACAAAAACCCCATCGCCTGAGAAGGGAAAGGCACTTTTATTTCATGAAGATGACAGTCTCTTTTCTAGTGTATCGAATAAAAAAACAACAACAATAAACGAAAAATCAACGAGTAAAAAAATGGATTCACTATTTGACGATGATGATGGTGATTTATTTTCCACGACAATTGGAAAAAATAATAAAAAATTGCTCAAGGATACAAAAATTAATTTATTTGATGATGATGAAAGTTTATTTGGTTCATCGACAATAAAGAAGAGTGAAGATGGAAATGAAGCTAAAAAATTGGATATTGTCGAGTCACAAAGTTCAACTGGTGAGAAAAATATTTTTGAAAGTGACAGTGATGAACATTTGTTCTCCGATGGAACACGAGCAACAATTCCAAATGATGTTGCTGATATAAATAAAAAGAAATCTAATTTAAATGATATCTTTGGCGATCAATCGAGTGGAGAAGAAGATATTTTTGCTTTTAAGAAACCGATATCAAAGAAATCTACTGTTGAGAGTAAATCCTTGTTTGATGATGATGATGACGATACTGATGATGATAATAATGGTATCTTTGGAAAGACGTCTTCATCATTATCAAAAAATAAGGAAAGCCATAATGCTGTTAAAAAAGTTATCAAAAGGGATTTAAAAAAAACTGCTGAGCAGATAATTGAAGATCCCTTAAGTATGCTTCAAGATGATTAGTCCAAATAGATTTGTTTTTCTTTTTTGTTATCAGTGAAATATTCAAAATTCAATTCCGCAATAAGTATTAATAATTTTGAAAAGGAGTTTTTTTTTGAAAAATTAAAATTGTTTCATCATCGACAGTGTTCAATTATTTTGAAAAATTTGAATAATTTTTAAAGAGAAGAAAAAATAATATATATGAAAAATAAATTACATTCCTTTAAATTTTGTTAAATTTCTTAAAATAATTTTGTACTGAAATACTGTCGTTAATGAATATTTTAATTAATTAAAAAAAATTCTTTATTTTGTTATTGATTTTTTTTTCCAAAGTTTAGTCTTATCATAAACACGGTGCGCGCTGTGCAATATTATTTTTTATTATTTATACATAATTTTTTTTCTAATCAAATTTACTCAAAGAAAATTGTTTTTTTTTAAAAAAAAAGAGAGATTATTTTTTATTTTTTATAATTTTTGATTTATTGTTATATTTTGTTTTTAATGAAATTTATTTTGAAAGAAAAGAGGAAAATATCAACTAAATTTAAATTAAATGATTAAATTAGTTTCAATTTTATAATTTCTAATTTGAATTAGATATTATAAAATTTTAACAAATGTTTAATAAAGGTGGACAAATATAAAAATTTAAATTCATTGTAAATAAAAATTATTCTGGATGGTAATGTTATTCGATGATATCAATTTATTATTATCGTCTATGTAAATATGAAATCAATTATACAAAAAAAAAAATATATATATATTATGATATAATAATATTAGTGAATGAGAGTATTTAAAGAATATAAATGTTATCGTTTGTATGTTCAATTTGTGAAATTACATATTGTATTAATGTATTTTATTGGAATCATTTTATTTCTTACACTTATTTTAATATTCACATTGTTTTATATTCACTAATTTATTTAAATTATTATTGATTCTATTTACATTTTTATTCTTTATTTACGCTCTAAAATAAATATTTTCCTTTTAGAATAGATCTCGATTTGAATTTTCGATGGAAATTTTATTTTACAAAATTATTTATTTTCAATTAGTTAAATTTAATTAATTAAATTTAATTATTAAAATTTTATTGAAAAAAAAACAAATTTTTTTCTTAATAAAATATAAATTAAAATCAGTAAAACATGAAAATTCAGGAAAATTTCTTAGTAGTAATATTAATTTTATCTTAATAAATCTTCTTTCACTGTAAAAGAATGCAACAGGTCAAAGCGCATTTGACTTAAGAATATTTAATTCGAACAGAGTCATCGACTCGGATTTTATATCTTTGTTTGGGTTGTTGACTTTAAAACACGTAAAACATAAGATCCAAATTATAAGCCAAAGTTAAGAGTTTAAAATATTATTTCACAATTATTCATAAATAAATTTATTTAATTTATTAATATCAACAATATATTTATACATTTTCTATTTTCTATTATTAGAATTTTTTGAATTATAATTTTAAATACAATTACAATTTTTAATTATACTTTTAAATCATATTTGTTTATTATATTAAAAATTATTTACAGCTGTGTGCATTTCAAGAAAATTCAAATTTGAATTTAACTCCCGCCATAACAAGTAACAACGCATGCGCATTAACAACTTTCCGTATTTTTTTTTAATATTTCCTAAAAAAACCTTTAAAAAAGGTTATATAATCGTTATTTTCAACATTTTCTATGATCAGATCAAGTTTTTAATCAGTTTTGCATAATTATTTTGATATTTGCATTAATATTTTAATATAAATATAGATTTTCAAATTTATACCGAAGTGACTACGTGATTTACGTTAGTCACATCCGCAAAATTTCATTACCGTCCGCCATTTTGCATTATTGCAGAGAACTGTGAAGACGTCCCTGCTGTTGGCTCCCTGAAAATTTGCAAATATCGCGTAAATCAAGTTGAATTTCGCTTAAATTAAGTCAGCATCAGCTTTTAGTATGTTATTTCTCAATTATTTTTTATTTAAAATCAGTGAAACAAGGTTTTTTGAAGAAATATGAGCTATTTAGTCATGGCGTCACCTCATCATTGCATCGTTCGCCATCGACCACATCGTCAATTTTACATCAGTTTTGATGTATTTACTTGTTCTCATCGTGAATATATGGTAAAAATCTTTAATTATTTAATGAATAAATGGTAAAATTATGAAAATTATTTTTATATATCGGTTAATAAATGGGGGTTATGATTATGCATTGTTGGCGTGACTGCGCATGCACCGCCATATTGCTTCGTTGCCGTGAACTGTAGAGACGCTCTCTATAGTTGGCTACCTGAAAATTGCAAATATCGTGTAAATCAAGTTGAATTTTGCTTAAATTAAGTAAGCATCGAGTTTTAGAATGTTAGATCTTAAATATTTTTCATTTAAAATCAGTGAAACAAGGTTTTTTAAAGAAATATGAGCTATTTAGTCATGGCGTCACCTCATCATTGCATCATTCGCCATCGCCCACATCGTCATTTTTACATCAGTTTTGATGTATTTACTTGTTCTCATCGTGAATATATGGTAAAAATCTTTAATTGTTTAATGAATAAATGGTAAAATTATGAAAATTATTTTTATATATCGGTTAATAAATGGGGGTTATGATTATACATTGTTGGCGTGACTGCGCATGCGCCACCATATTGCTTCGTTACCGTGAACTGTTGAGACGCTCCCTGAAAATTGCGAATATCGCTTAAATCAAGTTAAATTTTGCTTAAATTAAGTAAGCATCGGGTTTTAGAATGTTAGATCTTAAATATTTTTCATTTAAAATCAGTGAAACAAGGTTTTTTAAAGAAATATGAGCTATTTAGTCATGGCGTCACCTCATCATTGCATCGTTCGCCATCGCCCACATCGTCATTTTTACATCAGTTTTGATGTATTTATTTTTTCCTATCGTGAATATATGGTAAAAATCTTTAATTATTTAATGAATAAATAATAAAATTTTCGAAATTTTTTTATAATGCATTGCGTGAATTTCGGGAATGTATAGCTGCGCATGCGCATTAGCAACTTTTCGAAATTTTTAATTTTCTCTAGAAAAATGTTGAAAATGTGCAATATTATCGTTATTTCATACATTTTTAATAATTAAATAAAATTTTTGAACAAATTTGCATAAATATTTTGATATTTTTTATCAATTTTTTGAAATTAACGTAAATTTTTAATTTTTTATGGAAAGTGACTAATCTGTTTAACGTAGTCACTTCTGCTATCGCCATCAGCCATATTGCGGCGTTGCAAAGTATTATACAGATGCATAATGTATTCGCGTCTCTGAAAATTGTAAATATCGCATTAATTAAGTTAAATTTTGATTAAATTAAGTAAGCATCGGGTTTTAGAGGTTCATGTTTTAATTATTTTCGCGTGTAGAGTCAGTGAAAAAAGTTTTTTTTTTTAATTATTCGGTGGAATTATGAGCTCATTATGTTATCATCACGTCATTGACCGTCGACCACATCCTCAATGTTTTGATTTGTCCCCATCGTGAATATTTGGTAAAAATCTTTTAATTATTAGTTAATAAATATTAAAAAATTTTGGAAATTTTTTTGATATTTAAAAAAAAAATGATCCGATGAATAATTTGGGCCATGTTTATGGATCTTCTTCAAAGATTTTAGTGGGAAAAAAAGATTGCATTTTCTCGCTTTTTGCCCACATTTCTTTTTATCAAAATTTGCCATTTATTTTTATTTTCAGAAATATTTTCTATGAATAAATATTTATAGCTTTTATGGTAGTAATTATAATAGAGAAATTGAAAAAAAACCACACAATCCAAAAATTGTATTCTATCCAATGTTTATTTTCCGTTTTAATCAAAGAAACAATAATTATAATTATATTTTTACTGCGAATAATTTAAGGACTTAATTGAAAATAAAAGTGTTAGTATATTAACATTAAAACTTTATTTACATTAAATTAATATTTATTGTAACATAAATAATATTTTTTGAAGAAAAAAATGACATTTCAAAAAATATTTACATATTTCGTAGCAAAATTTAAATTACATAATAATATAAAGATAAAATTGTTCGTTACGATTAAAATTTGTTTTGCAAATTTTTTTTATTTTTTAAATTAAAATATAAATTATATCAATGATAGTAATTCATGTAATTCATATTCCTCTACCTTTCGCCTTTCGCTTAGCTTCCACTTCTTTTTCGAGTCATCATTGACAACAGAAAGCCCACAGAAAGTGGTTGTTCAATTTGCTGTTGGCTCGATTTTCAAAATTCTTATTTTCAAAATAAATGCATTTTATCGAAGAAAAAATAGCGACAAACATTACTTTACTAAAGAAATATTGAATTACTTTTTTTTATCCCTTAAAATTATAAAAATTAACAGACTATGTTTTATTGAATACAACATTTAAATAATTTTTTCATCAATTATTTTACTGATAACTGTAAAGAAAAAAATTATTAAAATGTCAGTTCAAAAAACAAGTCAAGATTATATTGATGAAATGATAAGTATGTCAAAAGACACAAATGAAATTGTGACTGAAAAAAGTGAAGTTACCGATTTTTTTACAAATTGTAATATTTTTGTGACTGGTGGATCTGGTTTTATTGGAAAATTACTTTTGGAAAAACTTTTACGGTAAGTATTTTGTTTGCTTTAATTAGTATTTTGAAAATATTTTTTTTTAATTTTCCATTTAATTATTTAGTTAATGAATATTGAAATTTTAAAGAATGAAAGTAAATTTTTTAACATTTTTATTTTACAGTATTATGTAAAATATTTTTCAATATTGTTTTTATTATCTAGAATTTTTTAAAATTATTCTAAATTTCATTCAACAAAATTCAATATTTAATATATATAATATTGAAAAAAATAATTATATGTTTTATTATAAATGAAGTATTCATGAATTTCCTAAATGTATTCAAGAATGTTTCGAATATATTATTCTAAAGAATATGTATATAAAAACAATTCGATTAAGGGCAATATATATGTATCCAATCTTTTTAGTCACCGGATGTATTATTTTAAAAACAATGATAAAAATTTACATTAATTCAAATCAAGCCATTAAAATAGAATTTTCAAATGATTCTTTCCTGCGGTGAAAATATTAAATTTCCAAAAAGTCTGTGATTTAAATATCTAATTTGTGATAATATATTTTAATCATTCATTGACTAATATAAGGATTCATGAATCTTTATTAAATATATAAATTTACAATTGTAGATAAATAAAGATCTAATTTTTTTTTTTTTTAAAGATGTTTTCCTGATATGGGTAAATTGTACATGATGTTACGGCCTAAAAAGGGAAAATCTCCAGAGGAACGTTTCAAAGAACACTTTGACGATCCTGTATGTAAAATTATTTATTATAATTTATTATATTGAATAATAAATAAAATAATTTTTAATTTGTTAAAAATTTACTATTTTTATTAATAATTTTTCTTTTTTTTTCAGTTGTATGAAAGATTAAAGCAAGAACAACCGGATTTTGCGTCAAAAATTTTTATAATCGAAGGTGACACTGGAAAATTTGATTTGGGTTTATCGAGCGATGATCGTGAACTAATTTGCAAAAATACTCACATAATTTTTCATGGGGCAGCCACTGTTAGATTTGATGAGAAACTTCGCCAAGCTGTAAATATTAACGTGAGAGGTTTACAATTAATGCTCCAACTTGCCAAGGAGATGAAAAATCTTAAGGTAAATTAATCTAAAATTACTTTAAAATTATTCTATTTAAATTATTTTGTATTTAATTTATTATTTATTAACTAATATTATGTTTTTCTTTAAAAATAAATAAAATTAATTATATTTCAATTTTTCTTTTCAATTTAATATTTATATTTCAGGCATTTGTACACATATCGACGGCATTTTCACATTGTATTTCAAAAGATATTAAGGAAAAATTCTATCCCTCACCAATGGAAGTGGATAAACTTTTGAGTCTTGTGGATTTGTTGGACGATCAACAATTGGAACATTTAACACCTCTGTAAGAAATAGATAAATAATTTTCTAATTGAAAAATATAAACTATTGTATTAAAAAAAATATATATAAATAATGTTTTAGCTTTTTGGGAAAGTGGCCAAATTCTTATGCTTTTTCAAAGGCAATGGCTGAAGAAGCAGCAAAAAGATATTCGACTGGAATTCCAATTTGTGTCGTTCGTCCATCGATAGTCGTGTCAACATGGAAGGAACCAATCGCTGGATGGACAAACAATCTTTATGGAGCCACAGGTGTTGTTGTGGGTTCTGGAATTGGATTACTTCGCACACTTCACTGTGTGCCAAATAATGTCGCAGAAATAATACCAGCCGATATAGTTATCAATAATGTTGTCGTTGCTGCTTGGGATATTGCTCAACAATGGTTTTAAATATTTATAATTTAATTTTTTTTAATTTTCTATTAATTAATAATTATAAAATTATTAAATTTTAATTATTATTTTTTTTATTAATATTAAAACATTTTTTTTTTTCATCAGGAATGAAAAATTAATTATTGAGGAAGAACCACCGGTTTTTAATTGTATATCATCAAATTTAAAACCTATTACTTGGGGTAGATTTATGGATTTAAATAAAAGTTATGGATTTGAATTACCAAGTAAAAAAACTATTTGGTATAATGTAATGATTTTAAACAAAAATTTATGGTTACATAATTTTTGTATACTATTTTTACATTTTTTACCAGCAGCAATAGTCGATTGTATTTTGTATCTTATGGGAAAAAAACCAATGTAAGTACATAAAATGTGATAATAAAAATGATTTGAATTAATTTTTTCAAAAAAAAAAAAAAAAATTTACAGGTTATGGACAGCTTATAAAAAAATTCACAAATTCATGGGCGTAATTTCATATTTCTCGAGTCAAGAATGGAATTTTCATAGTGATGCTAATCAAGCTTTATATAAAAAATTAAATTCTGTTGATCGTAAAAAATTTGATTTTAATTTGAATAATTTAGATTGGGAGGATTATATTTGTTATCATGTAAGAGGAATTCGTGTTTTTATTTTTAAAGATACGATGGAATCAATTAAGGAAGGGCAAATTTATTACAGAAGGTAATTAATAATTTTTATTTTAAATTATTATTAAAATTATAAATTTTTAATTATTTATAGTAATTAATATTTTTATTTTGGTTTCTTTAGATTGAAAATTGCTCATTATACGATAGTAACTGCGGCATTTTGTTTGTTGATGTGGTTGATGTTATCATTTATTCGTATTCTATTTTTATGGTGTTTTAGTCGATTTATATAATATAATTTATTATTAATATTTTACTTTGACAACTAAACATTTGATTGATTGTGTAATAAAATCTTTTTATTTATTAATTTTATAATTAATAATAAATAAAACGAGTTTTCTTCCACAAATATATATATATATATATATTAAATATCAAATGTATTTTTATCAAAGTCAAATATTTTTTTCCGTTATTGTATTATAATAGTATTGAAAATTTTACAATTATAAATTTTATAAATGTAAAATGTATTGAAAATAAATAAAATGTTTGATTCAAATACAATATTCTATTTTGAAGTTTATTAATTATTACCATAAAAGAATAATTTTTATAATTATTGTTGATTTATAATATTTATTTATATACAATTTTTATTGTAAAATGTTCTTTGAATTAATTACAAACTTTCTGCTAATGAAGAAAATAGAAAATAATTTTAATCAAAAATTTTTAATGAAAAAAGAAAAAAAACAAAAGTTTTTTTGCATTTTGATTTTTGTTTAAAATTGTTAATTTCTATTAACGTTAAAAAAAATTGTTATTTTCATAAATTTAATTTCTCCTTTTTGTATGCAACACGATTTGCTTCTATGCATTATCGTCAAAGCAGAATTAGTTGCTTTCATACTTGAGAGATGACACTACTGATTCAATATTCTATTTAATTTTAAAAAAGCTTTTCTCAATCGATTATAGTAAATTTAAATAAAAGAATAATTTTTTTTTTATTTTTTTCATTTTTTTTTATTTATATTGTAATATTTTATTCATGAAAGTATAGAATATCCTTATAGTTGTTGACTATATATGGGGCTTTTTTAGTTATATTGTAATTTGTTTAAAAGAGCTTTTTGCGCGCCGGTATAAAGAGTAACGCTCTTGAATTTTGAAGTTATAGAGAAGCATGGAAAACGAAAATCTGTACGACAGTCACGATCTTTAATACTGGGAGGCATGCACAAACCAACACTGCTCTGTTACGTTTCAACATATTTCGACCATATACGTACTGAACGGTTTAAAAAAGCGACTGAGTTTCGCGACTGCATTCCGCATATAAAATGCTTGTATTAACATTTATATCTGGACATGTTAAAACCATTTGGACCTAAATTATAATGTCGCAATGGCGAGTACTAATTTCTCATCGTAAAACGATCATATAAAGTTAAATGATTTTATTTTCACGTTTTAGTATGCATTGCAAGTCGCTTTTAATTTTTCTCAAAAACATATATATATCATCAAACTTGTAATTAAACAAGTTTCGTTTTTAATCAATTTATGGTGTGATAAATAGTCAACACTTGATAAATTTCCTTGAAATTTAATAAATTCAAAATATGAAAATAACAAATTTAATACATTTATTTTAATATGAAAAAAAATTGTTCCAATTTTTTTTTTTTTAGTTGAACATTTTATTTTAGATGTTAAAAAAAAAAAATTACTAGGATTTCTGATAAATTGAAATAAATATTTTACCATAATATAATTTATTAAATTTACCATTTTCTGTATATTTTTATATTAATTTTGTGAATTTTCTTTTTTTTTCAGAATATTATGGGACAATGCAGGAGAGTTGAAAATGAGCAGTGATGAAGGGATTTAATTTGTGAATTGGAAAAAACTATGGAACTGCAGAGGTGAGTTAATAAAAAATTTTACAATAATTTGCATTTTTTGTTTCTACTATTTTAATTGACGGAAAGAAAATTAACGAAATGGATGAAATTAATATTTTTAGAGGAGAAAGTATTGGATTAAATTTTTCATTTATTTAATAAATGTAAATGTAAAATATTTAAATATATGAAAAGTTATCTGATATATGAAAATTTGTCTTCTATTAAAAAGAATATCACTATTAAATTGAAATATTTGTTTATGCTTGAATAGACAACAAAAAATTACAAAAAAAAACTGTAATTGTGACAATTTCGATTGTTTTGTTATTAAAAAAAGAAAGAAATCAGTGCAAGTTTGACAAAATATATTTTTTACATAAGTTTGATAAAATTGTTTCATACAAAATTCGTTTATCGCAAATAAAAAGAAGTCACTGAACGAAATTCACGTTATAAGTAGAAAAAGTTGTGTGTGTGGCGTCTGACACATCAACCTTTTTCTACTTAAAAACAGTGAATTTCGTTTCAAATTGGACGCATTTTTCCATAATAAGGTGAATTTTATTTTATCCTATATTACTTTTTAAATAAATAACTAAATTTTGTTTTTTTTTTGAAACAATTTTTTTTATATTAAATTATTTATTATTTTTTGATTATTTTTTAAATTAATTTTATTATATTTTATTTTTTATTATATTGAAAATTTATTGATCTATTAATAATAAATATTAATTTAATATATTATTTACCGTTGTAAATAAAGTTCGACATACTATTAAAAATATAAAGAATAAAAACTTATGGCTATAACTTTCTCTATGGGTGTTGCCCATCTGGGGTTTTATATTCCAGGATGATGGAACAAGTTGATCAAATGGACTCATAATATTCTAGGATTTAGATAGTTAGATCGAATTTCTCATGCCTACCCTATCCGTTTACTTTGATTTAATTGAAAATAGATTTCTCGAACTCGAAAAAAAATTTATTTTATTCAAATAATCGGTTACTTGAGCATTATCAAATAAATATTTATTTGTATCAAATAAAATATATTTGGTCCAGGTAAATATTTATTTTGATAATAGTCAAGTAATCAAGTATTTGAATCAAATAAATTTTTTTTTCAGTGTGTTTTTAGCACAAAATAAATACTAAATAAAAATCTTATAAAATATATATTTTAATTACTTTTTTTGTGTAGTAAAATTTATTGAAGTAAAAACAACAAAGTTAAAATTTTATTTCTTTCCAAAAAAAAAAACAATTGTTGACCGCAAAAAACTGTTGAGAATATATATATTTTTTTTTATTTTTCAGAAGGCGCAGTTTAGACAAAAGGAAGTTACAATAACGATACTTCTTGTGGTACCTTTCAACATCTATAAGTATTTAAATGGCTTAAAGGGTCTTCACAAAAATCTAAGAACAATGCTGCCACTATGTGAAAGAATTATATGGCCCAGAAATTGCAGATTGAAAGGTAAATTAAAAAACAAACCCCAAAAAAAGTTTTTGTTGCTTTAAAAAAAACCTTTTTTTTTTAACTTTTATTTATTTTTTTCAAAAAATATTCTTTTAATTCAAGTAAATTCTGTTCAAAGTAAAAAATCTTTACAGCATCTTAAATTTTAATAATATTGACATTATTTCCGCAATTTTCTCAATATTGCCGCAGATGTTTTATTTGAAACAACAAAAACTTTTTTTCTAGATGTAAATTGTATGTTGTAAAGTATTTTTCCAAAGATCATTTTTGTTCCACATATGAGGAAAAATCTCTTTCTCTCTTTGACTAGTATATCTTATATATTTACTGAAAGGGGAAGTTGGTACTAAATAACAGTTGAAGAATATGATTGTACCTGTGGTACAGTAGACGCGAAGAATAGATAAGAAAGTGACTGTCTGTGAGTTAATGTCTTTATGAGAAAAGTCGACAGACTAATTATGGTTTTGCTATCCTATTCCTAAGAGCAAAGATGACTATCGTTTCGATCCAAATTATATAGAATGTGTGTATATATATAAGACAGTAGCTATATATACTCTGTATATAGGGCTTAAAAACTGCCGCAATTCTTTTTTTTTTTTTTTTTTTCTTTTTCTTTAAGGACTTGAGTGAGTTCTTTAAGACTTCTTATACTTGTCTGATGCGAGAAAGAAGTTTTTATTGCGGTCTGAGTCTATATTAAAAGTTTGAGTAATTTTTTTTTTCTCCTTTCACTGAAAAAATGTTAAGTTTTAAGAGTTTTTAATTTTTTCTATTGATGGAATTTTTAATCTTTTATAAGCTTTTTTTGTCTGATAAAAAAGGATTTTTTTTATGGGGAAAAAAAATTCTTTTAAACAGCGAATTTTTTTAATATAGCGTTTTAAAAAGTGTCATTTAATAAATGTAGTATATATTTTTTTTTTAATTTTCAGTCTGTTGGTCCAGAGAAAGGGAAATTCGCTTGTTTAAAAAAGAAGTTGTTTGCTGTCATCGTATCTCTACCACGACGCATAAGAGCAAAAATAGTGAGTCTTTTTTTTTAATTGTTAACATAAGTTATAAATTATTAAAAATTGTTTTTGAAATTATTTAAATATAAAAATAAATTTTTAATTCGATTTAGTTATTTTTTCACGATCAATAAAAACTGTAGCTTTTATCTATTTCTCTTATAATTCTTGATAATTATTAATAGTCAATAATTATTAGCGTTTGGGAATTAATTTTTTTGTTTAATTTTTCAGTTCAAAGAACAATTTGAAAGACAGGAAGGATGTGGACGAAGAAAAGCGGCCCCAGTATGCTGGGGTTCCATTAATCCCAAATATAGACTATTTTTTTACATTTTTTTTTTTTTGCACCCCAGCATAGCTCACGACCTGCGCAGAAGTGCACAAAACATGCAGGGATCTCGTGAGTGGCCCATTTGGAGGAAGAATATTAAGGGCATAATCAATTTTGCTCCGACGTGGGATTCGCCGATCGATGAGTCAATGAAAAAAAGAGTTTTAATAATATTTTTTTTAGAAATTTTTTTCCCCAACATAGTGACAGCATTGACAAAATTAATAATTTTTTATTTCATTTTTTTCCGATAAAAAATTTTCTATTGTATAAATTAATTATTAATTGTTAATTATTAATTATTATATAAATTTTTATTATACAAAAAATTATTCAATTAGTAAAAAAAAAGTAATGCATGATTAATAATTTTGTCAATGTATTTTTTAGTGGTGTATGTGATGAGTGTGTTGAGTGTAATTTTGAGTTCAGGTGACGGTTGCGTCCCGGGACGTGAACCCTAGTGTAGGTCTTTGGCACCTGGGCGGTATGAGAGTTCCGTGGGTTATGTTTTAATAAAGTAGGATTTATTTTCAGGTATATATAATTAGGGAGGATAGCTTTTTTTTTGGTATGAGTGATTTTTTTCGTTTTTAATATCGCTAGGTAGGAAAATCGGTTTTTTTTTTTGTATGAGTATATGT